CACAGAAGAGATACCCTGGTCCCATGAGGAGCCATTATGACACAAAATCCGGCGACCGGTGTCGGATCTGGGACAGGTATGAAGCTTTACCAACGGTAGGCGGGGATTTGCGACGTACAACAGTACGCACGTCATCGCAAGTAAGAGGTATATACGTCTGGTAGCCCGACGGCCAATTACAAGGCTTGGCTCGATGTTGGCTCGTGGAGAGCCCTTGCATCATCTCAAAGAAGAATAACAAATAAAGAGTCCAAGGAATGCGCGTCTGTCAAGTAGCTGACCAGACGTCTGTAAGACAGCTACAGTGGGTGGTTGGAATTAACCCCACTAACAACAACGGCTCAAATAGTGGACATCACAGACAACATGACAGTATTTGCAGCCATCCTAGCCACTGTGTGGACATTCAAAGCTCACATCCTAGAACCATTTCCCGCTTTCCTCCTCCATTTAGTTGTCCTCGTAGAACATCTGAGTATTCCTTCATGAGAGTTCAAAGGCTGTGAGGTCTGTTGTGATTGTTATTTAGAGCGAGGAAAACAAATCGTAGAGCGTTGCAGCTTGAGATAACCTCCGGGGAGTTGGGATCATCTTCTGTCTTAATCACTAAGGCCTAATTCGTCTGCAGAGACATCCTCGTCAGGCAATGAGGTGCTCTTCATAATCGTTACAGGAAGCTACTCGACTCGCAGATTTACCTAGAAACAACTTGTGTTGCTTTGGGCAACATCAACCGGTACCGACAAAATATCATCGAGATCAGCATTTTTTAATTAAATCAACTCATGTATCGAATGCTGCAATGATGGCCTAGTATTCTCGTCCGCTAACCCTCAGTTTAGCATGATGCTTTCAGCATAGTCCAAGAGATCCAATTCAGCATTTAGTCGAAGCATGCTAGCGAGAACGCAGCAACCTTCTCCGGGAATCCTATCAGCTCCTCCCTATGAAATCCAGTCCAAATAGGACTGATACGCAAGCCAGCTAGTACGCTGGTCGGACTATTCATGCTAGCCATCACCGTGCCAGATTTCTTGTCTGCCACTTCCGAACTTTCTGAGATTTTGCCCCTATTTCATGGGCTCGACAAAACAGCATTGACCAATTATTTTCATAAAATCGAATCAATGCACCTCTCTACTCAAGAAAAAAACGTGAGATGAAACCCACCATGCTCGTGATACGTGTGTAGTAGTCTAGCATTTTGTGCTCGAGAGTTGAAAGTGTTGCATGATTGCTATTTCTATCGGGCGCTCAGCTTAAAAAGATAATGAATGCACAGCAAGCTGGCAACGGCTGCAGAGAGTTAAGCACTTAACCCGACGCTCTGTTAGCGCCGACCCTTCGGAATATCGATTGATGTCGGCTCGAAGCACGGCTTTTTTGCAGGCCCTGTATCAGAGGGATGTGATAGTTGCGGGTGTGGCCGCATAAATGGACAACAGTCCCGTGGCAGCCAATAATGGGCGTAATTGGTGCTGGTGTTAGTTTCAGCAGATGGTGGCAGTGCGCCGAAACGACTAAAGCCAGCTTAGACGCATCAAAATATAATACACTCGCCAGGTTCTTTGACTTTTGAAAGTGAGCTTCGGCAATCAGATAAAAAAAAAAGGCATCGCGTTCTATTAAGCCATACATCATAATCTTCTATCAGTAATTGTTCTAGATTCAATCCAAGTTCACGCCCACATAATGTCGCTTACAACGCAACCGGATTCCAACGATCAAGTGGCCACTACTGATTTGGATCTTGACATAGCCGCACTAAATCAACTCAATCAGGATCAGCGTGTTTTACTTGATATAATTGACGATCTTCGGGCAATCGGAGTTGAAAGATATGCGCCACTCCCTCAACTCATAGTGGTTGGAGATCAGTCTTCCGGCAAGAGCTCTGTTCTCGAAGCAATTTCCGGGTTTCGTTTCCCAGTACGGAACAGTGTCTGCACACGCTTTGCTACAGAACTGGTCCTCCGTACAGCACCTACATTGGAAATCGGTGCCAAAATCAGACGAGATGAATACGAGCGCGTTTCGACTGAGACGCTGGATTTGAATATCAGCGAGCCATTCAGCAAAGACGATATCCCTCGGATCATTGAAGAAGCAAAGCGAATTATGGGCATTCGGAACAACCCAACTAGCTTTTCAGAAGATGTGTTGTGCGTGGAAATTTCCGCTCCTTACATCCCAAAGTTAACCCTCGTTGATTTACCGGGATTCTATGAAACTGGCACAGCAGAGCAGTCTCAAGGGGGCCGGTTGATTGTTGAACGGCTAGTGCAAAAATATATGGAAAAGAGAAATAGCATCATATTGGCAATAATTTCCGCAAGGTCTGGTCTTGCGAATCAAAAGGTCCTCCGAGAAGCTAGGTCGCACGACCCTACGCGAATGCGCACACTCGGCATCGTAACAAAGCCAGATGCCATCACTGCCGGCACAGACGACGAAGCGAGGTATATCCAACTTGTTCGAAACCAAGAATCTGAGCACATACTAAGTCTCGGTTGGCATGTTGTACGAAACAGAGATGAGACTGAACGAACTATCTCTGATCAAGAGCGAGACACCAAAGAATCAGAATTCTTCCAATTTGGCCGGTGGCAGCAGATACCATCAAACGACAAAGGTATAGGGCCTCTACGTAAGAAGCTTAGCCAAACACTCGCTGCTCATATTCAAGCATGTTTGCCTGACCTGATTGCGGAAATCGAAAGAACCCAGGTAGAAGTTCAAGATCGCTTGGCACAGCTTGGAAGGCAACGAAGCTCAATTGTTGATCTTCGCATCTATCTCATCGAGCTGGCTCGCAAATATGAACACATCTCGAGAGACGCGATCGAAGGGACATATCGCGGTCGATTTTTTCCTAGTCACAGCTCCGGGAGTAATAGCGCGGGAAACAGCGATACCCGACATCTACGGGCTGCCGTTCGAAACATGAATAAGGTTTTCGAAGCTGTCATATATCACGAAGGCGCAACGGAATCTATAATTATAGATGATGCTGGACAGACTATTCTTTCGAGCGAGCTACGACTTCCAGACTATCTCATGTCCAGGGCTAATTCCTACCAATTCAATAGGCCTACACCGATCACCTTGTCAGATTTGAAATCGAGACTGGAAATAGCTGCTGCAAATACACAAGGCTCTGAGTTTCCAGGATCCTCTAACGACAGCTTGGCACTTGACTTATTTAAATATGAGTCCTTGAAGTGGGAGGGCATTGCTAAACGGCATATTGACCTGATCCTTGATGTATGCCGGTCATTCGTGGAAGACTTATTCGATCACATAGTAGGGGCAGATCCAACTACCAAAAATGCAATCATTATCGATAGGGTCAATCCGTTTTTCAATCAATGCAGCATTGATTTGCGTGCAAATTGGAGGAGTTGATGTTTCACTATAAGAATGGCCCGGCTTTGCCAAGGGAAGCAGAATTTTTAGAGAGATTAGGCTCGAAAGCCAGAACTCGACTCATCAGCCAAGTCACAAACCTTCTTAGACCCATGTTATCTCAAATGAGCGGAAGAAGTATCTCGGAAGAGATGATAAATGATGCTCTAAGGAGAGTTCCAGAGACCGAGGTAACGAGCTTTGGCGTGGAAAGAGTAATTGACATTATGGAAGTATATTATGAGGTAAGACTAGATACCATATATTAAAGGCCGTCTAACCTTTGTAGATGTCATTACGGACCTTCATTGAGAACGTCATTATAATTGCACTGGAAAACTGCTTGGTGCAGAAGATTCCAGATATTTTCACAACCCGTGATGTCGCGGGATTTGATCCCGAGAAGTTAGAGGCACTCGCTGCGGAGTCTACGGACATTCAAGAGGAACGTAAGAAGCTCGATAGGGATCTAGCCATTCTAAATCGAGCACTTGAGCTATGCAGAACGCATAGACCACGCGAGCAAATCGGTAAGATCTCAAATGAAAGACGTTCATTGCATGCTGATTCGAGTCTTGTAGGTTTGGCTCACAGTCTGGTACCAATGGATACAACGCCATCAGCGACTCTTACGCCCAGAACAGGTATGAGTATGCCTAAGCACTCCAATTCTGGCGATAACACTAATTAAATTCGCAAATGGCGATAGATCCGCCGAACGGGTTCATATTGAGTGATACCATAGTTCCAGTCATATCTACGCCTAGAAACGATGTGACAGATTCACACCCTAGAAGCCAAGGGGTTGCTGTGATCCCCAGCGATTCGTCAATAATACAGCCCACTCCACTGTCATCTTCAATCATCCCTACCAACACATCGGGACCCAATAATTTCAATCAAACTCATGTCTATAACGGATCCACATCTTATATCGCTCCTCCCTCATTTCCAAACACTTCAGCTACCATTGGGTCTTCTACTCTAAACGCACCAAGCTATAATACCTCAATTCCGGCCAATACTGCGCCTTCAACCTTGGCACCTGCAGCCACAGGGGTTCCAATTCCACAAGCTCCAAATAGTGGGTATGCAGGCACACAGACGTACAATACAACCGGTTGGACCCCGAGCGTGGGATTGTCCAACCCGGCCCCAGCTTCAGTTGGGTGAGTTCAGCCAAACACCCTTCCTCAAGGCCCTGCTTTCACTGTACCAATACGGAGTAGACAGGCCTATTACACTACAACTACTACACCAGGGACATATTAACCTATAGTGAGTGACTAGGAGTAATGAAAACTAGGAACTGACTCTCGCTAACTGGGCCATGGTCACAACGAAGCTATACTTTTGGAAGAAAGATGAGCCAAGATGTTTCCGCTCAAAGAAAGTCTTGGGCTCAATGCCGGCACCGGAGCATCAACCTTATATTCATTAGTGCTTTGGATAGATGTCAGGGTTCTACTTTACAGTACTTAGATCGATGAGGGGCTAGATAGATTGACTAGAACATATAAAACATGTAAAGGAGCAAGAAAATAAATTGAAGTTCATATATGCATTTGCTACATATAATGTTTTACGGGATGTGTTTAATATGTCTTAGATAACTTGCATTGGCGGCCTTTGTTTTCGTATTGGCTTGAACCGTCAGAGTCCGTCGTGTCCTGCGATGTGCGAGCGAAAGCGTTTCCCAGCTCAAACTCGTCTGACTCAAGGAGACCTTGAGCATCTTCGCCTATTCTTGCTTGCTTCTGGGTTCGTTGGCGCCAACAAATTATAAGAGCACTAGACATAAATTGTGTTAAATCAGGGAACGGCAAAAGCGAGCAACGGAACGGAGAAAAATACAATAGAATGCTTACCTTATCAAAGCAACGCAAACTGCGCCTATGCCAGCAAAAGTAACCCCAAGCATCTCGATCGAGATACCGGAGCCAATGCCAGAGCTGGTGGTGACACGGGTGATGTTATAGTCAATGTGGAAGAGCTCTCCCGTCGACGTATTGACAGCAGGCGTGAAGCCGAGCACATGTCCATGGGTGTCTACAGCTGCTATGAGCCCATATGAACTGATCTTGCCGTTTGGCACATAAAACTCCGTCTCAAAGCCCGTGCGAGGTGACTGCGCAACAACATTGGCAACACCATCAAGGTCATCCTTGCTGTCTGAGGACAACTAGAGGTAGCGCATTAATTAGCATATGGATTGAAAATAAGTATGAAAGACCTAGGGAGTCGGCATACAAGAACATAGCGATCGACTTTGGTAGCACCATTCCAGGAGACATAGATCAGTTTGCCGGTATCGTTGGCGCTGCAGGAGATGTTAGGGCCCCAGGTTGGGTCGCCTTCCCAATCCCCTTTCCAGGCCCGATATGCAATGACATTCACAATGCCATGCTCCATGGCTAAGACCTGGCCCCGCTGAAAGTCCATGACGAGCTCACCATCGGCCGAATATTCGGTGAACATAGGGTTTTGTCCCCAGGCAACCAGTACGTTCCCGTTTGATGTCCTTTGTACTCCACCACGAGATGCAGACACAAGGCCCTGGGGGTGGTACCATTCGTTGATCATCCAGGCTGTCTTCGCATCTGGGTCATAACCAATTTCTAGTCCACGGGAACACTGACCGGACTTGCAATACCCATTATCGAGTCGGTGGTTATCAAAAAGGGTAAACCGATTCTTGCCGGTCATACGGGGCTGATGCTGGTAATGAAACTCTGCTGAGCCGTTCTTGCTGATGTCGGTGAACTGATTCTTTTTTCCCCACATAACCCAAATGACCTCCGACGTCGTACCATCAACCAGTATGACTGTACTCAGATGGCGGTAGCTGATCAGAAAGTTACCCTCAGGTGTCTAAGATTGCATAAGTCAGCACAGCACGCTCGACTTTCCGCGGAAACGTATCCTGCCTTTTGAACACTATTCATATGGCAAAAGTCCCATACACCTTCGCCATGGTACTCCCACACGCTGTCAGTAATGTCGAAGAAATCTAGCGTTGCAAATTGGAATAGCAGCTCATCCGTAACGGGATCGATCTCTTGCAGCAGGCAGTTCGCGACACTTCTACCGCTTTTGGGTCCGCCAACTGGGGAAAGATCCACCTCCACCGCAGGACAGGCAATCAGTATCACGGTGCCATTGTCTGTCAATGTAGCCTCGTGAGAGTCAGGTTTAACGCCTGCATATTCGCCTTTCGTTGTGACAACATACATCTCTTCGTAACTTTGGCTGTAGATCCGGACCGCATCACCCACGAAAACGCCCAAAACACGTTGGCCGTGAAGTTCCCATCCCTGAGTCGCCTGTGCAAAGCCCGGGAATCTTTGGTCTGCCCACACAAGACTCAAATCTTTAGACGACACTATACTAGGACCCCAGGCGCCATAACTGCCTGCCATGAACATATACGGGTCCTTCGTGTCGACTTTCTCTTCATTAAATGTGTTGACCTGATAGACTGGTGCCAGGATCGGAGACGAGTGGAAGGTCTGCCTGGGCTCCCGGCCCAGGGCGCCATCTTGATACGATGCTAAATCGGTATAGAAGGATTTGTCGGCGTTAACGAGGGTGCGCAGAATAGAAGCGATGAAAAAGGTCGACAGAACATATATAAGGAGTGCCATTGTGCCTTCCGAGGCCGACGATGGCTGCCATGACGAACAAAACGGCGGAACTGACGTGACTGATAATGTCAATGTCTTTGATGGAAGGACCACGCATTGGCTCCATATTATTCTTGCTGTTCAGTTTGAACATTACGCGTCTCTTTCCATTTTAGACTGTGTATTTTCGCGCTCCATTTTTTTGATTTACGTCTCCCGGCAATAAAGAGCCGACCTCCTGGTCCGTGCCGCCACATGGCGTACACAAGAACATGTTCTACCACCATTCGACACAATGCAACAGTAGATTGCAGTCAGACGAGGGAAATGTCCTAAAATTTGTCTATAAAATCGAATTCCATACTTGCCAATACAATATACACCACCAATGTGTGTCCAGGTCAAGTGATGAAGTTGACGCGAGTCAGAACAGCGGCCCTAAATCTGGATTTCAACGCGGGCCACCTAAAATGAGTGTTGCTATTTATGCTGTGGTTTTTGGACCCCACAAATAGCGATTTTCTGTAACGCACCATAGCTAAAAGTAACTCGTTTGACGAGACGATTTGGAGCTCCTATGAACGTTCGATTTGCTGATGAGTTTAGTTCAATTTTGAGAAATGTCATCAGTCAATAGAAATATAGTCTGCAACATTAATCAAGACCAAGTTTGGCCCAAAAAGAAACGGACTTCCCAAGGTAAAACACACGAGTCTATCGTGCTGTAGATCTTTGCTTACACTACAGGTAGCTTGCTAGAATTGCCGTTCAAGAAAAGTCCGGTGTGACGTGTCACGGAGGAGTCCGCTTCGCACGAACTGTCGCATGGATGAAAGGAGTGCACGCTGTCAGATAGGAGGTAAGCCTTTAAGTCTCAATAGTACCAATCGTACTGAAATTTGGGATCTAGTGGCGCCGTAGTAATTTGAAATACAAAGAGGCAGTGATCGGTGACACTCAACTCCCGACGTGATCATGTGGCAAAAGTAGACATATTCGTATCTAACAGCATATGATTCACTCCAAGTCTTATATAGATCATATATCTAACATAAATGTAGTCACGATATTCAGAAGCACTCCTAATTTATCAGCACCAGCTTCCCATGCTTGCAGTCTCTTCGCATTTAGCGAAACCTCAGGGTGCTTTTTGGCTGCAACAAGCTCCCCCAGCGTGCTGATGGGGTTATCTGCGTTGTGAAGAGCACTCTCTTCTTTCCATTCCTCCTGACTACGAGCTTCCCATAATACTTTGCTAGAGGCGAGCGGAAGGTGTTGATAGTGAAGATAGGAGGGACAGGCAGTACCAAATTGTGCTGACGCAACATGACAGATGACAAACCATAGGCATACAATACTGTACGAGGTTAGTAGAGAGGACTGGTTGTTCAGTATTTTGAGCATACCGTCTTCGCGATTCTGCAACTAGCCAATCATCCCATGTTGGGCTCGGCATCATTCTTTCGGTGTTCGAGAAACAAGAAACCCCATCAGGACTCTTAAGTTTAAAACATAGTGTCTGGAAAGTTAGCCCCCAACTTGAACCGTTAGGATAATGTCGATCAAAACGGGACGTACCCAAAAAGTGCCCATCAGACTAAAGCCTGTTTCAGATCTATCTAAATTCTGGTCCATGATGATGACCATGATCAAGTAGATAACCATTGCTTGAATGGCTGCGGACAGTTCTACCGCCGTCATATTATCCAACTAGAAAACATTAGTAGATGATACGTCGAAAAGAGTTGAGCTCATCCTGGTGTACATCTTTGTGAAAGCGGCTTGTTTCAGCCGAAAGACACTTGAAAAGATAGTGTCGTGTTTCTTCGCTTCGGTTCACGAAAAGTTGCGAAATGCTCATACAGTTCACAATATTCTCCGGAAGGCCCCTACGCCACTGGGTTTGGATGAAGGGCGGGAAAGTCTGTCGTCGCAGCATCATGTGAGGAAAAGCAGCTATGATGTCGACTATGAGAACGGAGGCATGTTTGGTCTGTGGATTGCCATGTCGCAGATGCATCATTGTTGAATTATCTCCTGAGATACCATCTTGAGGATTTGAAATGGGCCGCAAAATTACTGAAGGTATCGTTTGGCCAACGTGCTGGATCGTTGTCGCATCACCGCTGCCATCGACATGTCTCACACTATTGCTGGAGAGGCTGGTTGCGTTTAGGCCTAGGTTGAACGAGGGAAAGATGTCCGTTTGGATTCTAGGTACACTGGCTAGAAATTGGTCAGGTGTTGCACCGCTCGCCCAGTCGAGCGTGTCTGGGCTGTCCAATACAGCCAAGCCTCCTAAGAAGCTAGCATGGGAAGATTCCGTCTGTAGTATTTGAGGCTCTTGCGGTACGGTACCTCGTGTCTCGCAGCTATATGTGCATTGCAGGCTCTTTGACTTGCAACGACTGCATTTTGGCCTAGTGGAGCTGCATTTCGTCTTGGATGACTTACAGGCAACGCATGACCCCAGCCGGCTTTCCCGCTTCTTTTGAGTACGACGGCAGTAATAAATGTGCCTGTTATAGGTAGTCTCTGTGGTCTAAGTCAATCTAGGATATCCTCTCATCTACGCATTGCGAATATGGAGTCGGCACCTTGGGTATACGCCTTCCGACAGTGCGGACAGAAGTCGAGGAATTGCAAGAGAGCCGGGGCGGGCTTGTCTCCTGATTCGTCCATCATCAAACAACTCGGCAATCGCTCAACTCAATGTCTTGTTGGTCATTTGTGAAAAAAACGACTGCGAACACGTCTGGAATAGGACATTAGCCCTGAGACACTAAACTATTGGTGTGAATTACACTGGTCTACCCAATTACCCATTGCGAAAGTATCTATGTTCCGACACTTCCGTATATTAGTCAGGTACGCCAAGCATTGCGCTTTCTCTTCTTGCTTAGTGGCTTCCTTTCGACGTCGTATTGTGGACGATCTCAGCACTACTGGCAAATTTTGCCGACAACAAAACATCACTGCACGAGACACAATCGTCTTAAGTTTGTCTAATTGTCGCTAATATCTAGGCAGTCATGTAGCCGAAATAGCTGTGTAGATAGATCCTGCTCCGTTGTCTTGAAGGTCATTTGCACGCTATGTTTAATACTAATTTGACTACCAAATTTGCCGACAATGCAGCGAATCCAAATTACATCCTTCTTACAAATCCGGCGAACATGAAAATAACAGGGCTAGGAGAATACTTAGAGATAAAAGCATCATGCCCACCACCTTCATGTATAAGTAATGAAGTCTATTCAGGGTTGTTTCACTCAGTGTTCACAAACAATATCGTCAGAATCATTCTATTTCCATTGAGCCCAAACGATCTTTCGGTCTCCCGTCACCAACATGTTGTGCTCCTTGTTACTCCTCACCATGGGCAGCTCTGCATTTGCTACAGAGTGCGCTAAACCGGTGCCCTACGAGATCTCGGTGGACCCCAAGTTGATTGAAGAGGCAAAAACAAAAGCGAAACTTTATAGGCCTTCTGTAAATTTGAACGATGGCACTAGCGAAACATGGATCGAAGGGCCTCCAGCCGAGAACATCACTGCCTTGGCAAACTACTGGGCTGAAGACTTTGATTGGTTTAAATTTCAAGACGAACTCAACGCCAACCATAGTCACTACTACGTAACAGTTCCCGGCGGCCTGGGCTACGACCATCCAGTTCCCCTGCACTTTGTTCACGAACGATCCGCTAGAGTCGATGCCATACCACTTCTTATGCTTCACGGATGGCCATCTACACACTATGAATGGGCTCAAGTCATCAAACCTCTTGTATCGCCTGAAAATAACGATACAGTAGCATTCCATGTCGTGGCACCGGATTTTCCTGGCTTTGGTTTCAGCCCAGCAGCATTATTTGAAGGATTTGGGCCCCGCCAGGCTGGAAAGGTTTTTGGAAATCTAATGCGCACACTCGGATATACGAAGTATGGTATTGCTACGACCGACGCGGGGTGGTACGTCGGCCTGTGGATGGTAAATGATGAAGTAGAGCACCTCATTGGCCACTTCACGGACTTCTGGTTATCACAGCCTAATGCCACGGACCTCGAGCGTTTAGCAAACAATGAGACCGACCCAGTCGAGAACCGTTATATTTCTTCGTTGCAGGCTTTCGATAACGACTTTTCCGCCTACATGGCCATTCAGAGTCAAAGCCCACTAAAGGTCGGACAAGCCATGACAGATAGTCCAGTTGGATATGCTGGCTGGATATGGCATCATATGCAATTTTGTAGTGACGGTTATGCCTACTCCTTTTACGAGGTCATAACCCGAACGATGCTACTTTGGATTCCTGGTGCATATGGAAACATCAGAGTATACAGAGAGTGGACCAAGGTACGATACTACAGAACCATCTCTTGAAACAACGCATAGCTAACGCCAGGTTTTGCAACACAGCCTGAGAATGTAGCATTCATAAAATCAGATGTTCCAACTGGAGTGGCCGAATGGGGCTTCAAGAATGGACTGTTTAAGGACATTGCGGACTTTTCCCTTGTAGTAAGTCTTATTCATTGCCATTATATCATCTCTCACTACTCCTGACAGTTACTAAATTAAATTAGCCCCGAGCCTGGGTCGAGCGTCTCTGCAGCAATTTAAAGTTTTTCGTCACCCGTGACTTTGGTGGCCATTTTCCAGCGGAGAAGAATTCAGATCTCTATGTTCTAGATCTACAGACCTTTTTTGGTGGCTTAGAGGAGTAAGACTTGGGAAGTGCAGGGATGCCAACAATTTAAACTATCGCTTCGGTTCGAGTTCATTTTGGGAACTTTGTTCTATTCGTACTACCTCCTCGAATAAATCACTTGGTCTATACCGCTTCTTGCTTAAACGACGGTCGAGATTGCAAGTTGATCCTGATTTGATCAGTAACTTCGTTTTGGATAACAGCTCATGACAACTCACTGGGCCCCATGGTGTTGTGAAGTCTTGTGTAGTTGTCTCGTATCTCCAGCTTTCGCTGGAGTGGTCGGCAGTACCTTTAGTAACGTATGCTAGATAATCCGGTGCTCCCGGGTAGACAACATTGTCTGCCACAATGATCGAGCCCTTCTTAAACACGCCTAGCTGCTCGGATAGCTTGAGATCGGGCAAATATGCGCTCTGCCAATGGTCCACAAGTGCAAAATCGACTTCGCCTTTCTTTAACCCACCGTCGCGCATCAGCCGTTCGAGCGAGTCTCCCGCTGTGGCCACATGGACTTCGACAACATCCTTTAAGCCGGTGAGTTCTGCAAAGCTGGTCGTAATTGCAGCGTTGATAGGATTCATCTCCAAGCTGATATACCGGACTGAATGACCCTTATTGAGATCGCGCAGTGCGGCCGCCAAAGCCACGGCGGAGTAGCCGACATATGCACCAAACTCTACGAAGACCTTGGATCCAGGAGTGGTCTTGGACATGACATCTATAATATAGTCGCGCTTCTGCGGGCCGATAATCATGAGAGGAGTGTTGGCCCCGGCATACCTATCTATAGCATCAACCAGCGCAGTCGGATTACCGCGGATCTGGTCCACATTTTTGCTGTCATAGATATGCTTCAATACACCAATCTCCCTCGAGCCGTTCTGTTTCTCATATTAGCATGCCTTGTCGTTTAGCATGTAATGACATGCGAGTGAGCTTACACCAAGGATTGCTTCACCCGTAGACATGATGCGTTCTCCGACAAGCGAAGATAGAAGTCTTAGATATGTAAAGGGACTAGTGGCAACTGCCCGGAAAATAGTGCTAGGAGGCATAGTAGAATCCAAACTTTAATGATCACTGTGTTGATTGTGCAGGAATATTTCAGTGCTTTTCAATTGCTCGCAGAGGCAGAACGCCGAGATGACCTCGGCCGGAACCTTGCCATAAGTAGAAATATCGGAACCCCGACGCCTACATGCTTATGTCCGTGAGCGTCTCAAACGTTCCATTCAAAGTCATTTTCTACTCGCGCATGTCAAAGCCGGCTTCTTTTGCTTTATTATTTTGAGACTCGCTCTTCCGAGATTTGTTGATCAAAATCCGAGCTGAGTATCGGCACATCCTGTTCGAAGCGCAGATAATGTTTTGGTACGACCTCTATTCATTACTGGGAAATTTTATCTGCGTAACATGAACACAACGTTCTGATAATCCTATATTATTCGATCGGTGATAGTAGAGAAATTATTATGAAGTCATATATCGTTTTATAATCTGTAACCCAAATCAAGAATTGATCCTTCTGTGGCTTAAAACCCAGGTTTGCGCGGATAGAGGAAGGCTATGGTCTCTTTGGAGTTCTTCTCATTAACACACTTCGGTGGATGCCTGGTGGCAAAGGCCCAGCCAATGCAACTGCAGAATGAGTTCCCCAGTCTTGCCCTTCTTTGACCGTTGCTTTAAAGGCCGCAATGTCAAGGTCTTGTACGTCAACATCTTCAAAGTCAAAACGTCTATATAATGGATATCCAGCCGGAGAAGCCTCAAGCCATCCCACAAGGCCCTCTCTGTCCATGTACTCCGCGCCCCAACGGAGTAGTGCGCTTGCGGCTCCCAGGCGACCTCGCGAGGGGTTGCTGGCAAGAGTACCGAGGACTGATCAGAAGGTTAGCTACTCCTCCAGTTCTTGATCAATGATCAAGTAGAGTCTTTCGACTTACACAAGCCTGGGTCGCCCTTGGCCCATTTTTGTCTCATTTTCTTCAAACCCCCTATGAAGAGATTGAACACCTCTACGTCTGTGCCCTCTCCGAGGCTCTCAACTGTCTCAGCCTTATCAACATTCCACTCCTCCTCAGGCCTGGATTCCGGGTAAAGCATCCATCTCGTATAAGCCACTATCTCAGGATCTGCATCATCGCCATCATCAGGGAGTAACTCTGCCACCATCACGATAGTCTCGCCAGCTTGCTTTGGCTTGTTGCCGGTGTCTTTCTTTTCGTCAGACTTTGGGAAAAACGTAGCTGCGAACTTTTGTTTTGCATCTTTGGTCACGCCGCCCGGGTACATGAGCTCGTTCATTACGTTAGGGCCAAACGCCGCGAAATGAATATCCACGATGGTGTTGACATCACTAGGGATTGCATCGCGTGTGCGGATGCGGGGTTTCTTCACTTCGGCCATTGCGGCTGAGACACTGAGCAGCGACACTGAACTTGAAGAGGCAAAGAATTAAGTATTTAAAACATCCCTTAAGGGGACACTGCTGCCAGCTCTAAGGTCCAAGAACAGGAGTCTATCTAGCCCAGAAATTTATTTCTAGGCGCCTTCAATTTTGCCTTGCCCCGTTGTGGAGCCCGGGGGGCCGGCTTGATACCTGTCCGTAATGAGTCACTCTCCGGCGGCGCGCGACAATTAGAATGGTCCGCGCGGCATTCCGCTAGTGCTGCAAATTCGGCAGGAGGTTTCGTAGCGGCCAGCGTAACATGACGCGACTGCGTTCCATGCGTGCTAAGGCGCATGGATTAGCTCGCTCACAACTTTACTCTGAGAGACACTGTGCGTCCCGCAATGGGCCCGCTCTCATGGTCGTCATGTTCCTGAGAAATATCCATCCATTGACGCCTTAACAAAATCCCCTGTTCGTCCAATCACTGTAACCGCGTTTTCGAGCACATCCAAGGTCAAAACTTCGATCGTCGATTTGTCGTCACGTGTAAGTACCATTTGATCTTTGTTGTTGCCTCTCCTCGAGTCGATCGCGCCAACTCTCGATCTGAAGCCTCCAAACGCGTCGGTGAATGATAGAAGAAAGGCTGTGAGGTCTGCAAGGACGACCTTCTTGTCCGCATATCCCTCAAAGTCTGTCGCCCGATGCTTGATGAATGCCTCTGGATCAAATCCATCTTGGCCGTCATAGCTTTCATTCGGCGATACAAGATTGATCGGATCTATGCGCAGGTGGAATGCGATGGATCTGTACGCGACTGTGCTAGACAGCTGCTGGAGGTTTTTGAGGTCATACTCCACCTTCTTCGTGGTATCTGTTGGAATCAAGACAAATTTTGCGAGCTTCTCGTGGTTTCTAAACACATAATCCGCAGCTTGAGGGTGTAAAGCGAAATTGTATGGGTTTCCCAAAATGTTCAGTTTTGGGTCAAAGGTGCCCTACAAAGGTTTAGTACTGGGTCATTTCGTCATGAAATAGATCAACTTACACCTTGTTGATAGACTCGAATTTTCTGCCCGATTCCTTCGTCGCGTTCCAAGAGTCTTTGTAGAACACTGAGAGATGCCCCACCAAAGAAAGTAACATCATCGTGTCGTCTTATCGTCTCTCTGAGTATATCGATATCAAGAAACCTGATAGGGTCCTCGGCGTGCTGCTTCAATTTCCTTTCTATGGCGTCCTGATACCATAACCTCAGCTTTCGTCTCCTCTTGTCCAAAGGAAATGTCATGATTGATTGGTAAGCCTCGAGCTCTTTTCTTGTGCGAGCTACAAGCTCCTCGTGATGGTGCATGTGAAGGTTGATAGGACTTTGCAGCTCAAGGAGGCATTCCTTATCAATAAATACGCCAAATGAGCGTTTACACCTCTCTTTCATGACGGTAAGATAATCTAGCGTCATCAAGCGAGTATGAAGAATTGAGTCTTCCTCCGGGCCATTGCTTGGTTTTATGGCGAATGCGAGCTGTTTTGAAGTGTTAGCTTCTATGACTAATCTGCAATGAGGTGGAAAATGTACTTACTAGAGTGTAATCTTCATCGCTGAGTCCCGGAACCTTATCAAGGGCATCAGGCGGCAAGCTGCCGCGGAGAATGGTCGTCATGGGAGGATCAGGCAGAGATGGAAAATGTTTCCTGAGCAAGGCAGCACATGCCCCAATCTGCTTCCCAGTCATCGCCAAGCCTAGCGAGTCGTGGCGGGGTTCGGCAATGTAGATGGCTTCAATGTCGGGGTTCATCTCCATGGCCCAGGCCCACGCCTCGGCTGCAGCCTCGTTATCTGAATCTGTAAAGTCGTTCAAAAAGATGGCCAGCCTCCTGGGCTTGAAGCCATGTTTGCTGATTTGAGACCCCATCGTGAACCTTGATTGCGCTCTGGTTTTCGACCTCGTCTGGCGCATCTTTCGCCAGGTCTTCATCACCGTTGATGAAAAATAACGGTTGTCTCCTCTATCTAATGGCCGTGCGCCGGCACTCTGCGGTGTTTGGAATGATGCCTTGCGAGAGCCTAGAGGCGCTTGTTGTTGCTGCGGACGAGGCTTAGTAGACCCCGCGGCACGGAAAAACAAAGCACCCACGTGACTGCATCTTGTAGTGAGATGAATAGCTTGTTGCACTCAGTGCATGCAGGTTTCACAGTGAGTTTATATATACACCATAGATAAAGACATATACACATGTGATTTAATGACGAGAAGCTCAACAAAGAACTTATGCACGAAATAATCAGCATAAAAAAGAAGTCGTAGACCAATACTCTTTTTTTCTTTCAGATTTAGAGGACAAAGAGTATTGCCCCGAGTAAAATGACGCGCCCAGCTTGTTAGCGTCACTCTTAAAGTTTTGGAAAGCCGGGCACGAAACAGCATCCAACGCTACTTCACCGGAGGTTTGTACCGGAATTCAACCAAGTTTCTCTTTACACTCACAATATCAGAGATTACTCGTGTAAACTCGACTTCAGAACACAAGCTATCAAATCCCATTGTATAATAGATGCGATCGTTTAGTATGTCATCAACTTGCCAAGCACTTTGCAAAGAAATGTTACGGGAGGTGGAGATCCTATAGTTCAAGTTTCACGGTTTTTTCATTCCAGGAATCGGGGAAAGTCTTGCAAACTATGCAACCTAAGGATATATGACGAAAGTAATTTAAAAGATTGACAATGCCACTATACTGAGTCATTCTCCTCAGATGCCTCTAGACAATTCGCGTAATCGATATCCGAACTATTGAGCGTCTCACAGCCGGGAGTATCGACTAGATAATGTGATGTTGTCTCTTACCTAGAGGCAGCCCCGGCAGCCTCTATCATCTCCCATTGGCCGTCACAAATGATGATTGCAGCAGGCATCTTCAATGCACGCCAAAACTCGAGGGCATTAACTCCTAATTTTCGGCCCATGTAAAGTGAAAGAACCCTGCCGTGGGTAACAACCGTTATATCGCTTGTGGAGGAGTCTTCCCATCGCTGTAACCCAGCAGCGAAGCGCTCGACCGCCGCGTCAGCTGTTTCGTCGCCGAATACTAGCTCATGAGGAGATCTGGTGAATAATCTTATGATATCAGTCTCAAAGTCCTTCGAGTTTCGGAAGTCGGTGTGCTGCCTGCCATGTTCAGAAAAGTTGGCATCCACGACCACAGGTGCGCTTGAGTCTAGGCAGGTAGCTAAAATTTCGGCGGTTTGGAGTGCTTTTGTCTCAGAACTGCTCATAATGTCATAAACAAGGGCCCCTCTGGTCTTTATTTCTTGCGCAAGGGCAGTCGCAGCATCACCAACGGCCTCGGATAAGTCCAATGAGCTGGGGCTTCCTTCTCGTCAATCACTGGTCTCCCGTGACAAACCAGAATAATTCGCCTATTCCGAGGATTTGGATTTTCAACTTCGTCCATCGACGGTATTGTAGGTTGGTTCATCAGACAGAGAGCTTGACCGCAATTTTGAGAGGGAAGGGGAACAATCGAAAGACGCAAGGCTGCGAATAGCATCCTATTATATTCAGCAGTGCAACCCCGCAGGCAATAATTACAACTACGTTATAGCTTCATTTCGCCGAGTGACTCGTTCATCTCCTATACGACATTCTGGCCCTGCCATTCTCCTCTATCCACTGCATATAGCTCAGGTCACCTTAGAGAATCAGGAAACGATTAAGAATCGGTTATATATATATATATTGATGACTGAATTGCTCCCCGTATATCTACTATTAGCCCCCTCAATCTACATCGGTTAAGAAATAGCCTCCTACAAGACAAGGTGCTTCTCCTAGTCAGAATGGAGTGACTTTGATAAATGCTGAATAATTATTGCCTAAACCCTTTGGAAAGTTATTATAGTGAAGAAGTCCAAACTAAGATACCTCTTCTTTCTGAGTTCTGTGCAATCGGTGAAATGAGCTATCCTCATGAAGTTTCTTTACACTGTTCGGGTGATTGATCGAAATCTTTGTTTAAGACATCTTGGGTGTTAGGCTGCGCACAAGTAAATTCATCCTTTGCCCAGTGTCAAGTCAGCTAATAGACCTTATCGATAGAAACGCGGGGGGGATTAATAATTTCACATTGTTTGATCTCAAGCCCTGCTACGTTACTTGTGCCTCTTAGCTTGACAACCGCTTATGTTTAAAGCTTCGTAAAACGTTTTTGGACCTCACACATCAATCAAATGAATCCGGAAAACACACAGTGGAGCTTTAAGGGGAAGGTCAGTTGTATTCGTTACTGAAGAGGTAGCCCCATAGGGTAAGCTGGAAGTCATACCTGTTATCATCTTGCTGGTAAAAGAGCTTGGCTCCTTCCGGACACGGCATAGTTATGGTAGTGCACGCTGTCAGGCGTGCATTTGCCTACGGCGATGTCCCCCACGAAGCCAGTCATTCCTGGCTTTGAAGACAAGCACATGTGAAGTTAAGTTACATCGACTCAATCCCATTCAGAAAACATGTCTGTGCGGGCGCATCAGCCGATCGTAGATTTCCTAATCGGCGAATTTCAGGGTCCAGCGGCGGAAACCGCATAAAGTTGCAGTACCTCCTCAACGGCGATGAGCTTCAAGGTACTTCCCCTACCAAGCTGTATTGGACACCATTGATGCAGGCAGTTATCACCAAGCATTATAAGCATATCAAGTCCAAGGTTCGGCAGGGAAATCCAGTCCTACATGACACCACCGGTATGGGCGATATACCCCAGATGCCAGATTGGAAGACATGCCATTATAGGATGGTCAGGTTGCGAATAGCGCCGAGATCAATTAGTCAAGATCCGCTATTACTTCAAGCTCTGCAATGCCCTGCCTGCCCGATTTCTCTCCACAGTGGTCCAATGATACCCACGTATGCGGAAGGTTCACCTCAATAGGTAACCATACCTTGGGGGGAACATCCACAAGGTCTCTTAAGACTCGCATAATTCCCACGAGGATGAACAATATGGCACGTTTTAACTTCATTTCAAGTAAAAAACTTTAATTCTTGATCGAAGATCTGAAAAGCCTTAGATAGTAAGGATGCATCTACGCTTTTTGTGTTTGATATCTCTTCTGTCGTCCTTGTCCCTAGCTCGGCCCGTTTACGATGTAAGCACCAGAGCAGAGGACCTTCCTCGTCTGATCATCTACTATCAGACGACCCATGATTCCTCGGGGAACCCCATTTCGATGCTGCCGCTCGTCACAGAAAAGGGCATTGCACTTACCCATCTCATTGTCTGCTCATTCCATATTAATCTCAATTCCGAGATTCATCTGAATGACTACCCGCCAGGTGATACTCACTTCAACACTGTCTGGGCCGAAGCCAAAGTCCTCAAGGATGCCGATGTCAAAATCATGGGCATGGTCGGCGGAGCTGCGGCAGGCTCATTCAGCACGAGTACGCTTGATGGCAATGACACCGCATTCGAGCACTACTACGGACAGCTGCGTGATGTGATCATCGACTTTGGGCTGCAAGGCATGGATCTTGACGTAGAGCAGAGCATGAGCCAAGCTGGTATTACTCGCCTTGTTGACCGACTCTTTGAGGATTTTGGCCAGGATTTCATCATCACCCTCGCACCAGTGGCGTCCGCTCTCCGGAACGGTGGAAACTTGAGCGGTTTCGACTACGAAGACTTGGAAGCGGCCGTTGGTGTTGCCATTGACTTCTACAACGCGCAGTTCTACAATGGTTTCGGAAGCATGACGAATACAGCAGCGTTTGATTCCGTAATATCGAATGGATGGAGCCCGCAGAAGATTGTCGTAGGCCAGATCACGACGCCGGCGAACGGTGGGCAATATGTTCCGTTCGATACTCTGAACACGACAATCACGCAACTGCGGGCCAAGTACGGCGAAATCGGTGGAATCATGGGTTGGGAGTACTTCAATAGTGAGCCAGGCGGCACTTCCGAGCCGTGGGAATGGGCTCAAGAAATGACCAAGATCTTGCGGCCGAACGACAGCGTCAATCTAACCATCACGGTAGACAAAGCTAAGGCTCTCGAGGCTGCGTGGAGAAGCAGTGTCATTAGTACCGAGTCCCAAGGTCTAAATGTCGAAAATGTTCAGGAGAAACCAGGTGTTGACTACATGGCAATGATTAACGCATAAACATATCATTGTGAGCTTATATCGCAAGCAGAATGCCACTTAAAATGGATACAGCTGCAACAGGTAGAGTTGAAGGAAGCTACTATTTAAAATGTCATGTAACGATATCAATTCATGGCAGCCTATTATCATACTTTTCTTGTTAGCTATATGGCACGTATGCTTCTACTAGTCATTAGCCTGTTACTCGTATAGCAACTGATGAGAAGTGATGGTCATGAACATGATGTTGAATCGTTAGAAATTATTCCATTATAACGCCCAATGTATTCATGTGTACCGCTTGTGAAAAAGACTCGCAGATATAACGACTTAGTCCTTCAGATGCGAATGTTGTCCCATTTATATGGTCTCACACTTCCTCATATATAATTCTGTCCGTAAGACTGATCAAGAACCTTAAGTCCAATTATCAAAGCCAATCCTCACAAATACCGCGGTCAAAGCAATTACTGGCTTGGGTACTGTTGCTGATAGGTCGGTTGCTGGTTATATTCCTGAGGGTAGCTTTGCTGATTGACAGGGGCATCTTGCTTGTAAACTTGTCCGAGCTCAGCCTGGTTCTGGCTAGGGGCAGAGCCCTCGGGATCCGCAAGACACGCGCGGATGAAGAAGACAAGGTTTACGATAGACAGGACCCTGGATTGACTCTGTTAATGACCTATTCAACTAAGCTTGAACAATGTGCACTTACCACACCACAGCTCCCAAGCCAGCACAGGCAGCCATTGAGCCACCTTCGCCCTTGAACGGGCCATCGCAATAGCCGTAGGAGCATACATAGGATAGCCAAAACGCTGCAACGGATGCGGCCCAGGCCCAAGCAGACAGCCAGAAGATTATGCCGAGAATGTAGCCAATGAGGGCAGCGATACGATAGTAGTAGCGAGGAGCCCCTAATTCAAGCCACATGATTAGTCTCTATACCAGGGGCTCAAGAGAGAACACTATGAAGGGGAAAGGATCATGAGGTCATGTCGAGACCATGCCATGGTGGTACATGTCCGTGGCTATCACATGTCTTCCCATTTACAAAGACTAGGTGGAGAATACTTACAAATTTCAACAGCGATGATAGCACCAAAAACGATGAAAGTCTTGATGGTCTGTTCACCAGTGTCAGTTCCTGTTTCTCCAAACACGCCTCAGATTCACATACGACGAAGATGAGGAAGCCAGGTGCGCCCGCATAGCCGTAGGTGTACCATCCACTAAACAGCGAGACCGCGTAGGCGGCGAGCGCCAGGATGATGAGGGAGAGCACGAGAATGGCGATTTTGATGTATAGAATCCACTTGGGGAGAGTGGGAGGAACTCCCTTCTGCATGAGGCCTTTTGCGCCCATTTTGATTATTCGCAATGGTGGAAAACGGTGACGATCAGAAAGAGAAGCGGAAGAGGAGATCGATATAGCAGGGGTCACTTATCGACCAAACACTTCAGGTTCATGTGGAACAAAGCGGGAAAGTCACTGTCTTTTATCATCGTCTAGGACTCTCAACGAAACTAGGAGGCGCCCTCCAGACTTCTCAACTTTTGTCCTTGGCACGGGAACTCGGCTTGAGAGGCTTGATACGCCACAATATATTGGCGCCATCATGCCTAACATAAAGGCCATATCCCTCGAGGAGACAGTTGAGTTTACAGGGCTAAGGCAGGCACTTGCCTGCATGCACCCTAGCCGCTGCGGCACGGTTCTTTCTTATTTGCACGAGCGGCTGTCACTAGCGAAATCCGATATAAAGGCTGAGCTAGGGGACAAAGGTCGCTGGCCGCAAGCAGAGGTTGACATGCCAGAAGGAAGTCCCGAGGGCTGAAAAGGACTAAGATACGGTTTGCACCTTGCCCCTGGAGCCGTGGTCAGCTCTTCCGAAGGTTCTCTGGGCAAGATGAGCTGAGGCCATGGCTGCAGACGGCCCTTGTGACCAGCATGGAAGGCGCTTTTAGAGGATATCATGATTGGGTAGGGGCTTTGAGAAAGATGCACTTCTCCGCCCATGGGCTGAAGGGCGGCCTTGGCAGCCACCACGCAGCAAGGATACGTCCCTGTCTACTGCATAGTATATGAGACCTCACGCCGGAGGAGATATCCGACACCGCAGAAATGCAGTGGAAATTGAGAACCATGGGCAAAAAATAGCATGAGGCACTGGAGACCCCGAGATTGCTACATACTCAAGACACGTGAGCATTGGCAAATGAAGTGATTTCATGCTTTACCTACCTGTCCAGTAGACCAGAGTGGACAGTACAGTCGCGTTCAGTGATCGCCGCTAAAAAAAAAAAGAACGGTAAATTTGAATTGGAGACATCGCTTAGATATGCCAAACGAGGCCTCCATGCCCACCAACCGGTTTCAACACCTTTCCCATCTCAAGCGAAGCTCGAATACCTAAATTCAACGGCGCGCGACGCTTGCTGTCTCCCTAAAGAATTAGGATTTGCCAAGGTGAAGTGGCAGTGTTGCGCTTGTCAAGAGCGCGGAATGAGAGCGCGCAAACCCAAAACATACTGCGTAGACCTAGCAAACTAGTAGACGCCACAAACCCCGCACTAAGCTGCGTTGGAGATAGCTGTAGGCTGATTCAGTAGGCTGAGCTCCCTCAGCTTGACGCTTTGTGAATAGCATCATGTCAATCTCCCATAAAGGAAAGCAGCTGATATGTTTGTGTCGGTGACATGTTGTAGAGGTAGTGCACATGAGCTTCGGAATCGGCAATAAGTAGGAACATGTGATAACTCTGGTGGAAGGAAGGCGGCATGTCACTCAGCAGGGTCGAGAGAGCTTGTCTCAACTTGTAAAGTGCTAACGCTTCTCTTTGATATGCCATCTTTTCATGACTGTAAATGCTACGGCACTGCTAAAGAGTGCCACAGATTACGGAGCTTCAAAAAAAAAAAAGTATGATAGTACAACTGATGACGCCATGTGTGCAATACTTATGAAGCCCAGCCAATCTTTGCGTCTCAATGGACCAATACTACTACGGAAAAGAATACCTAGGGTGCAAGTACTGGATGGCTCCATGAGGCGAGTCTCATCACACAACTTTACTGCATCAACATGGTTTTCTTAGATGCTGATCTCTCGATCAACGTCATCCTCACTGCCGGATCTGATTGCGATATTCATGGCGAACTACCTAGGTAGCTAGGGACGCAATTCCGATTGGGCTCCTTATCTTAATCCAGAAAGAGACATGAACTTCATTGTGGACCACTTACACTCTATGCCCCGTAGAAGCCTAGGACTGCAGGCAGGATGAGTCAACATCGAATTCACCAAGTTGGGAAGATATAGGTAACTATTCCCAGCTGGCAGGCGCTTCCAGGCAACACAGCCCAGCCAAGACTCGTGGCGCCGCACTAACGCCCAATGCCGCTGGTCTTCTCGAGTTGGCACAAAACGGCGTCTTCAGCTTCCAGGCTACCAACCCCACAGGCCCCCTTTTTACCCCTTCCGGCCATCGTCGACCTCCAACTCCAACCGCGCGGATGGGCGGAAGCCACGATTATTTTAACTCTCTCTTGCTCTCGCCATCTATCTGGGCAGCTTCAACGACTGCATGAAAAGGCAATTGGCATCCCAATCTCTTACAAGCTTTCGCCGCAAGAAGCCAATGTTCAATCGCATTCTACAGGCAGTAGGAATGGCGTCTATTCCGTCTCACACGAAGCCAAGGAAGGGCTCTAAGGAGTCCGAGTTCGACAACTCCGGAGATGGGCCCCTCCTCGTCCCTGGATTCAACGGCATCATCGTGAATCGCGAGCTGGAGGGGCGGAATGTGCGCTTCACTCATGGCGTCAACGAATGGGGTGCGGATCGCCTGACCGTCCGCGAAGTGGCCATGCTCCAGCTGATGGACGCCATCACCGACAAGCCGAGCTGGCATGTCAAGATCTTCAATGAGGAGATTGTCAAGAAGTGGCACGATGAGGCCACTGCCAAGCCACTCATCAGCGAGAAGGCGTGGGAGTGGGTCGTCGCTGAGCTCCGCGACAAGGCCCGTGACTTTGAGAAGACGGGCAAGGTCTTCACCTACGACACCGGCAGCAGAATCGTCAAGGCTGACTCGGTTGTCACTGAGGAACTCCGGGAAGAACTTATTGGGGGTGTCAAGTCGCTTCTGGAAGTTCCCGAGGACCAGAAAGACTACCATCCCGGGTCCAACAACCAGGTGCTCAATCTGGTTCACCCCTCGCTCTTTCCACTTGTGTATGGCAGGTCACGGGTGTTGTCCAAGGGCGGCCGTACAGACATCAAGGATGTTGTTGCGTCTTGCGGTCTGGGCCAGGTGGCGGAGGTGACTGGGCCTGAGTCGCAGACCTGGTCACGTCGTTTCCAATGGCTTCCATGCGAAGTGGCCTTTTCCGGAGAGAAAGGGACCACTGACGTTGAGATCACGTCATATATCAACAACCTGCACCCTGCCAAGCATCAAGGTCTCTATCATACCATTGAGAAGCTTCTCAAGCTCTCGATCCCCCTGTGGAATGACGTTCTCATCAAAGATAACCACGGCCGCACACCTCTGCGCATCGAGACCTTTGGCGGTGAGGTAGAACCTGAGTCACCGGAGTGGGTCGAGTCAGTACACTTGCCAAAGAGTGTCAAGGATAAGGATTTCCCAGAGTTCTTCGAGAAGGTGCGAGCGTATCTATCCCTTCCTGATCGTCCAGGTTATGTCGCAGATCCCGACGACGAAGATGAAGATGAGGACTCAGACGAGGACCAAGACGACAACGAGGAGGTAGACTTGGAGGCTCAGAGCAGCGATGAACGGACTCAGGCTGAACAAGTGGGTGACCAACTTCTACGTCGATTGACGAGGATGAGCGAGGATCCAAACACAAACAAATACGAGTTCATCGGGACTATCCATGAAGTAATCGACCGTAAGTGGAAGCGCATTCGACAAATTGTTCATCCTGAGCCTGGAACCGCCGTGACCTACGAGCAATGGAAGCAGGGTCTGCAGGCCTCTATCGTCCCTAAATCGGAGTGGTCTCGGACAGAGGAGGAGAAGACTAAGCAATTCCAACAATTCCGTTTCTACGATGTTAACATTCACGATGATTTCCGCGAGTCCGGGCTTCAGATTATTGTTAAACTGGCGTCGATTGAACTCACTCCAGAAAGACCAGATTATGAAGGTGGTAACTGGCATGTCGAGGGCATGCAAAACGAGCACATCGTCGCCACGGCCATCTACTATTATGATGTGGACAACGTCACGGACGCCCGGTTGGCTTTCCGCCAAGAGGCGAAACTGGATGACATGAGCCTCGTCTACGAACAAGACGAGCACGAGCCCCTTGAAGTTGTCTTCGGCACAAACAGCATGCGCGACGAGCCCGCAGTCCAGGAGCTTGGCAGCGTCACTACACCGCAGGGGCGTCTTCTAGCGTTCCCCAATACCCTCCAGCACCGCGTCGGCAACTTCAGTCTTGCCGACAAGACGAAGCCCGGCCATCGTCGTTTCATCGTGCTCTGGCTTGTGGATCCTCATTACCGGGTCTGCTCAACAAGAAACGTGCCGATACAGAGACATGACTGGTGGGCTGAAGAGAGGCTGGACACGTTCGACTTTGGCAAGTTGCCTGCGGAGATGGTGAACATGGTCAGAGATAATGTCGAGGATTGGCCGATGGGCTTGGAAGAAGCGAAGAAGCTTCGACTCGACCTGATGCAAGAAAGGACTCGCATGACAAGTGCAGTGGAACAGGGGTTTGAAGAGTACAATCTGTGCGAGCATTGAGAGGGCAACACTGTAGAGGTGACACTCTACTGAAATCTTGAAAACTGTATTTATTTTGGCTCATCTAAGCCATGACTTTGGCAGAAAATATTCTTGTTTTTGCTCCCAGTCATAACAAAGTGATTCTAAATGCTCGACTCTGTGTAATCGAATCTGCACTGCTGGTGAAGAAGATCGTCCCCGAACCTCACTTGATTACAGAACCAAAACCAACAACATGCACAATTAGCATATCTCTCTCCAGATTTTTGGAATATGACATTATCACTATTAGAGAACTCATAAGTCCATCCTATGCTTGACAAGCAATTTTGAATCACCAAATACAGACAGATCATCCTAAACCTATGCATAACAGCATTAACGCCATGGGCCCTTTTCTCAAGCCAACACTGTGAGGAGAGCTACAAGCCCAGTAGCCCAGGCGCTGCCGTACATGAGATAGCGCACCTTGTGCAGCCGATTCCAGCGCTCAATCAGACTGGTAGCATCCTTCTCCTCCGCCTCGGTCAGCACCTCTCGCGCGTCCAAAGTCTTGAGCGCCTTGTTGGTCGGTTGAATAGTCAAGGCTGTGTATACGATCACCAAAGCGCTAGAGACTGCCGATACAATGGCCAGAGTCCTGGCGAGCGGTATCTTTGAAAAGAAGGGAACGCTTGCATGCAGCGCGACAGTCAGTGCTGTGCCACGGACGACATAGTACTAATTCTTAGCGTTAGAGAGGATGCATGCAAGCAATGCGGTGCACTGGCGATGGAGAATAAACTGACGCTTGCTTCATCAAAGAATAGACGCCATACATGTAGACGCGATCGATTACTCAATTGGCTGGTGCCAATCTGATCTTGTATGATTGGCAACGGTCCGACAAGCGAGAGACCAATGTTGCCGAAGAATAGTGATGAAGTGACTAGCAGGCCGCCTAAGAGGGGGAATGCCGCCAGTGGGATACTTTGCAGAACCGTCGTCATAATTGCAATTTTTGAGCTGAATGGTTCGAGCTGGGGATTTCGAGATGATCAAGATGACAGGTTTCTTATTTCATAGAGATTTCTTGTATTGCTTTGCTTGAGACTGCTATGAAAGAGTTTGACATGAAATTGATGCCTTCAAAGCCTCCATTATATAAGTGACCTCGAATACACTCTCGGGACCGAAGCGACCGTGAAGCAGTGGTTTACTTTGTCAGCTGCGGCTACGCTAGCCGCACTGGTTTTGGTTCGCATTCGCAATGCAGGCCGGGTCCTGGATTCACCCGTCCCACAACCTTTCTGCATCTGCATCAGTCCGCCCGCAGCCCATCGTTTTGTAAGCTAAAGTGTTGTGTGTGGCCAGTCGGCGTATTGCATTACGCCCTGAGGTATAAGGGGCGTTGGGCCTATCAAGCCGCACGCAGCAATAATTGAAGTCATTATTATGCATATCTAAGTCCTAGTAGTTTGGAGGAACGCACAGTTTGGACACCTGCAGGTATCGGTTCGAATATTCATCAAGAACAATCTTCCCCGCTGCCATTACTCGCACAACCCATTACAGCAGAACGTGGACACGGAACAAGTCAATTGCTCGACCGATGTCGTTGAGAAGGTGTCTACAGAAGGACAGTATTCGATATTTCTGACGCGAATTAACATCTCATAAGCTATACTTTACCAAACTTGATACATTCGAGGCGCCTAAACATTCGAGAGCACCGCAAGGCCTGTACAATCAATCAATTCTTCTCCGTTTTGCACCATTACCATTTGCACGTCCATTGCTTGAGGAGGCTTTTGTCAGACCCCAACCATCCTCGAGATGAGCTTGTTCGACGACAATCTTGTTATCAAATGCATCTTCCACGAGAACCTCCAACTCCCTAACGCCTTCCAACACTTTGTCATCATTCAGCTGTATGGAGTCCTCGAGAATCACATCTGTTGCTTTCTCACTTAGAATGCAGATGGCCAGTGTCGGGAAAGCTCCAGGGACACGAGGGAAGGATGACGCATCCACCACCCGCAAGCCCCTAACACCCCGGACTCGGAAGCGAGAGTCTAGGCAGGCCATTCTATCATCATCAGCACCAATAGCACATGTGCACGAAGCATGGTGGCCGAAGGCTTCATTCTTGACACTCTGTTTGATTTGCGTCTTTGTGTGAACGGTCTTGCCGGGAGCGATCTCATTCAATGGCGCTGCTGGACCAGTGACACGCTTATAGATCCGCCTGGCAAGCTCAACGCCTTCATACATAGCTTCAAGGTCATCCTTGGCGCCCTCGTTGAAGTAGTTGAAATTGATTATGGGTACATCTCGAGGATCCGCAGACCTCAGCTCAACGGTGCCAGAAGTATTGCGAGGGCGGATCTTGAGGATGTCCCAGGTGAAGTCGTTCAAAGCGAAGGCAGCCTGGGAGAAGCCAGGGAAGAAACCCGTAAAATTCAGTGCACCGCCGAAAATCATAAGGTCAGGGTCGGATTCTGCTACACTGCTGGTGTGGAGAACCGTGGCGGGGATCCTATATGAAATCAGCAAATGATACTCCCCTATCCGTTGTAAGCAATACACTTACCCATTGCTAGCGTATGGACCGCCAGAAGCCACCCACTGCTTGAATAGAGGATCGCCAGCTGTAAGACCCGTGCCGCCATTGAATCCGGAGAGGACGGTCTGCGCTTGGGCAACGACACCGAATTCGTAATTGTCCTGTAGGTTATTGCCGACACCAGGCAGGTCAACGACAACATCAATGCCCAGGCTTTCCAACTCCACTGCAGGGCCAATGCCGCTAAGTTTCAGCAGTTGAGGTGTGTTAAATACACCGCAAGCTACAATAACCTCTTTGGTAGCAAAGGCTCTCTTCTTGATGCCAGGGTTATTCTCGTTGAACCTCGGGTCGGCCTTGTAGATGCTCTGGCCTTCAAGATATTCAATCCCAATTGCCTTGGGCTCCCCATGATGATGGTGGTCGTCAAAAAGGATGCGGGTGGCTAAACAATGAGTCTTGATATACAAGGGATACTTTTTGCATCCATAATGATCCTTTGCGTTTGATGTCGCAACAAGATAGTTTCTTGGGCTTGCTCGGCGGCCATTACTTGTCATAGACATCGCCGGACGATACACACCGTCCCGTCTTTCCGGATTGAAACCATTGATATCCCGAATCAGACCGTCGCGACCGTCATTATGGGTATGCTCATCGTTGCTGACTGCCACAGCCGCTTTGATAACAGGTTCAGCAGCTTCTAGGCTAGAATTATCCGCCAAGTTGGTTTCGAGCCACCCATCAAAGCCATGAGCTGGGTGACCCTCGGCAAGATACTGGCATCTTTCCAATCTCTTGAACAGTCGGCGGACCTCTTGCGACCGCCAGGAAGAGTCACCCGTGATATTGGCAATGTGGTCCCAGTCCGAATTTGGAGGTAGTACGGCTACCAAGCCGTTATGAGCAGCGCAACCACCAAGGGTTCCTGCTCTAGGATACCAGACACCAAGTTGTTTTGATCCGGCAGGCGGGTCGATTCCAGTAAAGACACCTCCATCAGGAGTTTCCCAGGTCAGCTTTGGGTCTTTCGCTTGTTGGCTCTCATCGGCATAGTGCTTTACGAAAAAGTCCCATCTCTCGACTGGGTCTTCTTCGAAGGCTGCAAACATGGCAGGGACCTTCTCCTTAATGTTCTGGCCCTGATCGTCACCGGCCTCGAGGAGGAGAACCTTATGTCCATGCCGGGCAAGATTTGCAGCAAGGGGTCCTCCCCCCGGCCCAGAGCCGACAATAATGTATTCATAATCCTCCCCTCTTGTCTCTTGTCCCTTTAAATCGACGGCCATTTTCAACGAGGTATATTAGTGTCTTTCAATCTCAACTGTGAAGAATAGCCTCAATAAACTTATTCTGCTATTTGCATCTCCTATCAGAAGGGTCTATATAGCTTTGGCTTCCCCTTTATATACCCATTCATGAAATAACAATTCTTCAGTAGTGCTATTTTCTCAGCTGAATTCTACTGTTGTCCTATAGAAGAACACAGCCACTTCCTAATAGCTGACATGGTGGTCCATTGTGACTGCTATAGGGAATAAGAGGCTGGTGTATCCGAGATTATGTTGTACCAGTTCGTGGAGCCTTGGCTTATGTCAGAGTCTGAACTGGGGAAGTTGTAGCGTTCTATGGTAGTGTTATAAGGGTTCAGAAAGGCTTCTGTCAGCTTAGGTTCACGCTCGTAGCCGTTGCATGGGTATATGGAAGACATGGTACCGCGGCTGCGCAAAAGGTGCGTGAGCCAAATGCCAGTCGAATAAGTAGTAGTCTTCAGGGCTCTGAGACCCAGGTTGATTGTGCCGTTCATCTGACCCAGGCTTAATCCAATGGCGAGGCAGTGATCCAGTTGGACAATTCCCGAGCAGAGTCGTATTGAAACAAATATGCTGACAATTGGACCCATTTATGATGACACAGTCAACATTATGGACAAATATACACCAATAGTCAGCCCTATCTAAATCCTGTCACAGTCCTTGAGTCAACACAGATCACGGCGGAAGCTGTATCAGTATCAATCAACATGTGGCTCTCACGAAACAGGATCTGAACGCTGCCGCATACACTAAAAGCCGAATTGGTATTACCAAGACAGAGCACCGGTCAGACATTAAACAGTAGCCCAACCGAGACCCCGAATCTCGTTATTGGAGGTATTCTTCTGCATGGGTAAGCTAATGCTACTATAGTTGCTAATTCTTGGTGGATCGAAACGCTCAGCCACTGCAGCTTAGAAGCATATGATAGACCAATCTGATGCTTTTAAGCCACGGATGTTTGGATTGATGTTTGCGCGTCTATTCTCTTGGAAAAACTCTAAGTTACAGAACCACCTCCTCCAAATCAGTCCGATCATCAAAATGAAAGACCCCAGTGTCACCCTCTCTTCTCCATAATGTCTTGCAGGTAAATCGGAGCACGAAAGAAAATAAATACGATAATTCCTACACGCTCGCTCCTAACCGGTCGCAGGAAGTTCTATGGCTCCCTTATGCCGTCTAGAACCGCGACATGCCTAGTGCTTCTCTTCGTCCCGTGCTTGCTGGATCCAAGTAGGGCACTCCGCCAATACCTGAGGCTCTCACTCCTGTTCTAACGCCTTCCACAAGATGTGTGTCTGGCTGTGATGGTGTCAGTGTCCATGCACTCGATGTATAGGAAAATGATAAGGCCAGGATGGTCCACAACGTGAAATAACACTTACCGTGGCCGCATGCAAAGTGCACTCATTACTCCAAATTGCACAGGCACCCCTTGTCCAATGCATCCGCGCCACACAGTCATGATTCCGCGTAATGAGTCTCAAAGCGTAATCACGAATGATTCCATCTTCATAGGTCGTGACTCCATCAATTCTACTAACATGCAATCCCACACCAGCGAACAGGGACTTCCAACCCGTGACAGGGTGCGTGCGGATGACAGGGTGCGAGGGCGAGAATTCGTAGTCAACGTTCAGAGGAGAGCCCCTAGGCGACATAACATCGTAGCCTCCCGCCTCGCAAGCTGACTTGAACACTGGCTGAGCACACGTTGCCGTGAGTGTCTCAAAGAACTTTTGGAAGGGCGGGGAAAGTCTATCGTAGAGCTCATAACCAGAGACCCAAAGGGTGTCGCCACCTGACGGAGGAGTGGACTCCATGCGAAGGAAAGAGAAGTCTGAGGGACAATTCTCAAACAAGCCTTTGAAATGCGGTGAGCATGGAATCCTAAAAGACAGCTATAGGCTCCCGAGGAAGGGATGTGAAAGGCTATGAAACATACTGTCGCTGTGCCATTCTCGTCCTAAATCACGCGGCTCGCTAGCTGCATTGGGGCGATTCTTCATTGTAGCATACAGCTTCTTGGCAGCCTCGGAATTGATGACATAGCTGAGTTGTTGTCAGAAGGGAGCTCACTAGAAAGATGAGTCAGGTACGTGTGCGGACGAGCTTACATGTTCTTGTCAGTTGTGCCATTTGCCATAGGAATATTGTTAGGGTCGTTGTAAAGTGGGTGGACGTGCAAGCCATTTTCCTTTGGACGGCCCGTCAGTCTGCCCAGCTCGTCAGTGATATACTTCTGCTCATCGACGGATAGGTCATCCTGAGGTTTGCGGAAGAAGACCACGCCACGTTCGCAAATAGTAATGGCTAGATCACGCAACTGCTCCTCAGCGTTTGAGGCTTCCAGCATCTCCTTGAGAGAGGCAGTGGGATACTCGCGACCGATGATTGGTGTGACATCTACATATTCGAGGTGATCAATGGAAGTGCCCTTCTTCAAGGGTTCCCGCATCAAGGTCTTCGAATCAAGAGATCCCATCTCGTCCCGAAGAATAACAACGACTTGAGGTTGCTTTTATAGTGGTACTATTAATAACAGTCAATGGATGTTTATCACGTTTCAAGGGTCGCCCTGTGATTATTGAATATTCAGGGGTGCTAGTCTCGTGTAATATAAAAGATCTAAGGCTCAACTTGATTTCCCGGTACCACGTTTAACCTTAAGGGACGTAGCATTTTCGGAATTGTGCCCGACCTGTCAATGCAAGGCCAAGATCATTGCCGATGAATGCTGTTCCCCCGCATCTCGGTAATAACCGACTTCTGGGGAAGCGTGGGGAGAATTTTAGTGCTTTGCATTCGGTGGGTGGAGGTAAGCTTTCGCTGCCAGGGAATAAACTATTCAGTGACAGGTTATCATGGCCCGGGTTCCAAAACAATCTCCGCCCTTTCCTCCACCAATAGCCCAGGGGGGTTGTCGAATCTCCTGGATCAGATTGGCAGAATCATCAAACACAGGCGAGACAGGTACTCTTCTCACCGTGCTGCGAGGAGTACCCAAGGCCTCATACCTCCCGCGCGCAGCATGCCCCAATACTACGTGACTTATCTAGCAGAAATAGCTTAAATTAAGCTCAGTAGCATTGGAAAGTTGCTCCTCCGAATAGGAACGGGATGTTCACAGCGTTGGACAGTGTCAGACGTGCAGCAAGACCTTCGGCAAGCTTTCCCGGAAGCGAGATAACGGCGGCTGCAAACAAATCACCGACAAGTGCGAGAGCTACCCTAATTTGAGACTCATTTGGCGAGAAGTGACGAGATCCCCGCTCCTAACTGAAAGACGGGAAACATATTCCCCTCTCTCGGATATCGCCAAGATTGGAACTACCTGTATATAGTAAAGGCAATAGTCGGCAGTTTCTGAGTCTCATTAGCACACAGTGACTGAGCCATATCTAGTATTCAGATATTTAATATATTGTAGAAAAGACTTTCACTGTTCAAGTCATGGAAGCAACAGCAAGGCTTCCTTCAGCTTCGCCGCGACCGACGACCATACTGAACTCGTACTGTTAGAGATTCTTACGATCCACAGTCGTTAACAAACATGGTCGCTGCCGTAGTTTCGGCCAATCCACTCAAGCTAGATGTACGCAGCCATAAGAAATGTCTCCTGATATGCTGCCTAGTTACTGTCTCGAGTTTCCAATATGGCCTTGACTATGCCCTCGTTGGAGGCTTCATGGCCATGCCGGGTTTCTTGAAGGTGTTCGGCTACTTCAACGAAGAAACGCAGAAATGGGCCATTGGTCCAACTGTACAACAGCTCATATCTTCTTTGATGACTATTGGCACCTTTGTAGGGTCGCTGCTTATCGGACCGTTCAGCTCCAAGTTCGGGCGTCGACATGCATTGTGGACCGCGACTCTCCTGAATTTTATCGCGACGGCCATCATGCTGGGCACAACAAACCTGGGCGCATTGTACTTTGCACGATTTCTCCTTGGTATGTGGTTCATACGCACAATGATTAGAATCTGAGATATTGGCGTACCGTCAGGGGAACGCTGACAAGTCCATAGGCATCTCAGTTGGGTGGTTTCTCACCTTTGCGCAAGTGTACGTCAACGAAGCAGCTCCAGCTCATCTACGAGGCATTGTATTCGCCGTCTATCAGTGCCAGCTCTCAGTGGGCTCCATTGTCGGTGCGTCGGTAGATTACGGAACGAAGACAATGATGGGGAAAGAATCATATCAGATCCCTCTTGCAATATTCTTCGCTGCGCCTACCTTGCAGTCCATTGCTCTATTGTTTTTTCCTGAAAGCCCTCGTTGGTTGATGACACAGGGGAAAGAAGATTCTGCAGAAGCTGCACTTCGGAGACTCCGCAACCCAAAAATTGAGGAGCAGGAGCTCCAGGCAGAACTTAATGAGATTCGCGTGTCAACTAGGGAACAAATAGAAAACGCAGACAAAAAGCTATGGATCGAGATGTGGAAAGGGACTAATCGACGCCGTACACTCCTTTCTGTTGCTATCATCTGTTTTCACTGCGCCAATGGTAAGTTTAAATTCTTTGCAGTCTTAGCCCAAGTCTTCGATGGGGCCCCTCTAACAACTTGATAGGTTCTTCATGGGTAAACATCTACACTACTTATTTCCTGACCGTCGCTGGAGTCTCTAAGCCATTTTCGTACTCCGTAATGATTACGTGCATTGGCCTCATTGGTGTCATTAGCAGCCTTTTCTTCGTTCGATACATTGACCGACGTGTGATTGTCTTGGTCGGTGTCGCTGCATGTGGGTTATGCCAACTCGCCTCCGCCATTTCATGGACCGTATCACCGGGATCAACCATTACCGCAAGCGCGGTGATAGCATTCATATCCCTCTTCACGTTCTTCTATGTGGCTTATGGTAAGTAAAATTTCACTTGGAGTCTTTTTGTCTGCATAAGCCTACCTTCTACACGATGTATTGCTAACCATGACCTATCAGCACCATACGCATGGCTTCTGGGCGGCGAGTACCCTAACAATCATCTCCGAGCCCACACCTATGGTTTGGCTACCGCGTTGAACTTTCTCGGAAACTGGCTTGGTGTCTTCACTGCACCATACTTCATCAATCCTGCGAGTTTGGGATGGAGTGCCAAGTATGGGTAAGCAACAAGGACATCTTGATTTGGATTTAGTAGTATTTTAACAGTTACGCGGACAGATATATCTGGTTTGGATCAAATATGATCTTGTTCGTTTTCACCTGGTTTTTCATACCAGAGACGCGTGATCGAACGCTCGAAGAGATTCATGAGATGTTCGAAGCCAAAGTCCCGGCGAGGAAGTTTAAGGGGTATGTCTGTACGGGAACGCAAGCGATGGCAGCAGCCGCGCTCAAAGAAAGGGATGTGTTTGGGGCTCATGTGGAAGATGTTACGGAGAGTGGAGCCGACAAGGGAAAACAAACTAGAACGTCTGAAGCAGTCTAGATATACAACTGGATGGACTAGTAGCTCAACAAAGCGTTCTACTTAGACTTATGAAAGCCATTGCTCAGAATCTAATAATTGCATTGATGAGCTGCCAAATCCGAAATGCCCATGACGAAGCTATCACTCCCTCTAGAGCCTGTAACATTTGACATGTGTATTTCTAACCCGGAGTCATAACGTTTCTCATATCTCTTACAAAATGTCTTTTTTAATGCGTGAGGCTTTTGCATGAAGATCAAACATGGCTCTCTGGCTCTGGTGCCCAGGTTGCGATCCAAGCAACGGCGAAGATGAGAACCCACATGATAAGAAAGGTTGAGCTCACACCCACTGCCCGCATTCCAACGAAATACCCAATCAGGACTCCAAGATGAATGACTGCATTAAGCAACAAAAATATGTCGAAATGCCATCGGCCCTAGTTCACGCCATCAGCCTGTGGAAACTTAGCAACCAGGGGACATGTTTACTTACCACCATGACGCCGCACACTCTCCGCCTCCCTTTGGCCTCTCCAATGGTGGCAAGACACCACGCGATGAAAAGAAAGCCTATCACAGCAAGGATGATTCCCACAATCATGCTCACGATGCGCCCGCCGTACGCATCAACGATGATAGCGAGGATCGAAAGGAACGTCCGTAAAATCAGGACAACCCACATGCAAATACGGCGGAGCAACACTGCAGTATCTGATGTTTTCAGATTGTACGCCTCCCAGCTGAAGTGCCAGCACGTGCGCATCCCAGGACAATTCCTTTCCTTCCAGCTTCCGCCGGCAGGGCGAGGCGGCAAATCTTGCGGAAAGCTTGACATGTTTGAACACGATCTTAAACTTGTTTGAAATTCCCAAGTTTGTTGTCTCAGCGCGGTGTTACACTAGGTTGCTCAAATGCTGTGCAAGGTTGGTCGAGGGCCTCTTTGGACGGTGAGATAACCTGGTGAATAGAAATCCTGCTGCCACTTCTGAGAAGGAAGATACGAAATTTTCGAAGTTCTAGATATGGGGAAACCATCTGTGATTTATGACCGACGTTCAAAACAGCACGCATGGATGATGGCTGTTGGTTACATGATCAGTCAACGCAGCCAATTACGAGCACCAGGCACCAATAAAGGCTTTCCCTGCTGCCTGCGGTGCACTGCAGCACAGTGAATGATTCACTGAACGAATATGGTAAAAATCTGTGGAAATCGTCTGTGCTCCTTCGGCTCTTGACTCGCTTGCTATTCTTGTGCTGCCATGGTCGTGGCGGTGCAGCGTCGCCAGCGCGCCTAAGCTGCGTTTGTCGCAAACAAAGCCGCACGAAGGAAGTAGCAAATCCACTAGCCAAGGAGACCAGCCTCCAGAAGGATTAAGTATTCCTTGACCGTGCTCTTTACACTGCCGGCGGTGGCTGGAGAGTGATCAACGAAATTAAAGGAACAGGAGGCAATTTGAGTTGTTGAGTGGAGAAGGTCAAGCTTTCGCAACCCCGTCCATCAACTTCAAATTAATTTCAACATGGTGTCTTAAACGTTCAAATTCTAAACTTTATACAGTCTGTATGCACATCGTTGCGCGTCGTTCCTACGAGAGCCCAATGACTAATCCCGGTGATCGAGGCTTTTCTCTTCATATGAAAGTCAAGATTTCGTTCCATGACCTCACTGAAAGCTCTCCTCTGAGATTCTAGGAGTGTATGATCATATCCCAAGATTCTTAGGCATTTGCGCCTTATCATCATCCCTCATTTCCTCCAATTTTTTATTCCACACCTGCAGCTGTAGCGTTCTAGTTCTTTCTCCTAGGCGCATAAATGATGTTGCTTAAGAAAGCCGTCGATAAGGTCTGAAGTCGAAGATCGATTCTCTTCAAACTAATTCGTGAAATTGCCGGGCAGGTCTCTCAATGAGCTTGCCTCGGTGACAAGTAGACATTCAATGGTCCTTTCTGCCAGAGAATATAGACCCTGCTCTTCTTATCCCAGTCCTTGCTGTCATCGGCAAGCTGCATATCGAAGTTCCATACGATTCTAGCGAGAATCAAGCGCATCTCAGCATAGGCCAAGCTACCACAAGCAGAACAGGTCAGCCGAGATCACTGCCAAATTATCTCATGTTGACTTTGTGTCACTATACTTACTTCCTGCCGATGCAGTTCCGAGGCCCATATGAGAAAGGCTGGAATGCATCCTTTTTGTCGTTGGCAAAGCGTGGGTCATCGAGCCATCTCTCGGGGATGAAGCTTTCCGGAAGTGTGAAGTGCTCGGGATTGTGATAGACAGCCCAGTGCCATATCTCCGCAATTGTCTACTAACATCAGAAGTTGGACACTGTTACTGAGCCTGGGAAACTTACACCACCCGGTACGTACTGTCCGAGTATCACATCGCCATCCGGCGCAATCTTCCTTGGCCCTCCCGCCGGTACTGGAGGATATAGCCGCAGAGACTCGTCAAGAACGGCAAGGAGATAGGTCAACTTCTGCACGCTGATCATGTCGATTTCGTCTTCGGACTTGAAAGCAGAACGGACCTCCTCAGTCAGCTTGACCATGGCGTCTGGGTAGGTGAGCAGGTAATAAGTTGCTGCAGAAAGCAGCGTAGCAGTCGTTTCCGATCCGGCAATGATCAAAACCGCTGAGTTGCCCGCAATCTCATCAATCGACAGTTCCTACATATCAGATAAATATGGCCTTTTCATTATACGGCATCAAGTCATGACTTACAAAGTCCCCTCTCTTCTTCACCATCGACTCGATGAAGTCTGGACGATCCGTCTTCATTTCTAGTCGCTTCCGCACCTTTTGACGCGATAGTTCCTGGTGTTGAGCCATCTTGGCCTTGATCTCCTTAGGCATCATGCGCATCAGAATATTCGAGATGGCGGGGTAGCGTCTCATGTTCGCTGCAAAGGCCATGTTCTTGATGCCCTCGAAGAGGAGCGCTATCCAAGGATGGTAGGTAGACTTATCAAGACACCCAAAGGGCTCCCCAAACGCGAGATCGCCTATCACGTCGAACGTGGTGAAGTTAAACCAGGCCACCATGTTGACCGGCTGCACTCCATCGGCCTGCTGATGCAGCTTCTGAAACAGCGTATCGACATAGGACTTGATGATGGGCTGCTGATCCAACATCGCCTGCGCTGAGAAGCCATGAGACATGACACGACGGAAACGGGCGTGGTCTTCTCGGTTGGCGCCGATGATGTTGGTCCTGTTCATAAACTGGAAGACGGGATCCTTGCCGTGTTCGACGGCGCCATGCTTGCGATGTCCGCGGATCTCGTTCCACGCATCAGGGTGGTTGTAAGACAACGTGTCTGGAGAAATGCGCACAACCGGGCCATACTTCTGATGTAGTTCCAGGATCTTCTTCTGTGCCTGTCCCGAAAGATACATTCGGGTGTAGGGTATTCTAGTTATCGCCCATAGCTTTGGTCCCGGGTACTTGCGCAGAGGATGTAAGAAGAGGCTATAAATCACAGTTCCAATACAGTAGCTCAGTGTCTAGGCCACGAATTAGTGCCATTGAGCATTGTCTGACCCTCCTTGGCTAGGATGGGCTGTTAGTCGTTCTAGATATCAAGACTTACCAAAGCAGCCAGAAGGAGAGCCCCTGCTTGAACAGAGGATGCATCGTGAAGGATTCTCGACGCCATGATCTTCGTAGGATTTCCTGGTGCATGTGGGAGGTTGTCTATCTCCCTTCCTCAAAATTTGAGAGAAAGCGACAAGGGCAGACGACAAAATGCAAGTTGAAACGGGGAGACGGAGCCGATTGTCAAGGTTACATTGTCCTCGGCGTCGGTCCTTGTCCAAAAGCCGTGCTATGGAGTTGAGGGTGTGTGAACCTCACGGTATAGAGTAGGCTAACAGTGGGCGGGGTGTTTCTTTTGAGCTGTCGTTAAGGGGGCAATGCGGCACATTCAAGGCATTCTGGAATCAACCACTGGCGGTATGTCGCCTTATCTTCAGGCCAAGAGTGTTGGGAAGTTTCGACGGACTGTTTGCATATCCTGCCTGGACATACTGTGTCTTTCTGTGCCGCAAATCAGTCTCTTCGTACATAACTTGCATATGAACTACATAAATTGAGCTAGCTTAGATCGTAGTGATGGACCAATACGCATGCTCCTATTCGCAATGCACGCGGGGGTACCATGTGCCGCTCAGTCAACTTTGTTCACGCATCGGTCATAAAGAGACTCCCGAAAAGGAGATCAAACTGCGTGATAGATGCATCTCTGAAGGAGTCAAGATGGATGAAATCGTCTAGTCATGAAAAGAGTATCATTTTTGTTCTATTCCGTTCTACTCCGTCCCTCTTGAGGTAGAGAAAGCGAGCCCTAAAAAATCAATACCACTGAAACTCCTCGCCTGGCTTGGGAAAACACCATAGTGAGAAAATTACTGCGCTCGCTCATGGACCAAGCGACCCATGACCCAGACCTTCCTCGTGTTTCGATCGTCGCCATTGAATAGCCATTTAGCAATGCGATCTTCCCAGCTCTCCCAGCCAAAGACATCGACGTTGGTGTCCTCACCCTCAACCAAACCGTCCTGGTCAACATCTCCAAGTCCAATCAGTTGCGCGTCCCACTCCATGCCAACCTCGAAAGCGCCAACGCGGTCACTAAGACCAACGACCTTGGCTCCTCCCCTAGTTGCAAGATAGAGTACCTCTTCCGAGCTCAGCTTCGCGCCATCATCGCCGCCCATGGCTACATGTCTGCTGACCAGACTTGCCAGGCGTGCTGCCTCAAGAACACTTGGGCTATAGCCACCGCTCATATCAGTTCCTAGTCCGACGTCGATGCCTCTGTTGAGAAGCCATCTCACTCTTGCGGCGCCGCTGGTGATCGCGCTGTTGCTGCATGGGCAGTGGCTGATCTTTGCATCGCGTTCCTTGATCAAGTCGGCCTCCTTGTCCTCTAGGTGGATCGCATGCGCCAGAATGGTCTTGTCGGTCAGCAAGCCATAGGCATCATAGACGCCGGCATACGTGTCCGCCACGCTGCCAAAGAGGTCCTTGACAAGGCTGATCTCGCCCTTGTTCTCACTGATGTGCGTCTGCACAGGCAGGCCAGACTCCTTGTGCAGGGCGCCCAGCTGCGTCATTAGGTCACGGGAGCAGCTCGGCGCGAACCGTGGCGTGATGACCGGCCGGATGAGCTTGAAGCCCGGGTCGATCTTGCCGATGTAGGCGATCGACTCCCTGGTCGCGGCGACGGACGCTTCGGGGCTCTCGTCGCGATACCACGCGGGGCTGAGCTGATCCATGCAGACGCGGCCCACGAGGGCGCGCTGGCCCGCCGCGAGGCAGATGTCGGCGAGCAGGTTGGTGGACTGCACGTCGACGGTCGCGTAGTACGCCGCGGTGGTGGTGCCGTGCGACAGCGTCTTCTGCACAGCGCGGCCGTAGACCTTGCGGGCCTTGGCCGGGTCTTTGAGGGACGCCTCCATGGGGAAGGTGTAGGTGTTGAGCCAGTCCAGCAACGTGGACTTGCCAAAGATGCCCACATTGGGATACTGGCTGGCATGAAGATGCGTGTCTGTGTTGCTGTTAGTGAACAAGACCACCAGTCCATGACGATAACATTATTGAGATTTTACCTATGAAGCCGGGAAAGTAAAACTGGCCATCCTGGCAGGTGTTGACTTTGACCTCGTTTGCTGTCCAGCCCAGTTTCGGGTATACGGCCTCCTCAGCCTTCCTTTGGTCGCATTGTTGCTCGACTGCTACAATCTTGCCGTTTGAATCCACGCAAATAGCTGCGTCATGTAGGAACTCGAGCTCCTCGAGAGATTTGCTGTGGATGAAGGATCCCAAGAACAGCTGGTTTTGGGGCGCCATATTGGAATGAGGTTGAATAGCGCACAAATCGTCAAGCTTGCCCAGTCACGTAAAATCCCGCGAACCAAGCACAAACTGCAGTCTAACCAAGATTAAATACCCTTTTCTCACGTAGAACGAAAAATACGAGGAATTTGTATTACACAATGACAAAGACCGTCGAGAAAATCCGAGCAACACAGGCCTGCGCACATCTCTGACGGGACGGCAGTATTTAATCCTCGTCCTAGAGCTAGAAGGCGGTAGTGAATCGCAAGCGTCTTACTGGACTCACTAACAAAAAGCCGCAGGCTGCTAGTCACTGCGGCGCCTCGTCGCCGGACTCCAACGGAGCAATGGCTTGCGGCCCACGCCGGGGACCGATTCGCCTTCGGCGTTTGGGCAAATCAACGCAATACAGAGAAAATTACATGGTACCTGCACAAGATATACTTAATCAAAGTGACGCAGTCAATATTCTTACTTTTTCGCATCGATTCTATTCAACGTTAGAAAACATCGTATTTTGATTATTTGCACTTGAGGACCGTGATTTTGTCATTTCTACTGTTTTCTCGATTTTTTGGGCGCTCAAAGCGCGGAAAGTACGGCTTAATTGGATGTCGATTTGGCAGTTGGCAGGTCACTGAAGTCCGCCTCCAAGGCAGGCGCCAGCCGCCGACAGACACCTCAGCCGGCCTCCCCGATGCGGCTACCAACGCCTCGCAACAAGGTGGCTTTCTGACCTTGATATTATTGGGAAGCTCTTATCTATAAGTCACTGCAGTAGGAAGATCGCAAAAGTCTGGAGAGAGGAACGCATCATGTTGAACTGTTGAGTTCTATTCGTCTAAAATGCAACACGAGATCTTCTACGCTATATCTATGACATGAAAATGACAATTATTCTGACAATGGCAAGCTCCGTGCTTGCACTGCGTTCGATTTCACACAGAAACCTCTGACTCTGATTACTATTTCGAGAGAAGCAATCAAAGCTCTCTAATGATGAACACACTTCGTGACATCCAAGGTTAGGCTTGGACTCCATTCACACCATTGACTCCATCCTCGTGTGACTCGCCATTGACGCCATTCACTGCATTGTCACTCTGGTATTGCTCCCAATTTGCGAGGATATGCCCAATGCGAGGTGAGTTGGTTAGGCGATATACATCCTCAAAGTACTCCTTTGTAATAGCAAATGGCCTGGCTGTCACATTGGGAATGTACTTGCCGACCAATTTCGCTGGATCAATTGTTGTCTTGTTGATCTTCTTGAGCAGGAAGGATCGGAAAGGCTTGACACCGGAGCGCAGGAAAGTAGAATGGAAAGGCACATCGATGCCACGCAGAGGAATGGTGGCAAAGCCACGCTGTAAGTCGACTGGGTGCGGCTTGGCTTCGGTCTGCTGGGCGCAGCCACGGATGATCTCCACCAAGTGTTCCTTGACTTGCTCAATGGACAGCTCCGCTCGCATCTTCTCGATATCGATCTTCTGGACCTTGAGGAAGTTGGTGACACCGGTAAGGGTGTCGAGAGCTCTCAAGTCGCCGGCACAAACATACTGCATGTTGGCAATATTGTAGTTGACGATCTCCAGGAGCCAACCAGTCTCCTCCGCGATATTGGCAACAACAAATCGAAGAGCCTCCTCATTGAAAGTCTTGGAGATCCTGCTGGGGTTGACAGCGCACATGGAGTAATTGGATCGGCCTTGTGCGTCACGTTCGACGGCGACCTGCATGGTCAAGCCACGATAGAAGACGACAGACACGAGGGACTCGATAGGCATGACGTCGGCGAGGGCTGCGAGAGCAGAGTATTCACCCAGAGAGTGTCCAGCGAATGTGCTGTCGCGGGGTACCAATCCTCTAGCCTTCATATCCTCAAAGCTGGCCTTCTCCATGAGGGTCAGGGCAGGCTGAGTGAACTGGGTGGCAGATAGCAGGCCAGTGGGTGACCGATACGTGTATGAGGTTGTAGTCTCGTTAATGTCTTTGAAGATGCGCTCCGACTTGATAGAGCCGTCCGACGCAACCGACTCGAACGTCATTGCCATGTAGTTCTGGCGAATAGCCTTGCCACGAGGACCACCGAAGTGAATGGTAAGTTCCTTTGGGTTGTTCTTTACAATATTGGTAATAGCAAAACCTGCAATACGTTCAGCATCATGTTTAGTAGTTTGAACAACGAAAGAGGCTTACCGTAAGTATCCATGAGATACTTGTCTGCCCGATCCCAGACTTCCTTTGCAATGGGGCTACTGCCGTACAGGTCCATACCCATACCTTGTTCCTGAGAACCTTGTCCAGTAAAGACATATGCGGTGACAGGCTGTTCAACTTCGGCCTCTCCAAGCAGGACCTTCTCTTCGGTCTCCTTGTTGCTGGCCTCGACCTTGATGATCTTGCGGCCAGCAACCATGCCAACATGCTGAAGCTTGACTTGAATGTCATCGTTAGGTAGAACCATGCCAACCAGAGAAGCATGGAAGCTGCGAACACGGCCAATATTGTTCTCGGCAGCCCAGGTTTCAACCAAGCTTCGAACAGCAGCGCTTGAGTACATTCCGTGGGTGATAGTGCCAGGAAGATTTGCATAGCTGGCAAACACACGAGACACATGAATAGGGTTGTAGTCGCCTGATACGCGAGCATAACCCTCGTTGGATGCCGGAGCCTTTAGTTGTAGGGGCGATCTACCACTGAGAGGGATGGGATTCTCGAAGTTGATCGGCTGCTCAATAGATGAACCATTGCGCTGCAGGTAGTCAACCACCGGGTTTCCGTGCGACTCGCCAGCCTCGTACTCAACACTTGCAACCTGGATGATTTCCTTGGTTGGCAGTTCAAGTAGAACTTGTCCTCGGGTCTCTACGCTGCTAAAAACCGTCTTATTCTTGAAACGGACGAGTGATTGCAGCCGGAAGGTCAGGGTTTGTCCAAGGAGATCAACATCCGGTTGCTGCTCATCAAGTAAGAACCACTGTTTAGATCGTAGGACCGCAACATCTTTGGTGGTGGCCAGATGGATCTGCATGGGTGTTTCCGTCTTTCGTTGGAAAGTGTTCTCAAAGTCGGTGTATACACCACGGTAGAGGAACTGTGAAGTAACCTCCATAACGGCCTTACCGTCACGCACAATGGTACCACAGACCTCAACCATCTTTCCTGACTCTTGGTTGATGACGGCATTGACTTGAGCAGTTGTGGACAGCTCGTCACCCTTCTTCAGTGGTTCAGCGCCAGGCATCATGCGGAACTCGTTAGAAAGGTGAACCAGCTTCAGAAGATCACCATCAATGGTCCTAGGGAAGATGGGCTTAGTGATAGCTTTCCAACCAACCACAATGGCAAAATCCATCGGTGCATACACGACCTTGCCCGGTCTGTCAACGAAGGCTTCACCAGTATTACCGACAGAATAGACAAAGTCTTTGATAGCGTCAGCTGTAACAACAGCTTTACCGCCATCGAATTCGCCTGTCACGGAAGCATCGAGGTCCAAGGCATCATCACCAAACCACGCACGCCAGTAGAACTCCTTAATGCGGTCATTGCGTCCTTCCATGACCTCATGAATAGGAGCATAGCCGGCCTCGGGGTGATAAATGAATTTGAGTGGCAGCGGCACTGCTTTACCCAACGCAGTGGTTTCCTTGATCATGTTGACAATGATCTCATTCTTGTTGACGAGCTTCACCTCGATGACATCGACGTAATGGTTGTGACGAGGTTGTTCCTTGACAGTGATGACTGTCTTGGAAGGATTATTTGGGTACTGAATCTCAACGAATAGACCACGCGTAGGGGCGAAAATTCTCTTCATCGGGTTCGTCTGGTATTTCTGACCCTGGACAAGAACCTCTGAGGTCAAAAGAGCATGGCGCCATGAACGGTTAGACCCTGCCAAGAGAGACAGCCAGTACTCTTCGGATGGCAAAGGCACCGTGGCTGATGACGAGAGACGATAGGTGTTCTTGTTCTCATCGTAGGACACGATCAAGCCTTCCATCTCGTCGACGGGGATCTCATTTTCAATGAGCTTGCCACCGAAATACTCAATGGTAGGGATCGAGGAAGTATTACCACCATAGAAGTCCTGAGTAAGACCAGCGATATGAGCGTTGTGGATCCCATCAAGGATGTCTTTGATGGGCTCATCAACAACGGTTGAATATTTGGCCGCAGTCGGGCCCTGTAGAATACAGGTACGTCCAACATCTTGGTCAATGACGGCCTCGAGATCCTCAGACTGCCACAGCGAATCCTTCTTGAAGAAAAACTCGAAATTCTCGTCTAGAGAAGGAACGAAGGTCACTGGCTTCTGACCGCGTCTCTGGCAGAGGAGCAAGAAGTGCTGCACATCTTGGGCGTTGATGATTTGGGTCTCTGCCTCGGGGTAATGAGACAGGATTCTCTCGACTGCTAAGAAAGGCTCATCCAGATCTGCGTAACTCTGAAGAAGAGAAGCCTTTCCTGGAATGGTGGTGAAGCGCTCTTCAACACGATGGATAAAGTCACCAGTGAGCTTGGCAAATGACTTGTCAATCCATCTAGACTCGTGCTTGACGTACAGAAGCTCAACCATACGGCGAACAACCTCGGCATAAGTCATGTCCTCGAGATCGACAGTCTGACCAGCCTTGTTTCGGCCGAACCATACCTTTTGGAAATCATCATTCAACCGCTTGATGATATAATCACGGTTTTTCTTGAGTTCGGGTACACGCTTCTCCTTGGGCAAGCTGAAGATCTTCTGGTCCATTTCAGCCCAGAAGCGAACTCCCCGAGTAGCGAGCTTGTGGATGGGCTCACCCATCTCGGATCGGACAGTAATGACGCCACCAGCAGGGCCCTTGTAGGTCTGCTCCCACTCGGTATCCTCAAGACCTTGAGCTTCGATGATTGCCTTCTTCGCGTTTTTGCTAGTGTGAGCTTCCTTGGCAACCATCATGCGGCTACCAAACAAGCAGCCATCGAAAGGCATGGGTGGGTAGCCGTACTTCCTGGACCACTCTCCGGTAATGTATGGATAAGTATCCTCTGCACCACCGAAACCGCTGCCGGCAACGAGGATGATGTTCTCTTGTCTTCTGATACGACCATACATGTTAAGGATGGGCTGATGGAAGTCTTCATACGAGTGATGGCCACCGCCTCGGCCGCCGGTCCACTGCATCATGACCGGGAAACTTGGGTTGGCTTTGGCAATGTTGATGACTGCTTGGATAGCCTCGCTTGAGCCAGGCTTGAAAGAAATGTGCTTGAGGCCTAGGGTTTCGATATACTCCTGAGCGACTTCGATGGACGGCACACCTGCTCCGATAGTGAGACCCTCGATAGGCACACCCTCGGCTCTCAGTCTTCCGAGTAGAGGAATCTGCCAACCCATGGCGCGAGGGTTAACATAAATCAGGTTGACACTGATTCCGCGACCAGCCGGGATAGCCTTCTCGATCTTCTCAAGAGCCTCAGTCATCGTCTTGCCGTTATAGTAACCGCCACCAGCCAGTTCAATATGATAACCAGCGTTCATAGTGGCAGCTACAAAGTCCCATGGAACTGTTGCCGGGGTCATGCCAGCCACCAAGATTGGCGGAATTCCCAAGAGCCTGCTCATCTTTGTGTCAACGAAGGTTTGTCCACTAGATGTCTTGACCAGCCGGGGACCAAATTCCTTGACCCAGTCGATGGCAAATTTCACAGCGTGTTCCTCGTCACGATCAAACAGCTCTGGCTTATAGCCCACCTCGGTCACTGAGCCGTTGACAGATCCGGCAAGGATCACACGGACACCAGTTCCTTCCTTGTTACGGCTGGTGAGTATACCAAGTCCCGAGATGCCACCAGGGCCGAAGTCGAGAACATGTGTCGCGTTGGGAAAGACAGTTGCCTTCTCCCAGTTGACAGGATCACGGGTAATGAGGCGGATCAAGGTGGGAACAATGTTGCCCTGGACCTCTTCTCGAATATCCTTGCCAGTGTTTGTGTCATATACAGGAATTCCAAGGTTGCTGGCGTTGATTTCGATGTCCTTCAGATCCTCATCAATGAGTTCTGTGGCCTCGGCGAGATAATTACTGTGGAAAGGAGCCGTAATCGGGAGGAAACGGTTCACAAATCGAACCTTTCGCTCGGTGTAGGGAATACGAGTCTGGTCCAAACCAGTAGGTGCTTTGACCTTGCGGAGCTGCAAATTGAGACCATACAGTGAAATCGGCGGACCCGTCACAACCATATTGCGAGGACTATTGATGAGCGAAATTGCGATGTGGCGATCGGCTGGGAGATATTGGTTGGTGGCATCAATGTGCTTTTGCACCTGAGCTTGAGACAGATCTCGGATGCTCAACATGGGAGTGGGTGTGCCTTCGCCATTGTCGATAGAATCGCGCAACATTGACGGTGTCATAGACGTTCGGGGGAATGTCTGCTGACTTCGAGCACCGATCCAGAAAAGAATTGTGAGCGCAGATCTGACAATCCCTTCCCAAGAATCCCATGAATCAGCTGCTGCGGTTGCAGCTGCTAGGACAACGCCTTGGGAGTGACCAGTGGCACCGCTAATCCTGTCGCGCAGAATACCTGGGTGAACGCCCAAGGACTTGCACGTCACTTCGTAATGTGCCAGTTGAACCAATCCAATCAACGGGAAACTAACTGGAGCCGAGATCAAGTAATCAATGTCAGGGGTCGCATCAGGGTTCTGAAGCCATGACATGACGTCCAGACCCTTTGAGAACAACTTCTCAGCTCCCGGCTCGTTACAAAGATTCTGGAGGAGCTCTGCGGAAGTGGTAATCAACTCCCCAACGAAAGATGGATACGTCTGCCAGAGCTCACGTAGCTCTTCGAAGTACTCTTCGATGTTTCCCTGGCCACCAAAGATGTTGTAGATTGTCGCGGATCCGTCCTCGGCGGCCCGGAACAGTGCCGACTGGTGCGGCTTGATAGTTCGGTTTGAAGCTGATCGAGCGGCGTAGTAGCTGCGAAGAACCTCTAACTTCTTCGCATCTATGCCAGGTAATGGAGCAACGAGCGCGTGAACATCGTTTCCTCGCAAGAAGGCGCGCTCAAACTCGTTCAAGATGATCTTTAGGACCTCTTCATAGGATCCCGCCGAGTCATCCTCGCCAGTTTCGACCTCATTTGCGATGAAGCCCATGTATCTGGCCACGAGCTCGGGTACCGATGACGGCTCGTCATCTTGGGCAAGCTCATCTGTGGGCTCAGGCAAGCTTGCGCTGAAGCGCTCCTTCAGCTGGGAGGCATGGAAATGAAGGGCTGTCGGGACGAGAAATGACGTCTCAAGTGAGCCGTGGGAGATGGTCAAAGGTCGTAGAGAGGCAGAGGATCGAGGAGTGGAAACGCCCGTTTGAGGGCCTGTTCCTGTGCCGTACATTATGGGAAAGGGGTATCGTCTATGATTCTATCGTAGCTGCACTAGGATTAGACTGAGTTTGCACCACTGCACGCCGATGCATTCCCGGCGCTCTCACCTGCTTTCTAGACTCCAAATACTCAATTAAGAGCAGGAGGCAGAATAACCAAAGCCCCAAGGCGCCAATTGAGTGTATTGGAAGAGTTCGGAGTATGGCTAAATCCCAGCAATACAATGTGTTGGTTGCCGTGGACGGTGGAGCGTAGAGGTAGAAAAAGATGCAGAGAGCTTCCGCCTCCGGCGAGATAATGTGTGATAGATTAGGAGTATGGAAAAGGACGGAGGGAGGGATGACAAGAGAGAAAAAGTCCAGGAGAGGAGCTTCCGGAATCAATTCGACCAAGATAGCCGACCTCACTTGATGCAAAATCGATGAGGCGATGTTTTTTTTGGTGGCTTTACTTCGGGTTGATTTGTCGTGGTACTGCCCGCTGCTGGCCTCTCAACAAGGACGAATTTTGTTCGTTGGGGGAAGTCGCGACCCTGAGAAGCTCAGGCCCACTCCTGGTCTGCACCTACCCGCACTAGTGGGCCAGAAGTACATCGCTTGTACTGTCGCTTCAACCCTCCACGTTGCGTGTATTACACATAATTAACGTTACCCTCAACTCTCCCAAAAGTGACGAAAGATACAACGAGAGAAGCGTCAAAGGAACACCCGGGAGGACAGATAAGCTTCTTGGGTTCTCTAAGACGCCTCGGTTGGTCTCAAAGCCTTCCAGCTTCCGCCCTCGGACTCGAACATACGGCGTAAGTACGAGCGGCGGGAAGGAGTCGGGACTTTGACCCCGTAAGCCTTCCCCAACATCTGTCTGTCTTTAGAGACTCGGTTCCCCGGATCAAACCAACAATTACATATGGAGAGATGTTGCCAAGTTGCAACATTCCGAGGCTCACGGAGTCGTAATCAGTGACTCTGCCTACATGCACATTATCTCACACTCTATCCTTGACGGGCAGCCCATCTAACTGTCGCAGTCAGACGGGATCTTGAAAGATGGGTCCTCACCAATAGCAAATAAACCTGCTGTCATTACTTGCATGATGAGCATGGCAATGCAGACGATATTACAACATCAACGGCACGTCTTGCAGCAGATCAACCGTGAATGTCAAGTAAGTCGTTGTGGGTATATTGTCTTCAATTGTGTCACCTACCGTATATAGTCTTTCGTCACCAACGATAACTCTCAAATACCGGTAATCGGTATTCATGTTCAAAAGAAAAGGTATAGGTGGTCAACTCAATGAACGCAAACCTGGCGAGCCTGGGTAACACCTATCAAAGATCATACAAGCTGTACTCTTAGGCACTTCCCTTTAGAGACGGCTTGGGAACAATTCAAGGACTACCTCACCTACCTGCCCCAACCCATGATGACAACTTGGGGCCGTCAGATCCATCTAGAGTAGCAGGTATCCACTAGGATGAAGGTATTACTGATACCCCCAGTAGCCTCAACATGGTGGTAAGCCTTATGAGTTACAGGTCGCCCCGGTCCGAGTCGGTTTTGGGCGTGGGCAGCACGTGGGGTTTGCCGTCATCAAGCCGGCAGAGAGTCTTTCTTGCTCAACCTTATCACTAATCCCTCCTGACCGTTGGGACCGTAGCTCAGCCCAGCCCCAAGGCGCCCTTCTAGTCCAGGTTGTCGTTATCGATTGAGTCTCCCCAGCATCCTACCTAGGTACAGCAGGGCTTTATCTTAGCAAGTTTTGGAAGCTCTCCCGTTCGGCCGGTGGGGCCTCAACTGTAGAGGTGTACCTGCTCTGTACTTGTTTGCGCCAAGGAGGGACTGGTGCAAAGCGGCCTTTCATAAAGTCTGGGGTAGTTATCCCTGGAAATGAGGCGGGTACCGCGCTAACAAAGTGAGAGAGCTAAGAGCTCAAAATCGAACGATAACAGGTCTGGGCTCACACTCATGAAAAGGCCCCAGATGGAGACGAGGAACTTGAACAATGCAGTGAAGTCTTGTTAGAAGCTCCAAGGCAAGTGTCTGAGGCTTCTTTTGTCAGATAATATACCAGAGAGGCGGCTATGGATAGTGTAGATGGATAAGGAGCTGAAAGATTGCGACAGTGAAAATCCTGCCCTGAAAAAGAGGGTGCTGGCCTAATCTGTTAGTTATCGCTGATGGGTGACTTTTGTGCAGGCATCCCGTCACCCGGTTGCTGCGTAGCGGGTGGGTTGACTTTAGGCCAGTTCTGCGTTAGCGCCTAGTATCTCGCAGTCGGGGACTCGAGCTTGAACAAAAACTGTTGGGACGAGAAGCTTTTTCCTGGCCTTCAATTTGGGCCTCCCGACCCAATTACTGAACCCCCGTCCGTCATCAGCCGGCCTAGCAAGCAACCAAGCAGGCGAGCTTCAAGGAACTCCTTGAATCTACGCTTGATCTTTTTTTTTTTTCTACACCTTCCTCCATCCGCCCGATAATTCACCTCCCTTTTCCTCCAGCATCGCGGTTGTGACTTCATCGTCCCTCCCTCATCAGCATTCCTTCCCCCTAATTAATCTACGGATCTTATCAGTGGTTGCTGTCCTTCCAGCGCAACCTCAGCCCATCTCTACATCGGGGCAGCGTCGTCAAGATTGTCGACACCACACGGGTCTGTACTGCGGATTGATGCGCAGTCTCCCTTAATTGAAGGAACCCCATCAATCCTTCATCTCCTCACAATTCTCGAATACCCCCTCATCCCTTCTATCCGAGCGTGTTGCCGCCAACATGCGTCCCGAAGTCGAACAGGAGCTCGCTCACACGCTCCTCGTGGAGCTCCTCGCATACCAATTCGCCTCTCCCGTTAGGTGGATCGAGACTCAAGATGTCTTCCTCGCAGAGAAAACTGCCGAGAGAATCGTCGAGGTTGGTCCGGCCGACACTCTTGGTGTAATGGCCAAGAGAACACTGGCATCCAAATACGAGGCCTATGATGCAGCAAAATCTGTCCAACGACAAATCCTCTGCTATAACAAGGACGCAAAAGAGATCTACTACGATGTAGACCCGGTGGAGGAGGAGCCAGAGCCCGCTGCTGCTGCTAGTGAAAGCTCCAGCAGCGCTGCTCCGGCCGCCGCCGCGGCCGCGGCTCCAGTTGCTGCTGCTGCCCCTGCCCCCAGCGCCGGGCCAGCTGCTCAGGTTCCTGATGCTCCAGTTTCTGCTCTCGATATTGTCAGGGCTCTGATAGCACAGAAGCTGAAGAAGCCGCTGCTCGAGATCCCGCTCAGCAAGGCTATCAAGGATCTCGTGGGTGGTGAGTCTTCGATCACGCGCCTTAATTTTGTACAGTCCCTCTAACGCTGACGTACCAGGAAAATCTACTCTACAGAACGAGATTCTTGGAGACCTCGGCAAGGAATTTGGCTCAACGCCCGAGAAGCCAGAAGACACACCTTTGGACGAGCTTGGTGCTTCTATGCAAGCGACTTTCGACGGCAACTTGGGCAAGCAGTCACAGGCATTGATCGCTCGTCTGATTTCTTCCAAGATGCCTGGTGGGTTCAATATCACAGCTGCACGCAAGTACCTTGAAACAAGATGGGGCCTGGCGTCAGGTCGTCAGGACGGAGTTCTGCTACTGGGTATCACAATGGAGCCCGCGGCTCGTCTAGGGTCGGACAGCGACGCCAAAGCATTCCTCGACGACGTTGCTCAGAAGTATGCTGCGAATTCAGGTATCAGTCTTTCCACAGCCGCAGCTGCCGGCCCTGCCGCTGGCGGTGGCGGCATGATGATGGATCCCGAGGCGATTGATGCCTTGACAAAAGATCAGAGAGCTCTTTTCAAGCAGCAACTGGAGCTTCTAGCGCGCTACCTCAAGATGGATCTCCGTGCCGGTGACAAGGCGTTCATCAACGAGCAGAAATCGTCCAAGGTGCTCCAATCACAACTGGATCTTTGGATGGCCGAGCACGGTGACTTCTACGCATCCGGAATTGAGCCATCTTTCGATCCTCTCAAGGCTAGAACCTATGATTCAGCCTGGAACTGGGCCAGACAAGATGCTCTTACTATGTACTTTGATATTATTTTCGGCAGACTCCAGGCTGTTGACCGAGAAATCGTTAGCCAGTGCATCCGGATCATGAACCGGTCAAACCCAACCCTGCTGGAGTTCATGCAGTATCATATCGATAATTGCCCGACAGAGCGAGGCGAGACATACAAGCTCGCAAAGGAGCTTGGCGCCCAGCTCATTGAGAATTGCAAAGATGTCCTCGACGTTTCCCCCGTCTACAAGGATGTGGCCGTTCCCACTGGACCTCGCACAACTGTCGACGCCCGCGGCAACCTCAACTACGAGGAAGTCCCCCGGCCAAGCTGCCGAAAACTCGAGCACTACGTGCAGCAGATGGCTGAGGGCGGCAAGATCTCAGAATACGGCAACCGCACGAAGGTTCAGAGTGATCTCTCTCGAATTTACAAGCTTATCAAGCAGCAGCACAAACTTTCCAAGACTTCTCAATTGGAAATCAAGAGTCTGTATGGCGAGGTCCTCCGCTCATTGCAGATGAATGAGAGCCAGATTCTCAAGGAGAATGGCAAGCCTGCTGCTCTGGCCAAGAAGCCAAGCCTGAAGCCCAATGGTCAATCAAAGGGCAAGGTTGAGACTATTCCGTTCCTACACCTGAGGAAGAAGACCATGAATGGCTGGGATTACAGCAAGAAGCTTACTGGTCTGTACCTTGATTGCCTCGAGCAAGCGGCCAGGTCTGGTGTCACTTTCCATGGCAAGTACGCGTTGATGACTGGTGCCGGCGCTGGTTCTATCGGTGCCGAAGTCCTGCAGGGCTTGATCAGCGGTGGCGCAAATGTTATTGTAACCACCAGCCGCTTCTCCCGCGAGGTCACTGAGTACTATCAGTCCATGTATGCACGATATGGCTCTCGCGGCTCGCAGCTCGTAGTTGTACCCTTCAACCAAGGCAGCAAGCAGGATGTTGAGGCTCTGATCGAGTACATCTACGACCCCAAGACTGGTCTGGGCTGGGATCTCGACTTCATTGTCCCATTTGCGGCTATCCCTGAGAATGGTCGTCAAATCGATGGCATCGACTCTAAGTCTGAGCTTGCTCACCGTATCATGCTTACCAATCTTCTACGCCTCCTCGGTAATGTCAAGACCCAGAAGGCTGCACGTGGCTTTGAGACCAGACCCGCACAAGTCATTCTTCCCCTGTCTCCCAACCACGGCACATTCGGCAATGACGGTCTCTATTCTGAGTCCAAGCTTGCCCTCGAGACACTATTCAACAGATGGCATGCTGAAGACTGGGGTAACTACCTCACTATCTGCGGCGCCATCATTGGCTGGACTCGCGGTACCGGACTCATGTCCGCCAACAACATCGTCGCCGAGGGTGTTGAGGCTTTTGGAGTGCGCACTTTCTCTCAGCAGGAGATGGCATTTAACTTGCTCGCTCTCATGGCACCAACAATTGTAGATCTTTGCCAGAACGAGCCTGTATTCGCTGATCTCAACGGTGGCCTTCAATTCATTCCCAACTTGAATGATACCATGACCAAGTTGCGCAAGGACATTATGGAGGACAGTGAGGTCCGCAGGGCTGTCACCAAGGAGACTGCTCTTGAGAACAAGACTGTCAATGGTGAGAGCTCTGAGGCTCTCTACAAGAAGAAGGTTATCGAGCCCCGTGCGAACATCAAGTTCGACTTCCCCAACCTTCCGGACTGGAAGAAGGAAATTGCTCCGCTTAATGATAACCTGAAGGGTATGGTGGATCTGGAGAAGGTCGTCGTTGTCACGGGTTTTGCTGAAGTCGGTCCCTGGGGTAACTCTCGTACTCGTTGGGAGATGGAGGCGTATGGCGAATTTTCCCTTGAGGGTTGTGTTGAGATGGCCTGGATCATGGGTCTTATCAAGAACCACAACGGTCCTATAAAGGGCAAGCCATACTCTGGCTGGGTCGATGCCAAGTCTGGCGAGCCAGTTGATGACAAGGACGTGAAGCAGAAATATGAGAAATACATCCTTGAGCACTCTGGTATCAGGCTCATCGAGCCCGAGCTGTTCGACGGCTATGATCCCAACAAGAAGCAGCTCCTGCACGAGGTTGTCATCGAGGAGGATCTCGAACCATTTGAGGCTTCCAAGGAGACCGCTCTGGAGTTCAAGCGCGAGCACGGGGACAAGGTTGAGATTTTTGAGATTCCTGAGAGCGGTGAATACACTGTTCGCATGAAGAAGGGAGCTGGCTTGTGGATCCCCAAGGCTCTCCGCTTCGACCGCCTTGTTGCCGGTCAGATCCCTACTGGATGGGATGCTAAGCGCTATGGTGTCCCAGAGGACATCATTTCACAGGTAGACCCTGTTGCGCTATTCGTTCTCGTCTCAGTGGCAGAGGCACTACTGTCATCTGGCATCACAGACCCGTACGAGTTTTACAAGTATGTGCATGTATCGGAAGTTGGCAACTGTGTCGGTTCTGGTATGGGTGGTGCCGCTGCCCTTCGAGGCATGCACAGAGACAGGTTCTTGGACAAGCCTCTCCAGAATGACATACTCCAGGAGTCTTTCATCAACACCATGAGCGCCTGGGTCAACATGTTGATGCTCTCATCTTCTGGACCTATCAAGACGCCTGTCGGTGCCTGCGCTACCGCTGTCGAGTCCGTTGATATTGGCTACGAAACTATCATGGAAGGCAAGGCCAAGATTTGCCTTGTTGGTGGGTTCGATGACTTCGGCGAGGAAGGCTCTTACGAATTCGCCAACATGAAGGCGACCAGCAATGCGGTTGACGAGTTTGCTCATGGTCGCACACCTAAGGAGATGTCTCGACCTACGACGACCACCAGAAATGGATTCATGGAATCCCAGGGATGTGGTGTTCAGGTTATCATGACAGCTAAGCTTGCCTTGGACATGGGTGTTCCTATCCACGGTATCTTGGCGTTCACCACAACTGCCTCTGACAAGATCGGACGGTCCGTCCCTGCCCCTGGTCAGGGTGTCCTGACCTCAGCCAAGGAGAACGCCGGCAAGTACCGCTCTCCTCTGCTCGACATCAACTATAGACGACGCCAGATCCAGCTTCGAAAGAAGCAGATTAAGCAGTGGCAGGAGTCTGAGCTTGAATACCTCGCAGAAGAGGTCGAGGCGATGAAGGCACAGGGCGATGACTTTGATGAGAAGGCTTATGCCGCTGACCGTGCAAACCACATCGAGAAGGAGGCGTCGAGACAGGAGAAGGATGTCCTTCGCAGTCTGGGCAACAACTTCTGGAAGAGTGACCCAAGCATCGCACCCCTTCGTGGCGCCTTGGCAACCTGGGGTCTTACTATCGACGATCTCGGTGTGGCATCATTCCACGGAACATCCACCAAGGCCAACGACAAAAATGAGTCATCTGTCATCTGCCAGCAACTTACCCACCTTGGCCGAAAGAAGGGTAATGCCGTTCTCGGTATTTTCCAGAAATACCTCACTGGTCACCCCAAGGGTGCTGCCGGTGCATGGATGATGAACGGCTGCTTGCAGGTCCTGAACACCGGCTTGGTACCAGGAAACCGCAATGCCGATAATGTTGATAAAGAGATGGAGAAGTTTGATCTCATTGTCTACCCCAGCAAGAGCATCCAGACCGATGGTATCAAGGCTTTCTCAGTTACCTCCTTTGGTTTCGGCCAAAAGGGAGCCCAAGCTATTGGTGTTCACCCCAAGTACTTGTTCGCCACTCTTGATGAACAGACTTACACTGCCTACTGCGCCAAGCTTGAGGCTCGCCAGAAGAAGGCTTACCGATTCTTCCATAACGGCATGATTAACAACACCCTGTTTGTGGCCAAGGCCCACTCTCCGTACACGGAGGAGCAGCTTAGCTCCGTGCTACTCAACCCCGATGCCCGTGTGCTAGAGGACAAGAAGACGGCTGAGCTCAACTACCCTACCAACTTCATGAAGCTGTCTGAGAAAACCGTACCGGCTGCCAAAGTCAAGACCACTATGGAGATGGTAGCACAGCTTGCAGAGGGAGCCGCCACCAAGAACACCAAGGTTGGCGTTGATGTTGAGGACATTGCCGCCATCAACATTGAGAATGATACCTTCCTCGAGCGCAATTTCACTCCCAGTGAGATCGACTACTGCAACAAGAGCCCTTCGCCCCAGAGCTCATTCGCTGGGCGCTGGAGCGCGAAGGAGGCAGTGTTCAAGAGTCTGGGAGTCGCCAGTAAGGGAGCCGGCGCGCCCCTGAAGGACATTGAGATCCTAAAGAACGAGAATGGCGCCCCTATCGTTCATGTAAGATGACCCTAACCTTCACCACTAGTTAAAGATCGCACTGCTAACAATTTTCTAGCTTCACGGTGACGCCGCTTCCGCAGCGAAGGCAGCCGGACTCAAGGAGATCAATGTGTCCATCTCTCACTCTGACAGTCAGGCAATCGCCGTCGCTGTCGCGTCATTCTAGACCTGACCTACGGTTACGTCAGGTGCTGTTGTTTGTAATACGGTGTATATCATGGTCCAAACTTCCCCTTGTTTTTCGATAGATACATGGCGCGGGGCAATTCATTGTTTCTCAAGAGCTTGTGTTGCTAAAGAACATTTACAAACAAATTAGAAATCATACAGAGACGGAGGGCCGGACTGTCACAGGAGCAAGCAAATGGCCCCAGGGGTACACAAATGGCGTAGCCATCATTACCTAGAGAGGACGGTGGACATAACGTTCCCGATCTCGCTCCAGCTTGTTGAGCGACAGGTTGGAGAGGACGAACGCATGTGAGAGGAGGACAGAGTGTGTGTGAGCCTCAGCAGATAGATTCCCAAATGACTTAATTCCCGTCAAATAATCAATCAGACAAACTACATTAGACCCGTGCAACTGTCGGAGATTTCTCGTCTTGTGTGCTACCGAGCTACACTGCATACAACTTTGACAGGCTCTGTGTCCATCCGGACTCAGCCAGTCAACGGCTTCGTCGCCGTGGCGGAAGGAGGGCGGAAACGTTCTAGAGTCGACGCTGTGTCACTCGTGTGCCTCGTGGCCGCGGCCTCGATTGGTGCGACCGTCCGTCCGCATCCGTCCCCAGGCGGGCAGGGCAGAGCAGAGACGACACGACACGACACGACATGGCGAATAATCCCCGATGTCAGTCTGTCTGGGTGCCACCGGTGGCGAGAATCTTAAATCAATGCTCCGAGGGTTCACGATGTTCCCCATGGGCCGGGGGGCCGAGCGGGTTTCCGCGTTCACTGCACACGCAGAGGGGGAAGGGTCGTTTATTCCAGACGGGCGCGGGACTCGGTCGGACGCTGAGGGGGGCTGGGGGAGTTGGGCACATGCGCATCTCAGGGGCAAGTCATGGTTGCGGGCGTCTACGTGTGTTGCACGACGTCGTGCACAATAGGGTTTTCGAAGAGTTGGACTCACGCAGCGCTCGGCATTGAGTGTGGCGGATCGCGAAGCGCGAGAGGAGAGACAGTGACTGACTACAGAGGCACGAAGGAGAAATGTTTTGCACAAGGTATCATTATTGCGAAGAGGTTCGGTTGAGTAAATGCTTTCATAATGCTCATGATAGAGTTGATATGCAACGCCCGTGATACAACGTATCCCCAATGCCCATGTCCCACTGCCTTAGGGAGGGAGAGTATCTACAACCGGAAATGTCCCAAATTCTGTTCATCTACACATGTCCCTACCATTCGTAAATTCATGGCTGTCCCCTTGTACTCCATTGAAACCCTTTCCCAAGATGAGTGCAACTATGTGCTGCGCGGCTCTGCCTCCGTAGCCGGGATGACTGGTTTCATACATTTGAAAATGACTGTTTTCGATGACACTTGCATGTGTCCTGTTCCGTAAATATTGTGTAAGATGTGAAAAAGTTTGGACAAGAAGAAACTTGGAAACGTTGCCAAGATGCCGTTAGATGATAGAAATATGAAACAAAGAAATGAAAAGACAGAGTTGCTGCCGGTGATAAGAAACAAGATTTGCTTCATCATACATGTTTCACATTTAGCGACTGGAACGCTCTTATTTGGGGTGGACTACACAATGTTTTGTGCAAGTCTAGGGAAAAAACATATTGGTCTCCAACAAGAATTGACTTTGGGAGAAAGGGTGTTGCCATGATACAAGGCAAGAAAACGTGTTGTCCCGGTCTTATTCAATGTGACCGGGACTTTGTCCACTGCACTCGATTGATGAGGGACGTTCTGTCGTGTTCAACCATCACCGCTACTAGTAAGCAGAGATGGGATTCGCGTAGCGCAGCGGACTTGAGGACTGCTGATGGGAGTGCTGCTCTGGCGAAGTATTCCGTCGGAACAGCATTTGCTGCATGAAGGCCTTGGGGCCAACATACTCAACATCTCCGAGGACGGGAAGACGATGGACTTTCTTTGTTTGCCATCGCTCCTTGATGCAATCATCAACTAAAGCCATGAGACCAGTAGCCATGATGACGTCCGCGACGTCAGTCATGCAGTTGATCAGGCTCGTGTCGCTGATCCACATGAAGCAAGGCGGTACCCAACCGCCGGCGCTCTCGTCCGCGAGGACCTGGTTAGGTGACCGGGTCTCGGGTACGATGTGTGCCACTGGGGTTTGGGTGCCATCCCGGATTAGGTGGAAGGAGACGACGTTCAGGTGCTTCTCCACTACACGCTTCCAGGAATACTTGTGGCCCCACCACTGAAACTCATAGCGCTTGTTATTCTTGCCACCTCTACGCTCAACGTCGACGCGGGCGTAATTGCTGAACTCCAGCTTGATGGAGTTCGTGGGAAGTGGTCGCGAAGAGAGGGCCTTCTTTTTGCTGTCAAAAGAAGCTGCGCGCGAAAAGTAGTTTGCGAACTCGTCGTCGCCTTCGTAAGACGACTGAGAAGTCCCGGGTCGTTTGGTCTCTTTGCCAGTTGTGATAGAGGCGCCAGAGCTTGAGCGCTTGAATGCTGGTCGAGCTGCGCTGCCAAGCGTCTTGATGGCGCTGGTCATGGAGCGCTGTAATGTAGGTCTGCCTTCGGGCGCGGGCTCGACGTACTTCCGCTTTGAGTGGCAAACTTCGCGACCAGAGTCGCGGCAATAGCGACGCAGTGAGAACTCGCGCTTTGCGAGGTCGTACATGCGAAGGTGGAAGAGTTGGATGGTTGTCCTCTTGCGGCCAGGGGCGACCGTGTCGACTCGCAAGTTCATGTTCCCGTCAGGCGTGAACTCGTCGTGTCGAATTGACAGACGGTTCATGCTGGGAAACAGCTTCGCAAAGTCTTGTGGTGTTGAAGGGCGGACATTGTGCTCGACTACCTCGCGGCGGTAGACAGGTAGAGGTGGGATATGGTTGTATTCGTACTCCATAGAAGAGTCCTCCTGATCCAGCGAGAGGTCCTCCTCCGATGCGGTAGTAGAGGCGTAGGTGTCGACTGAAGAACGCGGGTATAGAGAGGTGCCGGGAGAGACATCCTGCTCGCACGAGGCATATTGAAACCTCGGTCCGCTAGACAGAGAGGTCTTGAGCTCGGAGGGTCTGGGGCTGGCGTAGAGGGAGGTCGGGTTGGTGGACTGGGATTCATAAGAGTCGTTACTCCTTCTACTCCTCGAGTCCCCAGAGGTGGTGCTGTGAGTGGCGGCACTTTGTCTTCGCGTTGAAGAAGGCATTGTGAGAATGGGGGAGTATGGTACTGGGTGGTGATGGTGTTGAGTTGGGGGTTTTCAGGGTCTATGCTTCGATGTGGGGTGGAGGGGTCAAGTCGAAGTGTCGGGAGCAGGTCAACTCATATATATAGAGCAGATGCGTGGTGACAAGGCCAGTTGGGCGGCGGGATGTTTGACGATGGGTGAGGCACGGCCCGTATGGGTCTAGGCGCCCGTTTATGTACGATCGATTGGAGGTACGCGGTTCTCCACAAACTGAGGCTGTAGATGCCGTTGGCTAGCTTGGATTTAGGTTGGGCAGCGGAAGTTAAGCGCGGGCAACGAGGGTGGTCTTTTGGGGGTAGTCGTCCTTTGGGGTCACGATGGATGGGGGGAGTCGTGGGAGGACTTGTATGGCAAGATTGAGGAAGCGTGTGAGGTGAAGTGATGTGAAGTGTCAAGACAGGACAGCGCGGTTGGCGATGAGAAGCTCTGGCAAGATATGCAGCCTAGGGGGTTGGGTGGAGAGTCTGGTTGGGGAGAGGATTAACGTTATATGCAGAGGTGACTGTCTCCCGCGATTATCAGCGAGGTGGAGCACGGCAAGGCCATTGACAGATGGAGGTCGGAGACGATCGATGGGAAGGATGTACACGGATACATGACTTCGGGCGGAGCAGCACAGACGAGTGAGTCGGTACATCTAGAGTTCACCCTCACATCGGGTCGCAGGGTGCATTCGGGAGTAGGTAGGTACCTCTCAGATGTACATCCCGACTGTACATACATACATACATACATACAGACCTACATGCGGTCCCCATCGCTCCCATCCGCGTGGGTGAGGGCCCACATGTCGCCTGTGGTGTTAGTCGCATGCTGGTGGCCACCTAAGAGAACGACAGGCAGTGAAGGAGGCGGCGGCCATCGGAGAGCCCAGCGAAGGGCTGATGGGATGAGCGCAGACTCTGCACCGCGTGAGGGTGTGGTCGCAATCGACGGACTTGCATGAAAATGGTGCAGGGCTAGCCAAGAGCTTCGCTGGCCGGCCATACAGCTCGATGCCCTAACATCGGGTCCTTGCCGGGCGTTGGCGGCATGACATGGTGGTCGTGGTCCATGGGCCGGCCTGGACGTGAGAGAGTACTGCGTAGTATGGACGTGGATGTGGGCCTGGGTGGCCTTCCCGCAGCCAGCGAGCAAGTCCTCGGGTACTGTTCACTATAGTACAGTATATAGTATTGGTGTAAAGACCCTGACTCCCTGGATGAGCAGGCCAATGCTCAACGGAGGTACCTCCCCTACTCTCCCCTATACTCTTCTAGTCGTGCTGCTGCTACGCAGTCTGGCAGTACATAGACATAGTACAGGACTGCAAGAGAATGATGTGCGGGAAAGGCCAGGAAGAGAGTGGCTCGAGTGGGAAGAGGCGAAGCTCGTTGGATGGAAGCGATAGGATCGGACGGCTGATCGCCTGGGACTGAGCCCTTCGCTCATCGTTCGACTGGACCAGAGGACCAGTGGATGATGCCGACTCCATATTTCCGTGGCATGGCGGAACCAGAGTGGCCAAAAGGCGAGAAAAATACCCTGGAGTTTCCTTCAAAGGCCTCGCTCCCACTGGTCCAATATCGCTCAGTAACCTATTCAGGCCGTTTGCTCCGATTGCTTGGGCTGATTTGTATGTAGTGTAGTGTGTACGTAGATGCATTTAGGTACAACCAGCTTTGCCGTCTCAGATGAGATCCGGTGGTGAATTAGTCCCTAAAGTCCCACGTTCTCTGGCGTGGGTAAAAGGCCCGTTGTCATGGCTGTTACCCCATCGTCTTAACAAACCCTTTGAGCGCGGTGTGGGGGAACAGGCGACAGCGGGAGACTGGATGTTAGCCCCTTCATTCAGTATTGAAGTGACACCCGAAGAGCGTTGAAAGGAAAAAAAGGTCAGGATACAGGGGCTGGCCGGTGGCACCACAGCTGCCTTCCCGGCGCAACGCGACATGCCACCATGACAGCTAAATCGGCTGGTCCGTTGCTGTTTTTTTGCTTTCTTCTCTTCCGTTCTGTTGCACCTTCCATTACATTGCATTGCATTGAATTAACATGAATTGGAAGGAATGATGCATTCACTAGAGATGGTCGCACCTCACGTCGGCTCGTGCAAAGCGGCCTACCTACGTGCCCTGCTCAACCCTGCTATTCTAGGCGAACCTTCATCATTCATTTGCCGTAAAGCTGCTCAGCACATGGCTCATCGAGGCTGCTGCTTGGTCCTTGAATATGGAAGCTCCCGTCTTGCTATAATCGTCGACTACTGACTATCTGATCATTGCAAATCAAGAGGCCCGGATAGTTCCTTCCCTCCTCTCAAGTTCAGACCTTCTGATCTGGAATACACCTCAACTGCCCCTGCCCTCCCGGGTAACAGTACCTCAGTGAGATACCTACCTACAGTCAACGCTGGTGTACCTTCCTTGTGCTAGCAAGCATTCGGGGAAAGGAAGTCGCAATGCTGGTTGTCACTCAAGTAGATCCGAATGATTCTGGGCGGAGGGCAGTTGCAGCTAGGTAGTTGCCTTGGTACCTCCACTCTTACCGGCAGGAACGACTTGACTGGGCTGGCTAATGCCTGCAGCTATTTGCAAGGTGCTCACCAATGGATGTTTCTGGTGCGTCTTCATCTGTTCACGAGATCAACAGCAGCATTAGTCGCATTCCGCCCTCTTCCCCCGAACTCGCCCGACTTCACTGCACTGCATATTCCCCAGGTCCTGGCTGGTCTGGGAAGGCCAGGCAGGAAGAGGCATTCTAGCACTTTGAACGGTTTCTTCACCCTTCACCTAGGTATTCTGCACCTCCTCTCCCACTGCTTCAAGGTAAAGGGCAGAGATAAGCTGGGGTATCAACCACTGAAGAGACACACGCAACGAAACCTGGGCGTACCAAGACCTCGGTCACTTTGACCAGACAATAACAGCCGCTTGTGCACTGCCGATATGCAATGGCATACGTCGCCCCTCTGCTGCGCCTGCTTAGCCGACTGGTCTTCACTTTGCCTTGCATCGCGGTAGGTAGGCCGTATCGGATCGGTGGACGCTGACAGACACTTGGAAAGACGGGCGTGATGCCCATGCCCGACTCCGACCCCCAGCGGTCACTGACAAAACCGCTCCAGGATACTGACTAGTCAACTTCAACCGCTTACTATGGTTGGATGAATCACATAGCATCGTGTTCATCGCCCGGGCTGCTGCAAGTCTTCGTCCAAGAGTCAACGACTCTTCCAGTCAACCTAAGCGATGCTCCCTGTGCCTAGTTGCAGCATCCCGTTCCGAAGCCGCATCAGTGCCCACAGTGACGTTGAGGCTTCAGACAATCTTTTAATTTTTTTTGGAGCAGAGAATGCTTTGCATGTGTTTTGAGACTTTCGTTCACCTTGCATTGCTAGATTTAGCCAGCAGGGATGCCGACGTCAGGAAGCGCCAGACGCCTTTGCTTGAACAGGGCATTAATTGAAACACTAAAGACTATCACGAGCCTGGCAACGTGGCAACGGCCGTGTCAATGGGAGCTAGGAAGTTTCGATGCCCAACGGTGCCATCCATTCCGTCTATGGAACAAGCCTACGAGCCGCAGCACTAGAAGTCGCAATTCTGAGGCTGCAATAAAGCGTCATAGGCCATTGGCCGCTGGTTATCACGGGGAATGTGCCGGTGCCAGTCCAGCGACATAGTCCCAACCACCAGAACATTCACCAAACAACAGTGCGCGCCATCTGAATTTGTCTACCATGAAGTTGAACTAACAAATCTCTCATGACGAGGGACTGTCAGCCACCGTCGCAAAAGAGGCTTTAGCATCAAAAGAAGTCTTACTCAGCTGCTTGTACCCCTATCAGTCGCTGTCATATTGCCCAGCTTCTACCCAACCGTCGGAAGCTTGACACTTAGTGAAGCAGATCACCTCAGCTACCTCTTCACATTCGTCCTTGAATGCGATCTTCATTCCATTCTTGTTCTGCCATTCCCTAGCTCCCCTCGGCTAGGTCCAGTTTGTGACTAGTTCTCCTTGAGGTCCATCTTGCTACCACCCAAGCATCTTCTGCCATTTCATAAGTGCAGGCTCGCAGTGCCAGTCCGCAACAAGAACCCTTGCTTGGGAAAACCACGGGGTGATAAAATTGGCAAGCCGAGTTTCAGCTTGCAGGTTGCTATATCGGATCGAAGCCGTGGACTTGACTTGTGTCACGCTGTGATTCGTCAGTACGTTGGGCCTCGACAAAACGGCCCTGTCCTGCAGCAAGGCACACTTCACAAGTATGAGAAAAGGTACGCTCTCATCGCGGGGCTGGTCTTTCGTGAGGCAGTATGGTTGGTCGTCGAGTTCGATGCTATCGATAGAATCAATCCGAGCCTTGCCCGGGGGACAATGCCTTGAGGCCCGATATCGCTAGGCGAACCATGGGCAACTTCCAAATGCCGTGCGAATCTAGATACCGAAAAGGCAACGAGATCAGGCCGTTTCTGGGGTGAATTCAACGTGTTAGGCTGGCCAGTGGTTACCACTACGTTGACCTCAATTCCCTCCAAGACCTCCATGTCGAGGTTGCAGCGCGGAAGACGGCTCGTTTGTTGTGTAGGACCCCAAAGAAGGTTGTGTGGCTCAGTATCTGAGTAGCTGGGAGAACCTGATGTTTGAGAGCAATTACGACGATCGTTCTGCTACCCAATGTTGCAGGTCGATGATCCGGTAGAGTTGAGGTTCACTCGGGGAGCTACCCGTAGAAGAGGACACCCGCTAGTCAGCGTGATACCTTCTTTCTCGTTTCCCAGTGCACCCGCCAATCTGTCCCAGTGTTTTGAGGTTGAACGGATAAGGTCCGCAAACCCCGGAGGGCTTAGGATTATCGGGTGACAAACATCCAACATCCTCCTAGAGTCTCACCACAGGTTCGCGCTCGCACTTCTCCAATGATACTCACATATTCTTGTGTTACTCATGCAGGAGAAGCGGGGTTTCAATGTATTTTCTTACCCTTTTTCAAAACAGCTTGGCTCAATTTCATGTCGCCATGTGTTATCAAACTACTCATCGATCCAGTATATCATCAGATTGGCTTCAGCTCAACCCTCACGTACAATGCACCCCACACTGCAGGTAACCGCAGTAGGAAATATCAGAGCCATACAGTCAGCGTTTATTTGATGGCCTTGGGCTGCATTTGACGCAATCTCTCGAGTACCAATGACGACGGGACAGGACGCATTCTTGACGCTCGGTTCCGATTCAGCATCACCATGGTACCCCTCAAGGTTTGTCAGGACAGACAAACTCGCGATGAGCCGTTCGGAGGGTGTCGTGGATGCGGACGTTCGTTGTTATTGTTGTCCTTAAGAAAAGTTTCGCCAGACGATTGCAGCATTAGCTGGAGCCTGGTTTGCGATGTATTGTCAACAAGAATTGTCGACTGATGACGATTTATATTGATGATCATAGCACTAATTTTGATTGTTGTTTCTGCTCTGTCAAGAGTAGATGCTTGCCTGGTCTCAGCGTTTCTCAACTGGAAATAAGTCTGAGATTGAACTCTCGGCATATGACAGCTGCTGTCTTCCGTCTGTGCTCGTCATGGCACACAGAGTACAGCCACCAACAGTGTGAAGTTAGTTTCTTGAAAGTCACGGATGGTTGATCTACGGTTGTCTCTTGAAACTATATCATGATCATCAATAGCTACCGTCAGCGGCGCCCTCATGCACCTATCCGCCACATCTACGACCAACCTTCAATTGCCTAGTGATATCTCAAATTGGGTATGGCTGAATCGGTTCAGTCTCCGACCCAGCAATCACAAATACTAGGTCAAGTGCTAGATCTGTATGGCTCCCATGATCAGTTCAACCGATACCCTTTCGAAAGACTTCTACTCCACTTATCCCACGTTTGACAACCGATACCTATGCATGACATCCAAGACATGTCATTTCTCCGAAGTTGACAGAACCAACTAGGATACTTGCAAGTGCCAGTCACCTTGTGACTCGCCACGCCTGTCGTCCTACGGCCAGACTGCATTGAATCGAGTCTGATTCCCAGTGGAACATCGCAACAAAATCAGTGCGTGGGAGGAGCCAGGACCGCTAATTGGCCGTCTTGGGGTACTCAACTCTTCTGAAAAGATCCATTGGCTATTGAGTTGCATCTGCAACGGAGGAAGATAACGCCACCCCTGGTCTACAGCTCCATGAACGCCTCTCGGCCTACCACTTGCCCAAAACCATCCCACGATTGCATGCACATACACCCACTTTCTCTCGTCGGGGCGGGCCGGTCGGACGCGTCCTCCACTATAGATACGTCCTCCGGGTTCTGGGTGATTCCGCTCTTGGCTATCGAGCCTCTATTCAAAATCACTCATCCGCCTGTCATCCCAAGTAGCTGACTGTACTGTGCAAACAGCTCTTCACCGCGGCTAGCCGTAAGAAAGAATTTTCTCTTGATGGTGAGTTTATTGGTAGGCAGCTCTTCCAGAGACTGAGCGAAGGATTCTCTCGAGTGAAGAAAGTCCCTCACTCTCCTGTCATAGGCAATGCTGTTAATGATGAGTGACAGAACTTACTTGTCTTGTGCGTGTCTAATCTATGTACCTGCGTAAGATGTCTTAGGTTTCTGTACTGCAAGTCGCTTCGAATGAGAGAAAAAGGCAGGATCATCCATGATCAGCAATGTGTTCCTGTACGATGATTCCATTGAGCGGAGGTCATCGGCTCCCTAAGGATTTCCAACCAGACCCGACAGCTCGGGGTCCGTCCTCGCGTATAACCTCGCCGTTTTCCGCGAGAGCAGATCGCATGCCGCAACGTGTCGATCCGGAGTGTGCAAGCTTACCATGCTTTCATCACGATCCGCGCTCTGCAGAAGGCTGAGAATGGAAATCTCGTGGGTGACTGCTCGTCCACCATACATGCCGTGTTTGCGCCTCTTCTCATCGAGCCCCTTTGTAAGCGGAGCACTGTGGCAGCGGACCTCTCCACGGGCCACGCCTTGCTCTGAAAGGCTCTACATGCCGAGACTGTGGCACCCAGAAAACGTCTTCGCAGTCTTGTGATGGTCATATCTTAATGCTTGCTTTTTATCCCGCAAAATTGTTCATGCTATGCATGCTGGGGTTCGAAAAGTGGCTTGCAGATGAAAACTGCAGTAAGCATGGCTGTTCCAGCCGCAGACGCCATGTTGGGGGCTGTTCAGCCTTGTGAGAACTCTCGCGGGTTGCGGTATATTGTGAATGCGTTCATATTTTATATAGGTAATGATGAATAATTGCCTTGAATAGCTATGATCTAAGTCTTCCACTTCCACCAGAGAAGCTTCTATGTGATTTTGTGACATTCAATTAGGACTTACAATACGTCGTAGATGGTCTTCATCTAAAGGGAACGATAAGAGATACTGCACAGAAGACTCGTTAAGCATAAATTTAAGGAAGCGAGCAAGGCTTCTCGATTTCATACAAGCTCGGTCACGATGTATTGCGATATCAACAACGTAGGAATGCATGATTTCTATAGAAATAAACGCCAATACTTCATACAGAAGTGATTGCATATATGATATCTGGTCCAATACTTGATATAAGTTTCAGATTGCTGTTTGGCCTACGTTGATAAATGAAGATTAAGCAGTATCTGCAAGGTCAGAGGTATGAAGCGACTCTCCTTAGTCTTCGGGCAACAAACTCCGCCACTGCTTGCTCAAGTCATCTCGGCCACCATCTGGTATGTTGGGGTTGCGAAAATGTGTACGTCTTTGTTGCTTCTCTTCATCGATTCTTTTCTTCATCTCACCCTCTTCCTGTACCGTAATGCTTTTGAGTTCTAGGCCTTGCTCTACAGCCGCGCTCCCAGGGGCTATGATGATCGGCTCAACAGGAAGTATTGACCCTCCATACCATCCTGGTAAGGGGGCATTGCGAGATTCGCCTTGCTTCAACGCCATCCCCTTCCATAGCACCGCCTCTCGTTCTAGTGCTGTCACGGGTTCTTCATCTAGCTGTGCCTCTGTTCCCACCACACGGTATTTGGCTTCCCCTTCGACCCTGGTACATGTATTGAGGATCGGTGGACGACCACCTAAGAGTTTAGCAGCCAGCTCGCCGCCGACGCTCCAGTGCACTGTCTCTCCTGGATGAACTGTATCCATGGGATGCATATGCTGTCCAGGCGAGCGATGATGATCTCCAGCATGTTTGTAGATCCCCGTCTTTGAGTCTACAAACGGCGCCTCGTCAGCCTCGAACATGACCCTAGGCGGGCTGTATCCGGAGTGTGTCCACTCAACAAGCCGCTGCAGCTCATTAAGATCGAATTGTATTGTGTCAGTCAGCTGGCTGATCATCCACACGAGGCTTATGTTCGCAACATTGTTCGTCCAATTTCCATTTCCCCCACCCACGTCCGAGTGATAGCCAGCGAACCAGCACTGCTTCATCAGAGAAGACGCAGCTCCTTCAGCATCCCAGATCACTGCCTGGAAGTTGCGGCGGTGCTCATTGAGCGCCAGAGCCTGGAAGGCATTCTCGACATTCGAGGGTAGCCGGTTGCGTACAAAGGCGAAGCGCTGCTCCTCGCCTTCGGTGGCCAGCCACGGCAGCACGTTCTGGAAGACCTGCTTCCAGCCGAGAGACTGGACTGTGTCCCAGACAGCGACGGCCTTGATGTGAATCTGCCGGCCGTCCTGGAACAAGAAAGTGTCTGGGGCGAATCTCTTCCGTATGGCTTCGACAACGAGTCTGTCGTTCTCCGGCTCGTCCTTCCACTGCTGGCGCCTTGCCGCCCAGTGCGTGAAAATGAGCTCGTGATGCCGTAGCCCCTTTTCGCTGAGTAGCCCAACGTCGTTGATCAGGGCAGCAAGCACACGCGCGGTCAAAGCCCCGCGAGAGAAGCCGACGAGGATGATCTCGGAGTCTGAAGCATTGCCATAGTGCTTAGAAAGGAATGTGTGCGCCGCTCGGACGTTCTCCTCAATGCCTGGATACCTTTTAGACCAGTTTCGTAATGACGATGTGTCAGAAAGCGTAAGATCCTACGCACCGCCACCTGTGGCCCCTTTGCTCTTATTCCTCAGAGTCGTCCACACTCCAGATCCCGTCGTGGAACCAATGCCTGGCAGGTATGCCCAATATTGCATGTATCGCCGGCCGCGCTCGTCTGTCCTCTTGACACACCGGCCTAGCCGTGGCACATTAGACATGGCTTTGGTCAGGTCGCGGTAGTTATTGCCGGTCCCATCGCAGCAGATGATAAAACGCTTGCCGTACGCAGGGTCGGTGGGTGCCTGAGCCATTGGGTATATACATTCGACCTTCACCTCTGTTAGATAGTCACTCTCAAGTCTACATACTCTTCATTCATCTGGGCACACTTCGAGAGTTGCTGTCTCCGGCAATTAGGGAACGGTGAAGAAAGCAAGGGTGAGAAAGATTAGGCAACTATTTTCAGCCCCCAACATGGGTCCTTTAAAACTGTGTACGGTGATAAAATCCACGGCCAACCTCGCTCAACTACATGGCAAGCAGGTTTAAGATCACACTCGATCACCGATTTTCGATAGACACATTCTAAGATAATATTGGGACGATCTTTTGTTAGAACTCAAGAAGAACTAGAATGATGTAACGATAGTGACTCCTTGCGAGCTGGCTATTCATCGATGCAACGATACCTCCCCCCTTTTCCATTTCAGACATCCTCAACGGCGGCCTGCATCGACAGCCCCTATTTAGCAGGAGACATCCGCAGACCGTTCTTGACCCGTCTAGCCTTGTTGTAGTTTGCAGGGCACCAACGCCCCGTACACTTCAGCTGGACATTCTCCTAATTCTGTCCCTCCCAGCCAACCCAGCTCCTCGGCATGACGCGCCAGATCTTGACCTCGCCGCTGCGCAGGTCGTCCAGCTTGTAGCTCTCCTGCTTGACCTTCTTGTTCTCGCGGCCCTGCTCCCACGCGCGGACCTTCTTCTTGGTGCCATCCCACTCCGCAACCACAGCGACGTGATCAGGCTTGCCCACCTCCATGCTGTACTTCGCGTGCATGGGGCCGTGCTTGCCTTGGAATTTGGCGTTGCGGATGCTGATGATATCTCCGGGTCGGATCTCGTCGTTCTGAGTGGTGCTGGCGTTTGCAAGGTTTGAGTAGACTAGAGCGCCGTATGCACGAGTTCCGACAGGGAGCAACGCGTCCTTGAGAGGCTTCAGAAGTTCGAGAACTAGTGCCTGAGGAGTGCCATCTCCTACGACCGTATCCTTCTTGCTAGTCACGCCTTCAGAGATAGTTCGGCCAAAGCGTTCGTACGACTGCTCCAGTTGATCTTGTCTCAGAGTACGAGGCGGCGCTTCGTGGCGTTGCTCAAGATGCACATCAGTTGAATCTTGCGGGTCGAAACGCACAGTGATCACCGTTTGAGAATAGTCCTGGAAAAGGACATAGATATCTCTTGTGATTGTGGTTTTTCCGCCACGCTTGGAGGATTGCGAATCCTCAGACTCAAAGAAAATATCCTTGCGGCCTTGCAGTTGCGGAGGCAAGCTATTGGGTTGAAGCCACCAGCCTGTCTGGCTCGCCAAATCGATATCGTTAGCAACGAATCCGGATTCCATTGACGGACGGTTCACATCCAGTGATCTTCGGCCGCCGCCTAATTGTCTGGCAGCGTCCATGGAGTGTCTGGCTTGAGCACGTCCTGGTGCTGGTGCGGCAGGAGGAGCTCTGTGGTCTGAGGGAGACTGGTACGAAGATGAAGGCTCAGGAGGTGAGTAGATGTCCTCCGAGGGTCTGCGTGGTGGTGGGGCCGGCTGTGAGTAGCCTGGCATGACGGGAATGGCGCGAGGAGTAGGAGAAGCGGCATTGTAGTTGAAAGGGTCGTAATCCTCATCATCGTAATGCGGCGTCGCAGCCTCCTTTGGCGGAGGTGGTGGAGGAGGAGCAGTTCGTGGAACATCAGCAGAGCGTCGAGTGTCTGGAGGAGGTTGGCTAGGAATAGGAGGTGGTGGGGGCATAGCTCTTGGGGGTGCTCCTGATGGTACAGGGGGAGGGATTGACGGCGGAGCCTCGGTTACAGGCGATCGAATGGATAAGGTGTCCTCAAAGCTAGATTCACGCCCGTGGGACTTCAGCGCATCCTTGTGAGGGGCTGAGGAGGCGATATCGGTATCGTAGTCTCCCTCATACTCAGTGACTTCTTCATCCTCCTCCTCCTCATCTTCGGGCAATGGCTTTGTCGGAGAGAAAGGACGGGCATCAGACGTTGATGTCCGGCTCAACCCTCCGGGCGGTGGCGGAGGGGGAGGGCGGGTTTGAGCAGGTGGCAGCGCTGGAGCTGATCCCGGAACCGGGGGAGGCGGTCTGCTATTTCGCTTGTTGGGGGGTGCGGGAGCACCACCGGTTGGAGATGCAAGAGGAATATCGTCACTCATGAATGATCGCCGCTTAGCTGATGGAGATAGCGGTGAGGTAGGTATTGCTGGAGGCGGAACAGCTACAGGAGGGGGGGGTGGTGCTCTAACACTGGGCGGTGCCTCGCCCCTAGGTGTGTCTAGAGATTCTTGAGGTGTGCGCTCCGACAGCTCGTCGTCAGACTGGGATCCTTCGCTTTGGGACTTCACGGCCGCAGCAGAAGAAGGGACGGGCGGTGGGCGGGCTTTTACACGTTAGCTATATGCGCCGGTAATTAGCATGATGGAGAGAAACGTACATTCTGACGGCACAGGCGGAGGTGCCGGACGGCCGGCTGGAATAGGGGGAGGGCCACCTGTCTCTCGTGACGGTACTGCACCCAGGTTAACACAAGTTTGCCCGCCTGAAAGCATTTGCACTTACCTGGCGGCGGAGCCATCATCTCTGGCTCGACTTCCTCGTCATCCTCTTCGTCTTCGACTCCCGGAGTCAGAGGCTTCGGTTCCTCTGCAATTGGAATCCTCTCGCTTGACCGTCTCGGAAGAGCCATGCCCGGCAATCCCATCATGATTGGTACTGGTGGCGCATGTCCGCCTGGTGAAGCCACTTCGCCGGAGTCTTCACTTAGTCGCTTTTCCGAGGATGCCTTCTTTGGCTTCTTGGGTTGAGCTGGGGCGGAACCGGGCATGGGCATCATGCCCGGTGGTCCAAACATGCCATGCATGCCCATGCCACCGCTCATTTTCGCCATCCTCTGGCGTAGCTCTTCCTTCCGTCTGGCTTCAGGGTCGACATCGTCATCTTCTTCATCTTCCTCCTCGTCCTCCTCTGCTTCTTCGTCTTCTTCCGTCTTCTCAGTTGGCGGAGGGCCAGAGGTTGGGGCACGAGAGACGGGTCGGGGTCTCTCATCGCTGTCTTCTTTCTCGGTAAGGTCACCTTGGTCCTCCGTTGTGTCTCCCGCACCAGACATATCTGCCTCGTTGCCGTCCTTCGGTTCTACGCCCTTTGAGGAAGCTCTGCGTCTCGGCGGAGCCGGTTGGCGCGGCGGATGCGACTCATCCAAGGACCGCTTGCCTCCCGTCTCCTCGGTGTCTCTACGCTCCAGCGGGTGCGGCTGAACATGTTCATTCTCTTCAGTTGCTTCAACCGGCTCGTGGCTTTCAGTGCGCTTCTTGGGCGGCCGCTTGGGCTTCTCCTTCTTCGCAGCGGCTTCTGCGTGTCGCTGAGCCTGCTCCATCTGTTGCCTTTGCAGGAGAGCGATACGATCCTTCAAGCTAGTAGGTTTCGGCTGGTCCTCGCCTTCCGCTTCGTTTGATCCTCCGGGTACCAATCCGGCCTTCTCGGCAGTCTCCAAATTCTCAGCTTCCCGTTCCTTGATCTCGGGATCTTCGTCACGCCTATAGACCTTCGCGGTGGGGGCATTTTGCGGGGGTGGAACATATGCATTTCGGCTGGGAGGAGGCGCAACAAACGGCTTCTTGACGAAACCCGAGCTACCCGAACCCAGTCCTGCAGGCTTGTACGGTGCGATTGGTGGCGCGGCAGCCTTGTTGAAAGCTGCTATGCGATCCTTGAAGGAGCTGGGCTTCTCTGAAACCGGAGGCGGTCCGGGCTTGGAGGAGGGAGGTGCGGCTTTTTGAGCCGGTGGTTCAGACTGTTGGGGCGCTGGGGGCGGAGGAGAAAAGGATCGCACTGGCTCCGCTGCTTTTGGCTGAGGAGCTGCCGGAGGTGATAGCGGTTGCGTTGAAGCTCGTCTGGGCGAGGAGGCCTTGAATTCCTCTGCTGGCTCCTCGGGTTCGGGCTGAGGCGCTGCTTGCTTAGGAGACGTCGGGACTGGTACAGACGGCTCTTCAGCAGCAGGAGCTGGAGCTGGAGCCGGTGCAGCTTCGGGCTCTTTCTTGGGCGGCCGAGCTCGAGTCGGGCGGGGAGGAGCGGTAGGCTCATACTTCTCCACGAAGTTACGTGGGAAGATGCCTTCCTGCTTCACCCCGGCGTCGTCGATGTATTCTCCGCCATACCAATCGGGGTCCTCCTCGTCCGTGACGGTTATGATTGTGCCGATGGGGAACTGCAGGTCATCCTCGTGCGGCGACGAGTAGTCGTAGACGGCCTTGACCTTGAAGGGCATTTTGATGACGCGGCCGGAGCCCGGGTGAGCTCTTTACCGTCAGACGTCGAGGATGCGGGGGTGTTTCTCGGAGGTCAACGCGCGAGCCAGTATGCACAGCGGGTGGTCGAATGTCGAGCTGGAAAGCGACGGAAGAGTTGGAACAATGTTAAAGGTCAAAATAGCAGATGGAAGAGCGGTTGGCGTGACTTGGAGAAGCGCCGAGGCTTAGACGTCAAGCTGGGGGGCTTCAATGGAGAGGAGGTCTTGTCGGACGACGTCAGCGCAAACAGCTAGTTCGGAACCCCCAGTGTTTGTGTCGGGGAATTAGAACCTACCGCCAACACACAAGGCCCAAGTGATTGCCCCACGACCAAGAACGATCAGCAGCTATCTGTGGCTTTGCTCTTAAGTCTCTGTCTGAAGAGCTCAGGGTGCTGAGGCCATGTGGCACAAGCTCTTCGTGTTTGCAGCAAGTTGATGGTGATGGTGATGGGTGTTGCCTAGCCGTCCCTCGTCGACACTTCGCCTTTTCGACAGAACAACGTGGTGCTGGCCGTTGGTAGCGTTTTAGGTGCCGAGAATAGCGTAAGACAGACCCGAGGAGGGGGGCGAAGCTCAGTCCGGTCGAAACGGGTCGTCTTGAAGATCAGGATCCCAAAACCAAAACGCATAGGCCCAATCCGGCTATGCCATGAGGCCGAATGGACTTGACTTGCTTGCCCTGAAGTGACTGCAGCGGCTATATGTACTGTTCGTGTACATATATGCACGAAGAAAACGGGTGGGTGGGTGGTTGGAAGGCCAGCATCAGCGGCGGGCTGCCTGCTACCTAAGGTACTATTTACTTACCTACCTTACCTTTCCCACTCTATCTACCTAGGTATCTTCCTAGCCCATCCAATAGCTGTGCAACCAAGCAGACGGTGTGGCACTCGCTGCGACGAAGGATTCAATGCGTGCAAAAAGCCCCCAGTGGGGCTGATGCCACCCAAAACGGCCACCTGCAAACTACCTGTTGAATACTGAAGGAAGCTAACCTACAGGCAGCTAACCTAATCTGTGTGGCGAGTACTTCAATGACGGAAATGTCATTGTTCACCCAATCCTCCTTACCTGCACACATCGATACGCAGAAGAATCTGTAGATCGTCACAACGTCGTCATGGCTTCTGATGCAGCAGCAAGGCCCCTCAAGAGCATTTTGAAGAAGAATACAGGCGGTGCTGGTGCTGCCCCACGCCGTCAACAGCATGCCCCGCCGAAGACTGAGGCCGAGCAGATCGCTCGCCAGCACGCGCGCATCATCCAGGATAGAAAGGAGCTCGAGACACAAATCTTTGACAACATTAACGAGCTGACCGAGTATCCGCTCGTCAGAAGCGAGTCCTACTCGTCTGCCAACCCGGCACCGAGCGACGTGGCCGGCTTCAAGTCCCTGATCCGACTGTTCCAACCCTCCGACTACGACGACCTCATCGAGGAGCGCAACACCTGCGGACTGTGCGGCTATGCCCTTTGTGCTAAGCCGCGAGTCACCTACAAGGGCGGCGGTGTCTGGAAACTCGTCAACACGGGCACCAAGGACTTCAACATCGTCGAGAGGAAGGAGCTGGAGAAATGGTGTTCCCAGAAGTGCGCTAAGAGAGCGCTCTACATCAAGGTGCAGCTGAACGAGACGGCAGCCTGGGAAAGAGCAGGCATCCCAGATATCGAGATTGAGCTGCTGGACGAGGAGTCCTCTGCTGCCGCCAAGTCAGAGCCAGAGAGGCTAGCAGCCGAGATGGGCCGACTGAACTTGGAGCAGGAGAGGAAGACAGCACAAGACTCCGCTTCGCTCGCTCTGGAAAGGGGAGACACTGCTAAGAAGCAGCCCAGAAAGCCGGTCGGGGTTACAATCAGAGAGAAGGTTACAGGCCAGGCCGAGCCACCCTCTCTGGAGGACTCGGCAGCCGCGTCAAACGTAGTAGAAGGCTATCAAGCCAAATTCGGGGCCCCGAAGGACGTTGACGAGTAGTTTCATAGACTTCGGCCCGGTATGGTGCATTTAAGAAAGGAATGATACCCAATATAGAAGCATGGCGTTTGGCAAAGAAAATCATAAGGCATGTCAGGAAAAAGGAAAACCGGCCATCCATTCTTCTAGCGTAAGGGTCTACACGCCGAAGTGGGTGGTGCAAGACGACAAGAGGTAGAGCATCGCAGGAGATAGCCTTGGAAGGCTGTCTTTCATACAATGCCCCAACACACTCAACCTAGTCACGCGGTATAGCAAAAATTGGAAGATTGGCAATCAAGCGTCATCTCTGATAAATCAGAGAATCGGCGACACCTTGTAGGAGCACGGGATCTTCATTGGATCTACTATGCGCTCACTGCCTTCCATGTAGACGCCAAGTTGGAATCCGAACCAAGCCAAATGTCATGCCCATTCCACCCCCGTTTTCCATGCAAATTTAGTCTCGTCGGGGAGGTCGGTCACCGAAGCGGCGGCCACCACGGTCTTGCGGCTGGACCTGGGTAACGGGGACAACGTTGACGGGGATGGAGTCGAACTGTATGATAACTCTGTCAGCCTCTTCACCCCAGAAGATCATAACTTGAGCAGGGTGTACTCACGCCAAGGTGCTTCAGCAGGTCCTTGGTCTCGGTGTCAACGTCCAGCTGGCCGCTCTCAGAGTTCTGAGTGAAGTCGAGAGCAGAGACCTCGGGGACGTATTGATCCTTGCGCTCTCTCTCCTCCTCCTGCAGCTTGAAGGAGATACCACGGACGGGTCCTCGCTGAATACGCTTCATCAAGTGTGTAGTGTAGCCGGCAATCTGTGTGAACAAAAGTTAGGATTCGAAACGGGGCGCAGTCGAAAATGGCTCGAGGGTGTTGCTGACCTTGTTGCGCAGGCGCTTGGAGGCAATGATGGCGATCTCATCGCAGATTCTCTTGTTGGTCTCGAAGTCCAGGGTGAGCTTGGGGTAGTACCGCTCAATGATGACCTTGGCGGACTTCTTGACGGTCTTTGTGCGAACGCGACCCATTTTGGCGGTTGTGGTTATCGGATTGTGGGAGGGAAGGATAGGAAGAAGTCGTCACAAAAAAGGTGGTTTAGATTTGCACTTTCTCACTAGACATTTTGGTGGTGAGCGCCCACTTGCGGTGCGGGTCCGTGCACGTTTTCTTACGTCTAGGTTTGCCCTACCGATCTAGGATCGATTTCCCGTGCATTATCACATGACCGGCCCTTTAGAGAGCGCCAAGATCCTATGACCCAGTAGCTGGATGACAGCACTAGATCCAGTATCTACCTTAGGTAGTGGTATTGCGAGGTCATGAGATAGATGTCTGGTATTTTACAAGTATAGACAGGTTTACAGATGATTGTTGTGACAGTTACTTCCTCATACACGATACACCCCATTTGCCATCCTCTGCATTGTAGAGGGAATGTTGGGATCGCGCCATCTCTCTATTCGTGGAGAGCTTCAGCTGGTGTCAGATTTCTCGCTAGGAGAATTCAGGCCATATGTTTGCGAGTTGCCCATGACCCTTGTCCCAAAGCCAGAGAGCTTCCGGTATGACTGCGGTGCCGGGGCTTCCTCAACCTCCTGTGGTTTTTGTCCAAAGATCGCCGCTTCTCCCACCATCTCCTTGGCGACAAGCGTTGTCTCTTCCCTTGCCTCACCAAGCTTCAAAATGATTTTACCCTGAGAGTCAATCTTTGCGGCGTTGGCCTGGATAAGGACCTTGGAGCCTCCCGGGGCCTCCGGGTCGAAGTCGTTGAGGCCCGGAATTAGCTCTCGGGTCCTACCACTGATGCTCTTCATGTTGAAGGCAGTGAAGCCTGAAGGAATATCTCCGACAAAACCACCAACACCAAGCTTGGGCGTGAAGCTGCCCATGGTCTGATTTCTAGGAGAGAGGATTCTAGACTTGATTGGGGAGTGAGTCTTTTGGGGTCCGTAAACCGGGTGGTTCTCTAGGTAAGATGCGGTTCGCAAATATGAGATGCCACCGGAAGGGTGTGTAATGGGTGGTCCTTCCTTTGCGTACGGGTTGCCAGTCTTCATGACTCTACCGCTATCAGGAGAAAGGGCACCGAGGATGGCGAGGGGTGAGGCGGGTTGGATAGGCGCAAGATCCAGAAATTGGCCGACCATATTGTACAGAACGGCCCTGTCTTGTCGGAGCTTGCGAAGATAGTCGGTCAATTGCTCATCCGTGATATCGCTAGCCTTTACAGCTGGGGATGTATCGACCTCGCCCTTGTCCATTGCGTTTTCCTGAGCAGACTGTGTCATCTCAACCGCCAGTCGTTCCCGTAGGAACTGACGGAACTCCAAACGCCTGTTCCGAACTTGCTTCTTCAGATAATTGTTGAATTCGCCTTCAGTCATTCCCGCCAGCCATGGCCCCTTGAACTTCCATCGCTTGTCTTCTGCGTCCACGTCTTTGGCATCAATTGCGGTGAAGTCAAACTCCTCCTCAAAGACGGACTTCTCCGGCAGGTCCATCCCAGCTATTGGCTTCTCGGATGGGATGGTGATGGGTAGGTTCATCTCTTGGAACTTCTTGAGAGAGAGGGTGTGGTCTGCAGCGGATGAGAAGTCTGTGACATGCTCGATCGAGTCGACATGCTTGACACGGATGGCAGGCGTCGATGATTTTGCTGTGGATTTCAACGGAAATGGTCGTTTGAATCCCCAGTCTCCACGTATCCTCGAAGACTCGGGCGTTGTGACTGCCTGCAATGTTGGAAACGCCTTCGTCGCCGAGTCCGAGTTATAGCTGGTTGCCGTGGTGAAATCACCAGGTGGTGTTGGCAATGGAGGCGGTAACGAGAACAGGCGCGATGCCCGGAGAATCGCTCCTCCGGGCGACACCGCTCGAGATGCCATTGTCGCGTCTCGGAGTGGGCAAGAGCCTCGTTGCTGCTATTGCTGGAAATGCTCGAGAAGAGAGCTCCAGAGCAGTTCGCGAAAAGATCTCTACAGCAATTGCACATAGGCCGTCTGAGGGTCCGTGCATCACTGGGTGGTACGATGCTTCCCCCAGCAGCCAAGCCAGGGTTAGGGTTGAATCCCAGCCTCAGTCACTTACATCCATGGGCTACTTTCCACTGAAGCATTTCTATAAAGATTTTCCTGTTGGAGGGTTCCAAATGTTCTTACAAAATACCTATTGGTTGAATTAGTTGGGAACGCAAGGACTTCTTACAATGAAGTAATAGCATAAAATATCCATGGTTCGCAGATTCTCAGAGCAGAATCAATACCTTCTTTGTCAGGACAGATTTGACTACATTGCAAGATCATATAATCAATAAACCACAGTGACAAAGTGAGACAAATAAGGTGATAAGAGGGTCTCAACTGCCCCCAATTCTAACTTCCAATCGGCTCAGCACTTTGTTGATCAGCAGGCAAATTTAGCAGGTTCTGCCCCCTGAGTGACTCATTGCCGGTCGCAGATGGCAAATCCCATCACCCACGATATTGAACTTCAGCCCCAATTCATCTATACAGTAAGGTGCTTCTTCTCCCTTTTCAGTGCATAGCCTAGTCTAAGCAGTGCTCTCGAATCTTCCCTAGTCAGTTGATAAAGATCTGGCCAGGTATCAAAGTTGGTTTGCGAGTCGCGATGTACATGATCATGATACGCGGGACGAGTATGGCTGCTCTGGCCGGGAGAGCTTGCCGCTCGATCAACAAATCAACAAGAGAGAAGTTACAGCAAAAGAATGAAGACATATCCATCAATATGATCTTGCGATATTTGTGCTATTCAATAATCGTTTCTCTTCAACCATGGTGCACAAGCGTCCAATAACAAATTATGAACAGCCTCGTCACCTGTTCTCTTCATGACTTCTGTGAAGATGGCCTCATCGACTCTCTTGAAGAACACCAAAAGAGCCACCCATTCAAAGTCGGCATACGTGACCTGCGAGCCCATGAAGAATGGGCCCTCATTCTCCTTCAACAACTCTGTCATCTGCTTTATGTACGGCTCGGCCCCTGCGTAAGTCGCCTCGCCGCCGTTCTTCTCCTCGTACTCCTGGACGGTCATGCCGAGTCTCTGTCGACGGGTCGTGTACCAGTAGTCTACGGACGCCTCGTTGAGTACATTGACGGGCACACGGCTGTAGCATAAGGGGACAATGCTTGCGGTGATCTTGGCGCCAATCTGCTCGACCTTGGCTTGGTAAGGGGAGTGCAGGTCCAGTGGCGGACTGGGGTGGAGTTTGTCCAAGGCGGCGGCTATCTTGTACGAGTCCATCATCCATGTGCCATCGCTGAGCTTGACGGTTGGGATGGTGTATTCGGTGCCTTTCTCATTTGGAGGGAGGCTGCGAAGATGGATTAGTCGAGTCAATCGTGATCCTTCTGTGTTACTCACTGAGGTTGGACCTTAGGTTTGATATCGGGATACTCAGTCTGGAAGAAGTCAGGGTTGTCGTTCTATAAATGGAACGATGAGTACCATACCCATTCGGTCTTATAATCTAGGCCTTTGTAGTTTAGAAGAAGCCGAGCTGAAGAAGGAATGAGTTAGCATAACACAAATTGAAGTGATATAATTCCGTTATGCGATCTTACTGCGTACTCTTCAGTGGATGCCGAGACCAGGCGGTGCAAGGGTCCTTGCTTGGCAGGTCTAGCAATGTGATTTGCCCGGTAGACATGATGTTCTAGGTAATGTCACGGTTTACACGCGTTCACAATATTTTGAAGAATTTCAGGGCAAGTTTGCTACATGGAAATGGAACCTGCTTGATTTTGAAGGATTATTGGTTGACTATTTAGACCCAACGAAGACCCCGCACGATTGCGCCCTTTGGTGTCTAGAAGACATGGAATCATTTATTCCCTCAAGTGTTAGGAGCAGGACACTTGAACTCGGTGTTTGACTCTATGAACGTTGATTTAGACGTAGATAATAATATGAGAGGACAGACCAAGCCTCTTTCTGGAGGTAGAGGCTCTGGGTGCTACTTTGGGAGTACATATTGGCCAGGATACTACGCCACAAGATGCCCAGACACGGAAGAACAGGGACCCTGCTTATATTCTATTTCGCCTTACCAACCGGGTGACTACCATCAGAAGAACGCCTCTTGCGGTAAGAGTGCTATTTTCTACCGTAGGAGTCAAATGGATTGCATCCCACGATAACTACCTCGCTCACTCAGCCGGTGGAGATGCCACCCCGTGGAGATAGTGGGCCGCAAACTCCGATTTTGGCTCGGCCTGACGCAACTGCAAAACCCTACCTCATGTGGCATGGCATGACACCAAGAGAGCTCCGAATGAGGCATCTGCTCTCAGGGTGACCTGAGGTGCCAGGCCCTGCATCTCAATATACCCAGGTAGCTATGCTATTTGATCTATCATACCAGGTATCCTATCCTAGAGAAGCTTGATTACAGGATAAGTCTAGCTGGCATTTGACCACTTCTTGTGCCAAAGTCACTCCATACAGTGGCAATGCAGGGGAGGAAACAAATCTTGCCTCGTACTCTTATCTGGCTTAGAGATGTGGATCCTGCTGGATGCACCTCAACAAGCATACCGCAGATTATACATGCTTTAGCTAGGGTGGACCACAATGACAACACCTTCCCTAGCAACAAAACGAGTCTGAGATAGTAGAGTAGAGAGATCCAAAGCTCCTGTTACTCTTCTACTACGGTGCACAGACCTGCATTATGAAGTCAGAGACATATTAGACACACGAGTCGTGGCCTTTCAAAGCTTGAGGAGACGTAGATGAGGGGTCGGGCATATGGCAAGCTCTGATGAGGGGCAATGGCGATGTACACAAAACAAGGGCAAGCCAGCCCTGGGCTCGAAGCACCACCCTGCATGTTTTTTTTTGGCCGAGTGGGAGAGAAAAAAAATTGTGAGTGTGAGAGGTCTGGCTGGTCTCAAGCTGGAGCTTGTTAGTGCCATGGCCCGACAGATGTGGCAGCCAGTGCCAGCAGCTGTAGAGAGAGCGTGTGGTGGGGCAGGAGTCAGTCAAGGTCAATCAGTCATGTCATCCACCGAGATCTGCTAAGGGATCCTGCTGTTTTGCGAGCAACAGCCAGTGGTACATACCTACATACCTACCTAGTTACCTACAGTACCCGTTGTTTCGTCCCCGCCGAATTCCCACAGCCCGCCAGCCCACCAGCCCACCAAGAAGAGCCAGTCCAGTTCGCCCCTCCTTTTGCCGTCGTGCTGACTTTTTCCTTTCCCTCGCCCTCCCCTCCGCTGCTGGTTTTTGCAACCGTTCAACCTTCACCAACGGTGAATCGTCGCCTTCACTGTTGTCCCTCTTCTTCTTCCCCCTTCCCATCCGCAAACGTCTCGTTTCTTGGGTCTAACCCCAGGATCCGTCACTGCCTTGGGCTTTGTACTCAGCTGGTTGACTGAGTCTGTCCGGCGTGATAAATTCGTGTGCCCCGCCTTTGGCACCCGTCTTGCAAACTCTCCAGACAACACAAAAAAACAACACTTAGGAAGCAACCTCGAGAAATACCGTCACGATGGTCAAGTATGTCCTCTCCCTCCCCCAGACCTCGATCGCACCAGCACCGACAAGATTCTGTGATCATTTTGATACCTCTATCGCACATTTACCCCCACTGAGCCCATCGCACCAAACCCAACCGAACCCCGCGCAATCTAGCCATCCAAGATGGCACCGCCAAAGCATCAAGGATCTCGTTTTGCTGACCTGTTTCCGCTATCTAGCTTCACCGTCGACGAGATCAGGCAGCTGATGAACAAGCCGTCCAATGTATGTTACTCTTCCCGTCCTAGACTATCACCTTGAGAGATGGTAGCTAACGTATCATGCGCTAGGTTCGAAACATGGTATGATACCTTTAATAATCCAAATGCCAGGTAATGGTGTGTGCTAACTCCAGTATTCAGAGCGTTATTGCCCATGTCGTAAGTTCTCGCTCCCTGTGTGCTTTTGCTTCACCTTCAAGCTGACCAGACTCTAGGATCACGGCAAGTCTACACTGACCGACTCCCTCCTGGCTAAGGCTGGTATCATCTCCACCGGAAAGGCTGGAGATGCTCGTGCCACCGACACCAGAGCCGACGAGCAGGAGCGTGGTATCACCATCAAGTCGACCGCCATCTCCCTGTACGCCACTCTCCCCGATGAGGAGGACCTCAAGGACATCGTCGGCCAGAAGGTCGACGGCAAGGACTTCTTGATCAACCTGATCGACTCTCCCGGGCACGTTGATTTCTCCTCTGAGGTCACTGCTGCTCTGCGAGTCACTGATGGTGCTCTTGTCGTCGTCGACACCATTGAGGGTGTTTGCGTCCAGACCGAGACCGTTTTGCGACAGGCTCTTGGTGAGCGTATCAAGCCCGTTGTTATCATGTAAGCCAAAGAGCACAATAACCTGCACTTTTGGTCCCGTTCTAATTCCTTCACAGCAACAAGGTTGATCGTGCTCTTCTTGAGCTTCAGGTCGAGAAGGAGGATCTGTATCAGTCCTTCTCAAGAACCATTGAGTCCGTCAACGTCATTATCTCGACATATCTTGACAAAACTCTTGGTGACGTCCAGGTCTACCCCGACAAGGGTACCGTCGCTTTCGGTTCCGGTCTCCACGGATGGGCTTTCACCATCCGCCAGTTCGCTGTCCGTTATGCCAAGAAGTTCGGTGTTGACCGAAACAAGATGATGGAGCGTCTGTGGGGTGACAACTACTTCAACCCTGCCACCAAGAAGTGGACCAAGAACGGCACTCATAACGGCAAGAACCTTGAGCGTGCCTTCAACCAGTTCATTCTGGACCCCATCTTCAAGATCTTCGCCGCTGTGATGAACTTCAAGAAGGACGAGGTTGAGTCTCTTCTCACCAAGCTGGACCTCAAGCTCCCCGCCTCCGAGAAGGACAAGGAGGGCAAGCAGCTGCTGAAGGTTGTCATGCGCACTTTCCTTCCCGCTGCCGACTCTCTTCTGGAGATGATGATTCTTCACCTGCCTTCCCCCGTCACCGCCCAGAAGTACCGTGCTGAGACTCTGTACGAGGGTCCCCCTGATGATGAGGCTGCCATTGGTATCCGTGACTGCGACCCCAAGGCTCCTCTCATGCTGTACGTCTCCAAGATGGTGCCGACCTCCGATAAGGGTCGTTTCTACGCCTTCGGTCGTGTCTTCGCCGGTACCGTCCGATCCGGTCTCAAGGTCCGCATTCAGGGCCCCAACTACGTCCCTGGCAAGAAGGAGGATCTGTTCGTCAAGGCTATCCAGCGTACCGTCCTGATGATGGGTGGCAAGGTCGAGCCCATTGACGACATGCCTGCCGGAAACATCGTCGGTCTGGTCGGTATCGATCAGTTCCTGCTGAAGTCCGGTACCCTGACCACCAGCGAGACTGCCCACAACCTGAAGGTCATGAAGTTCTCCGTCTCTCCTGTCGTGCAGCGATCCGTCCAGGTCAAGAACGCCCAGGATCTTCCCAAGCTGGTCGAAGGTCTCAAGCGTCTGTCCAAGTCTGACCCTTGCGTCCTGATTACCTCCAACGAGGCTGGTGAGCACGTTGTTGCTGGTGCCGGTGAGCTGCATCTCGAGATTTGCTTGAACGATCTCGAGCACGACCACGCTGGTGTCCCTCTCATCATCTCCGACCCCGTCGTTCAGTACCGTGAGACTGTCGCTGGCAAGTCAAGCATGACTGCTCTGTCCAAGTCCCCCAACAAGCACAACCGTCTGTACATGGTTGCTGAGCCCATGGATGAGGAGCTCTCTCAGGCTATCGAGCAGGGCAAGGTCAGCCCTCGTGATGATTTCAAGGCACGTGCTCGTGTCCTTGCCGATGACTTCGGCTGGGATGTCACCGATGCCCGAAAGATCTGGACTTTTGGCCCTGACACCACCGGTGCCAACTTGCTGGTTGACCAGACCAAGGCTGTTCAGTACCTGAACGAAATCAAGGACTCCGTCGTGTCTGGTTTCCAGTGGGCAACGAGAGAAGGCCCGATTGCTGAGGAGCCGATGCGCTCCGTCCGCTTCAACATTCTTGATGTTACCCTGCACGCTGATGCCATTCACCGTGGTGGTGGACAGATCATCCCGACTGCCCGTCGTGTCCTGTACGCTGCTCACCTGTTGGCTGAGCCTTCTCTGCTTGAGCCCGTCTTCCTGGTTGAGATCCAGGTGCCTGAGCAGGCAATGGGTGGTGTCTATGGTGTCCTGACCCGACGACGTGGTCACGTCTTCCACGAGGAGCAGCGTCCTGGCACTCCTCTCTTCACCATCAAGGCCTACCTGCCCGTCATGGAGTCCTTCGGTTTCAACGGTGATCTGCGCCAGGGTACCTCCGGACAGGCTTTCCCCACCCTTGTCTTCGACCACTGGCAGACTCTGCCTGGTGGTTCTCCTCTGGACCCCACCTCTCTCACTGGAAAGGTTGTCCAGGATATGCGTAAGCGCAAGGGTATCAAGGTTGAGGTTCCGGGCTATGAAAACGTAGGTTTCCCTTCAAGTCCTCCCTCTCCGCATTACAGATTTGCTAACATGATGAAATAGTACTATGACAAGCTGTAAACGCTTTCTCTCGACGCTCATAGACTTCAGTCGGTGCTGTTTCTGGCATTCCTCATAGAACGGCTCTTTCGCAAAATGGACTCGTTAGCTCTTCGCTACTAGTCAAAGAGGTACTGGGTCACAAAACGGAAAATGAGGCTGGGGATGATAAACGACGAGCAGAGGATTAAGCAGAAAGCTCCGGAACTTTCGTTATCATAGTCCACTTTCCCTGCTGTAGTTACGTGAGGATTCGAATTGAGTGCATTGATGAAATCGAAAGGCCATGTTATAGATGACAGCCCTGTCAGGGGTTGAATGAGTGAATTTGGAGTGCAAATTGTGAAAGAAGAATAGAGATTGTAAATGAAGTCTACGCAGACCGACATCCATGTGAACCATGCGTAAGGCTGAGCTGGAGACGAAAACCGTTTGATGTGGCTCAGTTGCTATGACGCAGCCAATGGGCGCACGGCAAAGCTGGGGCTGTCAGCCACCCAACCGACCTCGAGCTCTCTCTCTTGTGCCTTGTGACGCGATTGTCCCCCGAGGCCGACGACTCGCACCACGAAACTTGCTGCTAAGCACCGAAGCCCTTTTACTTCAAACGGACTGTTTTGTTGCTCGATCGACACTCCCACCCCATGACCTAATAACAGTAGTATACCCATCCATATCGCAGTGGGCAACCATGTTGTTCCCGGAGGAAGATGCGCCGCTGCTCAAAGCCTGGATTGTGAAGCGGCTAGAGGATACGTGCGTCAACCTCGAGTTTTTCGCGAGCACCCCAGGGTCACCATGGCTAACTACTAAATTTGCTACAGGTCTGATGCGGACGCTGATGTCCTCGCCGACTACGTTCTCGCTCTTCTTCGCCACGATGGAAGCATCGACGACGTCCGCAAGCTCTGCGAAGAGGAAATACCCGATTTCCTCAAGGAAGGTGCGCAAAGGCAGATGTCAAGCTGCACATGGCCGTGGTCCCCGCTAAATCTTACTTCGCAGATTCATCGGTTTTCGTCCGAGATGTCTTCGAGGCAATCCAGTACAAGTCCTATCTCCCAGGCGCTCCTCAACCTCCAAAGCGACCCGCCGCAAAATCTCAGTTCGAGTTCTCCGGCCTGACAATGGGCGGACCGCCACAACTTTCGATGGGTCTTCCACCACAGAACGGCAACAAGAAACGCTCGTTCCACGATCGCGGCGAGCCAGATGCGCCGACGGGCAGAGACGGCCCCCAGCATGGTGGCAGACAGTACAAGCAGCCTCGCCGAGGAGGTGGCCGTGGCGGTCGTGGGCCGGGCGGCTTCCAAGGAGGGATGATGCAGGGGCCTCACCAGGGCGCACAGCAGATCATACCGGCGTTCGACCCGAACAATCCCATGGAGGCGATTCTGAAGATGCAGCAGATGGGCATCCCCATACCCCCGATGCCCACCTATTCAGGGGGTTACCAACCCCCGCGCGGCCCGCAGGTGCAGAGGAGGAGAGGCAGGTGTCGAGACTTTGAGTCCAAGGGCTACTGCGCACGCGGGCAGAACTGCATGTTCGAGCATGCCGTTGACCCCATGTACGTCCCACCTCAGGGACTGCATCAGGGGCTACAGTACGATGAAGGTCAGATTTTCTCCCAAGTCCCACGGACGCCGCAAAGTGTGGTGGCTCCCGAGGCTGTTTTCGTTTCTTCTCCCCCTACCGTCTTCGATCCCCAACTCAGCTCTCAATTCCAAGCACTCCAACAAATCCTAACCACCATATTAGAGTACAACCCGAACAAATCTGCCATGATGATGGGCGGTGATTTCCCGGCGCTGCCTCCCCAGTTCCCTCCCCAAGCCCCACCTTTCACACAGCAGAACGGCGGACGAGACCAGACGAGACGAAAGGATAACAGGCAGGGTAACCAAGGGGGTCAGAAGCGTAAGGGCCGTGCCCCCTTCTCTGCTGACGGCCCAGTCCACGACAGGACCAAGTCGACGATCGTCATTGAGAACATACCCGAGGAGAAGTTCTCCGAGGACGAGGTGCGGGGCTTCTTCTCGCAGTTTGGTAACATCATAGAGGTGTCCATGCAGCCGTACAAGCATCTGGCTATCGTCAAATTCGATAATTGGAATGCGGCGAATGCGGCATATCGATCACCCAAGGTGATATTTGACAATCGGTTTGTCAAGGTCTTTTGGTTCAAAGAAAACGACGGCAAGTCAATGCCGCCATCCACGCCGCTGAATGGAGGCTCCACAGCGAATGGTAGCAAGAATGGTGCTGCCGATGGTGGCAACGCAGCATTGTCAGGGAGCCCTGAGGCTGAGATTGATATGGAAGAGTTTGCGCGCAAGCAAGAGGAAGCGCAGAAGGCCCACGAAGAGAAGATGGCCAAGAAGCAAGAGCTCGAGAAGATGAGGTTAGAGCTAGAGCAGAGACAAAGCCAGCTAGTCGCCAAGCAACAAGAGGAGAAGCAGAAGCTGTTAGCAAAGATTGCTGCTAGTTCCAAGAAGGAGGGGGATGCCTCTGGAGACATATCAATGACGCCTGGCACGCCTGGCTCGAAGCTGTCACAAACAGAGGCACTCAAAGCCCAGCTTGCCGCACTACAGGCTGAGGCCAACAGCTTGGGCATAGATCCCAATGCCGCTGCCGAGGCCATGGATGAGACAGGCGCATGGGGCGCCGCAGGACGAGGGCGCGGGAGAGGCGGACTGTTCCGCGGACGTGGCGGTGCCCCAACAAGGGGCTTCCGAGGCGGGTATCGCGGCCGAGGCGGTGGTTCTGGTGGTTCAGCTCTATATGCGCAGTACTCTCTGGATAACCGACCAAAGAGAATCGCATTGACCGGTGTCGACTTCAGCGCGCCGGAGAAGGACGAGGCTCTCCGGCAGTACCTCTTCGTAAGTATTCACCCTGTCTGTCTCCAATGTGAAACTCCTTCTAACGCCTTCCAGACCGTCGCCGGCTTCACAGACGTCCGGATGGACTCGTCTTCAGCACAGATCACCTTCGAGGACCGCAAGTCGGCCGAGAGCTTCTACAACACCGTCGCCGGCCCCAAGCAAATCCCCGGGATCGATGGCCAGGTCGAGCCCGCCTGGGTCAACAACACGGCGGGCTCGTCCCTCCTGCCATCGACTACGAACACGGTTGACTTTGCAACCGTCGCGGCCGGCGCTCAGAACGGGCAGACGAAGAGCGGTCCGGCGGCTATGGCGCCGGCGCCGGCGGCAGTGCCGGAAGACGTTCCCATGGCGGGCGCTAATGGTGCCGAAAACACGGCGGCGTCGAACGACCACGCGGCTCAGCAGCAGGACCACGTGGAGATGGACTATGATGTTGCGGGCGAGGATGACTGGGGTGTCGAGTAAATAGCGGACGGACAGTTGCATTGTTGTTTTGGAGCAAGGGAAAAGAAAAGTTACGTTACTGGACGGATGGTCTCGCAGGGATAGCGGCAGCATAGCATATCCGTGTATACATGAAAACCATTGTATGTTATCACAAAGTCATGGACAGGGATGTTCCTGAATACGGAAGGAAGCTCATGACGAGCTGTGTATATGCCGGAGACTAGAAGTTGTCTCGGGTGCTTGTCATTTCTATCTGTCACTTCTTGATGCTAGAGTTGAGGCATCGAACCGCCGTCATGGCTGGCTATGTGCACACACCGCCCTCCTTCTGTATTTCTAGTCCTCGTCAAGGCCTTTTCCAAACAGGTCTTGCTCATTTGCTCTCCTTTGTTGAAAGGAGGCTTTCTTCTCTTCTTATCTCTGTATGATTCGAGTCAAAAGTCCAGCTCAGTTCTGGACCCTCGAATGTATCATCATCTCTCCGTCAAAATGCCCAATATTGGCTCCTATCGCCGAGGAGCGAGCCGTGTTGAACTCCGTAAGCTCCCTTCCAAGAAAAGAGAAAAGACATGTAGACCCAAATGTTCATGCTTTTTCGGTTTCCCCAGGGGTATCGTTGAGATATATGCATGCATGCCCATTTTTCAAAGCTTTTTAGTAATGCTACCGGGGATTGGCAAGAAAACAAACCGCTTGCCGATCCCGGACCCCCTATAAACCATTTTGTTGAAAAAATGCATTAGTATGTTCAAATGTTCGGAATAACGCCTCTAGCCATGCTCTGATATCCGTCTTTGTTGAATTGGAAAAAAGGGGTATGCTTGGCTTGGAGGTGCTAGCTGGAGAAAAAGATGTATGGGCGTCTTTAACATCCCAATCGTGCCGTGTCGTCATGTATTAAGTTCGAAGGCATTGTTGAAGCCTCGAGTCGCAGATGTTAAATCTGCATATTTAAGCCCCATTTGGTTGGGGTTCGACCTGACCATTAGTCTCAGCAACTTTGTCCAGGTCCTTGACGGCAAGGCCGTCGAATAGCTCGAAGATGGTCCGTGACTGGTGGAAATCATTGTTCACTGCGGCATAGATTAATTTAATGTTTTGGTTCTGGAAAGACAATACTAGAAAACTCACCAATGTTGACCAAGTACCAGTGGTCCATCACATCTTCTAGCAGGACTCGGCTAGGGGTGCCTGCATCGTAGCAGCGTGCCCACTCCAAGCCGAGCTGGAAGGCTTCATCCTTCCAAGCGAGGAAGCTGATACTCTCAACAATTGTTGGCTGAACAATCTCCTTTCCTGGAAAGACGCCCCAGGTGACGGCATTTGGTCCCTCGTGTGGCGCATTACTCTGCAGATTGCCCTTTCTCGTCACGGCGTAGTATGACAGATCCGGCTGCTTCTCAATACGTGCAATCAGTTCAGGCAAGATCTCCGGTGAGACCAGAACCTCAAGATATGACTTCTGATACACATAGCCGTTCGGTGGGCCCCACCCGTGAATGGGGTGTGAGGACTTTACTCCGTTGACAGCAGGCTGGGAGTTAATTGTAATGAGACCTCGTTTGTTGAGTTCAATCAAGTCGTTCCGGATGGAATCGGCTTCGCTCGTGAGGGGTGACTCGCTCCAAGGTAGACAGTCGAGCTCATTATTGAGATATTTGACGAATAGAGAGGCGACATCACTGATAGACTTGGGCTCACCCCATTTCTTACGGTTCTGCTCGTTTGTACCGGTCAGGCCAATGCCGTAGGCGTCCAGTTCGCCAAAAGCAGGAGAACGAGAATCACCCCAGCGTCCGTTAGGGAACTCATCCCAATCCTGGGTCCGGGTGACATAAGACTTGTTGCGGTTGCGCCAGAATATGGGGCGTACATCTTCGTCACGGCGGCCGAAGCCCAATGACTGCTTCCAGGGCAGAGCCTGTTTAAGAGGCCGCTCCACGGAGGGCATCCACTTAAGCTCCTCTAGAACCATGCGAGTGGCCTGGGCCAGATTCATGGTGTAGAAGTGCAGGTGTCGAATACCAGCCTGAAGGATCTTTCGGCACATCTCAGCAACAAGGGTCTTGCCAATGTCTCGGACCGCCACGTCGTCGTTCTTGACATGATCCAGGGCCTCCATCCACTCCTTTGGGACGTTGCACTTCATGTGGTTTGCGCGGCGTAGGAAGCTGGCATAGGTAGCAATAGGCATGATACCTGGGATAATGGGGATGGTTATGCCCCTTTCCCTAACCTTGCCTACCCAGCGCAGGAAGTTGTCGACATCGTAAAACATCTGGGTTACAATGAAGGAGGCGCCCATGTCAACCTTCTCCTTGAGATGGTCAAGCAGTAGCTCCTCGTCCTTGTTGTCGTCTGTGCCCTCCGGATAGCCCGCCACGCCAATATCAAAATGGTCCCCGTAGGTTTTGCGGATGTGGCCGACCAGATCCCTCGCGTACTGGAAATCTCCATCCGTGGCCACCCATTTCTCCTTCTCTCTGGGAGGATCACCCCTCAAGGCCAGAATATTTGTGCAGCCCGCCTTGTAGGCCTTTTGCAGAGCATCATTGACCTTCTCTAGGCCCATGTCGGTGCAAGTCAAGTGCATACAGGTCTCGAGGCCAAAGTAGGTCTGTGCCTGGACGACCATTTCGCATGTGAGCTCGGCCACACGGCCGCCGGCGCCCCAGGTGATGTCGATGAACTTGGGGCCAAAGTGATACATGCGCTCCATGCGGTCGTAGAGGTTCTGGACACCCTGCGCGGTCTTCGGGGGAAAGTACTCGAACGAGAAGGACGGTTGGCCGGTCCTCTCGGCGTCCGCTATCATATCCCGGATATGCATCTTGACAGGCTGGACGAGCCGCTCGCAGACGAAGAATAGTGTGATTTAAGGATAGAACTGCCCTCACTTATGCTGTTAGCTCGCCATTGAAAGAAGATTTGGAGTGAATCTAAGCTGCAAATGCGACGAGCAAAGCAAATCCATGTGTTTTCGGCACCGAGAAGAAGCAGAACCTGTGTGGGCAGCCCGGTGGTGTTGTCCATGCAGCGAGACCGCTCTTTGGAGCCACTGGGACTGGGAACCATTTGTTGGGAAGAGGCTTTTGCATACCTTGACGATCTAGAAAGACTATGAATCCTCTACGATCTCCAAGCTACCAGTACCCAGGTGCTCAACCGCACGCACCGTCCAGAGGTAGGTAGGTAGGAGAGGGAGGAGGTATGACGGACAGAATCCCCCGCAATGACAACAAAAATACAAAACACAAGCAAAGAGAGGGTAAGGGGGTAGGCCGGCCAAGATAGGTAGGTAAGGTAAGGTAAGGTGGAAAATGCAGAAAAAAAGACTGGATCCTCTCCGGGGCGGACAGTAGCGTTGGCAGTGTCCCTACTACGTACCTAGGAGCTACATGTAGGTAGCGCAGAAAAGCGACAACGGCGCCGTCTGACATGCGGCGGTGCCTTCCTCATTCTCTTCTTTTTCTCACCTTTCTTCTCGTTGCATCTGGGTGCATCGATCCTTCCTTCCATTCCATTTGTCTTGACTCTTGCACCTGTATGCATTCACACATGCCATGCCATGCCTACAAACAAAGCGACACCATGTCGACTCACTGCGCAAGCTTATGCCATTGAAGCTTGATCCCTCTGAGTCTATTTTACAAAGTAGGTGACCTTATGCAGGCTCCCCTCCTGCAGATGCACTCTGCACACCGTTTTTAAGGCATCTTGTTTGAATGTCTCCTTCTCTCTTCACTTTCCCGGCGCAGTCAATACTGTAAGTAGCTCTACTCGGGAAATCTGATCTCCCGCTAGATCCGCCACACACGAAATCACTTCTTGATTCAGGGAGCTTCAGGATCCTGGATATGAGCGATGTGATACATGGAATTCGAAAGTTCAAGAGTGATTTTGATTGCTTCATACGGGCGATCGTGGAGGGGTAATCTGCAATCTATAGATTATGGAGGGGTCACTCGCGGAAGGAGGGGCCTTGCATCCTTCTTCCTCTTTCCCAACGCACGGGCAGGGCGTAGGCTGGCACGGCTGGTAGGGAGGTAGGGTACCACCCCGAGCACCCCTCCATTCCCATTCACTTTTACCAGGTACTCGACGGTCTAGTTAGTGTAGGACCCCCGACCCCGGTTCCAGGCTGCCCCTCCATTGGATCCCCATCCTATTCCATCCCATCCAATCGTGTGTCAATGGTCCCCCTTCCCTATCAAAACCCGTCACCGCCCTTCAACATTCGGGATGCTCCTGCCTTGCGAGCGTTATCTCAAAAAACTTCAAATTGAGGAGAAATTACACCTTGAAGCGGTCTAAGGTCTGTTTGATCACCTCTATTAAGGAGAGTATTGGAGCAAACAGCCGACAGTCTCACTAATACTTTTTGGTGGCTGATCCCGCGTCAAATGTCAGTAGGCATATTCACCTCACATAGCTAACTAACGAGGTGCCATTCCTCACAGACCTCGAAATTCACTGCCCACATCCCCTTCTCACCAGCCAAGTTGCTGCCCCTTATTCTTCCCCCAAACCTATTTCTTTCGAAAGCGCAACTTGCAGCCTTGGCATGCCGTGAAAGGAAAGTCATGAGAGATGCAATAAGTATTCATCTGCGTACACCACGTTGTTGTTTTAGACGTATCTCTTAGGGTGATATAGGAGGTCTTTCAAATATGCCTTAGCAAATACGATCTCGCAACTCGCCCATGCCCTCCTCTCCTATTGACAACCGGTCTGGTACAATAATTGGCGGGACGCAGCAACGAGCAAAAACGACCACCCGAGCAGACAGGACAAAAAGAGGAGCCTGGTCAGTATGAGGGTCGAACTCATGACCTTCGCATTATTAGTACGACTGTGGATCGTATTAGTATCAACGGCGCATCTTTCTTATATTTTCGAAATGGAGACATACCGCTCTAACCAACTGAGCTAACCGACCTGATTAGTCATGGCGGCCCGCATTGTCGAGTTATGAGTCGGGCTCAGGGGTTGGCTTGTCCACTCGTTCCCGACATGAAAAGAAGCGAGATCCTGTTCATCTACTGGTGATTTACTGCTAGCATATTTGATTCATTTGAACAGTGATTCCACCAAATATATAAGCATACAATGAGTAAAGATGGTATAGACTGATGAACTTCAAGTCCCTGCAGGGGAAAAAAAGTGGAGTGGTCGAGGTTTGGGAGTATCATACGCGGCCTTGAATCAATTACTTGGATAAATATTCGCACTGCATGTACATGGCACATTATCTCCCGCACGCCATAGTATATCGGCTACATAGACGTGTGCTGAAGATTACCTTGTTCTCAACTGACATCCTGAGTCACGATGGCTAAGATGTCAGATTTAGGCAACCTAGCTAGATTGTATATTCGAATAAGAAAGCGGTTAGTTGAGTTTCAGCAAATTTTGGCAGTTTAGAAAGTCTATTACAAAGCTGTTTATACTTGACCGAGGAGAATTTCATCTCACATGTGAGTCTCTTTGTTTTGCATGTTTACCTTGGACTTTTGTGTAGTTGAGACGAATTCCATCCTGTTTTTGGAATGGCTTATGTCCCAAATTTGTCAACAGTCTATGAGCCTCTGCAATCGTCATATTCAAGTTGCTATTATTCATGAAGTATAGGCGCTGTCTAACCTTGGGACTGTCCATCATAACGGCAATGAATCTAATATCCGTTACTGCCAACATTACGTCGATGATTATGACTGATCTAAGAACGAACTGACAAAGCCTCAGTTTAGTGGTGCTGCTGTGAACAGACTCGTGGGTTTCATGCATCGACATAGGTCAATTGATGGCGGACTATTCTCCTTGAAATTGCCCTGCTTATCATGCAACAGTAGGTACTTGTTACCTCTAGCCAGATGTTCTGTCAAATCAAATTCGGCGAGGCTGCCCAACACAACCCCTCCTTTTTAGCCTACAGCTGAATCGAGGAGGCTTGGAGGAGGCTGCTCAAAGCCTCCTCGAGGGACAACATCATAATTTCAATCCATTCGAGACAATATACCTACAGTCTTCGATCCAGCGACAGCTACGATGCGACTCATCGACGCCAAAACTTACCAGCTGGTGGAGTACATTGGCCAGGAAGTTCCACCTTATGTCATTTTATCCCATACCTGGGGTGACGAGGAGGTGACCTTCAAGGATTTCGAGACTACAGACTGGCTCACCCGCGGCGACAAGAAAGATGGCCGTGACAAGATATTGGGCTGCTGTGCGGCGGCCTCTGCGGAGGACTTCGGATTCGTCTGGGCGGATACCTGCTGCATTGACAAGTCATCCAGCGCTGAACTATCCGAGGCCGTCAATTCTATGTTTCGATGGTATCAGGATGCCGCCATATGTTTTGCGTATCTCAGCGACGTGGACGGCACCCAGAATCCGATAGCAATGAATTCCGACTTTGTGAGGAGCAAATGGTTCACTCGCGGCTGGACTCTACAGGAGCTCCTCGCCCCGAGCGAGGTCGTGTTTTTTGGCCGTGACTGGATCGAGATAGGAAACAAAATGATGTTGCATACCGCCATCACGAGAATTACTCGTATCAGCCGCGATGCGTTGTTCCAGAATTTCAGCAGATGCAGCGTAGCACAACGAATGTCCTGGGCAGCGAGCCGAAACACGACACGTTTAGAAGACGAGGCATATTGCTTAATGGGCCTGTTTGACGTGAACATGCCTCTCATTTACGGTGAAGGCAGGAAAGCTTTTTTTAGGCTGCAAGAGGAGATTATGAAGCGGACGGACGATGAAAGTATATTTGCATGGTCGGATCTCAGAGACTCTCCTTGGCCTTTGCCGTCAGGACTGTTAGCTACATCTCCAAGGAACTTTAAGGATTCCTGGGCAGTTGAGAGTATAAGAAGTCAAGGTATAGGACCTGAATTAAGGCTCCTCAGAATGACCGCCGGCCATCGTAGCTCTTTTGAGCACATGGGGCAAATTTCTCGAGTCCGGCCGCCTTTTATAGGGCCTTTGAAGGCGATGGCATTGGCCTCACACAGCGACTCACTTCCAAAGATCCTCTTGGACGTGATCCTGACTAGCGATCAACAAATACCTAACGGGCTAAATTCTCGGTGGCACGTCTTCCGTGGTATGGTTATCTTGGTGCACCCATTGATGTGCGCAATCAACGGACATTGCATTGGCCTACTTCTTGGATCCAGATCAGCGCTAGAAGAGGACAGCACCCTAGAGCGCTGGCATTCGCCGTCCCTCGTGATTACTGACCGATTTTTTGAGATAAGCAGACGCCAGTCCATCCAAAGCAAAACGACGGATTGCTATGTCTCCTCTTCATCCCAGAACAGTTTGAAGTGCTCCGGGATAGTTTTCGGTAGCGAAATAAGAATAGCAAAATTGATGGAGGCTGGCTATGCAGCGTTAGTAGAACAAAGCTCGGAATGGACATTTCACGAGAAACTGAAGAAAGTCATCACACTAAATGCATGGGGAGACCAAGCGTGTCTGATTCTTTTTCAACACCAATCCGAAGCCTGTGTGGACTTCTTCTTGAAGACTGATTCCAGGAGTTCATTGATTGGTCTCCTACGAGGATCACCACCATCTGTCGCTTTTCACGAATGCTGGACGGTCAAAATGCATGGTAGAAGCTCCGCCGCAATTCGGATAGCACCATCGGGAAACCAATATATCGTAATCCGGCGCAGATCACTGGCGAGAGCGCGTTATCTTAGTCTTTCGATCGAAACATATGAATCCTGTCCCTCCAGCGCGTCTCTCTCCTCTGTTTCTGAACAGCTTGATGATGGACTTGACGAGTTAAGCATGAGATTACAAGAGAGGTGGACCATTGCTTTGGAACGGCTTCTAAACCAGAATTCCATGACTGCTGGTAGAAAGGCTTGAAAAGACGGCTCTCTTTCCGTTTTTAGGCCAAAATAGTCTTAAGCCAGGGCGAACGGAACAAGTCTCCTACAAGTTGATCTGATAATATTGTTTCTGATCGTGCTACATATCTGACAACATTTCTCCTTTTTGAGGTGTATCGCTTTTTCTGGATACGGCGACATAAGTAGTTAATTAGTTTTTGAAAAGAAAAGCTTCATCGGAAAGAATCTAGCTGTCGTAGCCTGTATGATGTTGGATTTTTCTGAGCTCTATTCTCAGAAGGAAGTTTCTTTTTATACTGTGTCTTGCTATCCGCGCCGTGTACTATTGGATAACCCTTTCTGCTTTGCAACCGTGATCTTGATTCTCACACAGATTTCTTGAATCTTTTCTTTTGAACTAAGGCGATTTAAGTCAACATTGACTGAGATGAAGATATTTTGTCTACTACCGCTAGTACCACCAAAACCACCCAGCAGCGTCAATGTAACTCCCTCTCATATTATGTGCGATAACAATATATCTACGACGAACCCAGAATTCTGCTATACGCATCCTCAACTTCCCCAGCCAATTCCAGTAAGCTGACGATGACGATCTGGTGGGTCAGGTTAGGAAGCCTGTCTCTATGAAGACCAATCCACTCAAGCGGTGGTGTCGCTTCTCCCATATCCCTGAGTTGTGGTGTCTCAATGACCGGAGGTTCCAAGGCCGTATACTCATATTTCGACTGCGGCACGTGAACTTCAGCAGTAATTTTGCCTTGCTCTCCCTCTTTGCCTCCATTTTCTTCAGGCTCCGGCACGCCTGTGACCTTGATATGCGCAAGGGGCAGTTCCTTGCCCCAGGTCTGGGCCAGGGACTTCGAATGGTTTGCCCACATGCCCCGGATGTAGCTAATACGACTATAGTTCCACCCAACTTCAACTTTGCCCTCAAATGCGCTCTTGAAGATATAATCAATCTGCCTGGAATTTGGCGCTTGCCACGTCTGCATGATGGCTTCGACCCTCGGCACCTTCAATATTGTGCCACCACGGGAACCTGTCGCACTTCGTACTACGTCCTCAACCGAGAGTTCACTAAGCGTCTTGGGGGCTTCAATGTGTCTCACTCCTGCGAGTCCAATCCTGAGCTGACCAAGTGTGAGGCCTAGAATGCTGTGAACGCGTGGATTCTCCATGCTTGCAGCAAATCGAGCTTGAGCGTTGAGCGCCTCCATTTTAAACACCTGATGGTCTGAAAATGTGCTCGGAAATACACCCAAGTTCAAAGCTTTCAGAGTCACGACAACATCCGTGTCAAGCGAGATAGGTGATTTAGATAAGGCGTCATCCGCTGCTTCTTTGGGCAGACTTAGCCTTTGTATAACGGCAGGTGAAGCGACAGACTTCCTCTTCATAAACTTCTCAATCTCCCTAAGAGAGGTTTCGAAACTAGCTTTCCTCTCTTGGACGAGTCTCTGGAAAGCCTGGAAGAGGGCAACTCCCTGTGCGGCCGAAGTTGTCGTCCCAAAGACCTGAACAGCATCACTGTCGAATATCGCTACTAAACGGTCTCCTGAACTCTCGTGTGTGCGCCGAACATTATACATCAGGAACGCTAAAGATGTGATGTCCGCGACAAGGAATGCCTGGTAATCAAACGCGGCCTTGACTCTGAATTGACTGAAGCCGATCGAGGCTTGGACCATCGGTGTCTCGTTCAGCGCTTGTTCTCGCTCCGGCCATTGAATGGAAGTGCGGAGCTTGAAGTCTTGCATGTCCACAAAGCCACTCATACGACCAGTGCTGTCAACACCGATCCTCTGGAAACCGAGGCACAGATTTTGCTCCCAATCCGAAGTCTTCTTCGAGGATACCCAGAAGTCGGTGATTGAGAAAACTGACTTGCCAATTGCCTGTCCGAGATCCACATTGATCTCAAGAGCGGTTATTGAGACTGTTGCCGTCCAGGGGAACGCAGCAGTTGCAGCTACCTGTTGGTAACGTTGGACCAGGTGTCCTTGAGAAGTCTCCGTAACCAGCTTCGCGACAGGTGTCGTCGGGTGACGACGCGTTTCATGTGCAGTCCAGATTTCACGGAAGAGCAAGAAGTCTTGCAGCTGTTTTGCATTGATGGAGACCTTCATTGGGCTCACTTTAAGAATTGCCGAAACGCCGCTGATACCACTGACATGTTTGCTGTTCATCAGAGAGAGTACAATCGAATCAACCTCGAAATTGCCAGTGGATTCTCTGGAATACACATGCTGCACCGAGGCCTGTAGTTTGCTGAATGCCCCTGATATTGCAAAGAAGTTGCCTTGTTCGGTGGAGTGAACGGTGTTGACAGTGAAATAAACATCCTCAAAGCTGGCAGTCGCTGCTACTCTTGCGATAGGTTGACAACTAAGGGTGAATTCTTGCCGACAAATTCGTAGGCCGAGGTTGAGTTTCAGACGTCCAATTACAGCACTTGGATCAGCCGTAAGGATATAGTCATCTTGCACTGCCTTTGCCTTTGCCAATACTTCTTGAGGTTGAATAGTACTGTCGCGATCTGACTCGTCACTGACAACTTCCTTGATGCTGGACGTCATATCCATGATTAGTGGAACGACAGATGGATATAGGATGTTACTTGATGCATCAATCTTGACTTCGCCGTAGAGTGTTGGGTCATCTCTGCCGCTGTCGCTGTACTCGAGCTTGAAAGCGAGACCTGGGGTTTTCAGAGCAGTGCTGCTTCCAGTGTCGTCTGGAGTAAATTGGCCATATTTACCAGCTAAAGCGATGCGGGCAGCTCTTGAGATAGAATGTCCATAGGTATCTTCGGGTGTCTTCTTGCCAGATAGATACACCACTGCGCCAGCAAAATCTGCGTCTATGAGAAACGACTCCAGTCGCTTGCTTCCAAGCATTGATTTTCGTGGCTCATCCGAGGTCTTGGCAGTGGTTTCTGTAGAAGCAGGCCGCGGTGGGTTCCATTTCTGAGAGGCTTGCTGGACGTTCTTCAGAGACAGTCTGATAGAGTCATACAGATTGTCGGCAGGTATAATGAAACCAGAGTTGAGTCGCAAGTCTAGAGACTTCCCAACAGCTTGGAACGCTAACCGACGTGCATCTGATGTTGAGACATAAGCGATGTTGAATATCATTTCTGGTAACAGCGCGGAATTGGCTGATCGAATTTTCTTCTCCTGGCCTGGTGGGACCATCTGGACTTGCAGATTCTCTATTGTCAACCCTGCCGAGTTTCTTGTCCTTGTACCGAATTCAATTCTTTGCAAAGACACAATGAGATCTTCTTTTCCAGAGGAGGCTTCCTCGGTTGGGCCAAGAACAAGCCAGCTGAGTTGTATGTTCCGGATCTCAAGAGAGTACCTGATAGATGACAAGAAAGAGTCAAGTAAGTCCGCCTCTACTTCTTCCTGGTCATTGATAGCAATCTTTGGCCTCGACTGCCTCAGTTTTCGGAGATACTCTAGCTCTCGAGAAGTATCAAGATCCTTAATCTTGTCGCCCATGTAACCCAGCACATCTACTACGGTAGAAATCGTCTCAGGAGAAACCATGACATCAAACCCGTTGCTGGAGATATTGAACCACCTCTCCTCTGTGTGCTCTGCATTGAGGCTTGAGGTTGCAGTGATCAATGCCCCCAAACCAAGACTACCGCAAGTTCTGCGTGCATCCTCGTTCCCTTTTTGTATTGCAAATGAAATTTGACGAAGATTGATGTGAACTTCGGGGTAGGAGAGAACTGGCGCTGCAGGCTCCAGGCGGTTTGCTACTCTCAAATGAACTCTCTCCAGGCAGAACAAGATGTGTGCCATGGGCTCGTCCTCCGACTTGATGGGGGAATTGGCAAACACCTCAAGGCCAGCAACGGTGGCATGAACCAGGTATATCAATGGCTCTTTCTGGTCGTCTGAAGCATTTTGCTCCTCTTGAATTGGCGGCGACTCCCGCTGTCCGAAGACTTCGCTGACATGTTCTTGAATCATCTTCACCTGCTCCTGAACATCGTTGATGGTGCTTGATATCTCAGGTCTGTTCAGTGCCCTAAGTAAGCTGTAGACAGCGGAAGCATCAAGTCGAATCACTTCTACAGAGGCGAATACGGTAACATCATGCTCGCCTTCTCCCATGTGGCTTGTGATACGGCCATTAGTTGGCGGAATCTGAAGAAGTGAGATGCTTCGAGGCACGTTGTTAACATTGATCTGCATTTCGTGGGAATTTTCCTTGATGTCAAAGTCGAAAATAACATCTTTCCCAAAGTCAGCCGCAAGTGCAGCGCGTGCAACAACTCCAGAGACAGTATATGTGAGAGATTGAAGCAACGGTATGGTGATGTTATACTCATCCATGAACATTGCAACGTTCACTCGGAAAGCGGAGAGACGATCGGTGAGTTTCCGGTTCGGCTGCTTAGTTGTTGGCGAGGAGGGCAGCGAATGCTTGAGATTGTAAAGTTGGGTGACCTCGTCCTTGACTAACAGGTCAAGCACTTCCATCAGGGCTATTGGATCTTGCTTTATAGCAAGTGACATTTGTCTACTACTTGCAGTAGCCTTGATTGTATGTGAATCTGTTGTCTCCGTCATCCGTAGAGAATGAGATATGATGACACTGGGTCTTCCGAGCTGGAACATTGACAAAAGTTGGGAATGACTCCGGATGCGAGATGTGACTGCGTCACAGCTCAGAACGAAATCTGTATCTGCACCTCCCTCAGAGTCATTCCGCATGAGAAGAGAGGCTTTCATCCCACTTCCAAGACAGGCGGAATTCAAATTAATAGCATCGAATACAACCTCACCGCGACCAATTGCAAACACCACATGCATCATGGACGGTGATTTTGGCTTCTTGGCGGTCTTGTCTTGAGCAGGTGGCGAATCATCCTTTTTAGAAGTGCGCATCCTCTTCGCAAGCTTCAACACATCCTCTGCTAATTCGCAAAGATCCCAGTTGAGTTTGATTGACGCATCTCCACAATAAACATTCAATACTGTCCTTGACGCTGGATCGTCCCAACCGTCGAGTGGATCTTGCTCCTGGGTGTTACACTTGCTTTGGAGTCTTGCAGTGAGTTCCGTGAACCCAATCTCGTTCTGCTTTGGGCCCGGGTCTAAGAGCACTTGAGCTTGTCTAACACGGATGACTGAAAGGAAAGGTAGGTCCTCTGAAGTTTGAGGCTGCATTTGACCTGTTGACCCGAAAATATTGGTCAACAGAACAGCTCGAGAGAGATAATCGAGGTCCCAGCCTCTCCACCGTTCGAAGGCAGTGATGACTTGTTCCCGGACGTCATGAGGAATGACTAGGTGCTCCTGAAAGCAATTCATTCTTAGCTGCTCTTTGCTATTTGCGTTCATGATTGTCCACATCTGCCGAAGTCGTGTGACGAGCTTCCAAGAATCAAAGGTTCGAAGATGACTACGGGCAGAGCGAAGCACTGCTGAAGGCCGTATCAGAAACGTAGGGTCAACCGCAGTCTGATTATCAGTGATGAGGTGATAAGTTAAGTATTTGAGCAGTAGTCCTTCTCGTGAAGCTGTCTTTGAGAACAGAGGACCCAAATCACTAGCCAGCATTGTTGTTCGATGTATGAGAGATGCCAAATACTCGAGTTTCTCCGATGAAGTGCTGCTTGTGATGTTACCAATTTCACCATCAAGGTAAGTCACATCTTTAGACCCCATCGAGAACATAACGTTGTCGATTTGCGCTTTCATGGCCGCTTGCGTATCATCCATGTCGGCAACTCGCTCAGCGGCTGAGAGTTCTAGATAGCCGAGTCTGAAATGGAATGAATTCCTGGTTTTCTTGGTTTCTGCCTTAAAAGAATCTTCCCATTTCGTTTCTGATCTTGTGGCTAGGGCCAGTGTATGAAATGAGAAATCGTACTGGTCTTGCTCTTCTTGAGACAGCCCTGGGGAGTCCAGGTCTGATGAGTTAACAAATCGCAAATTTGCAGTTGGGATTCTAAGATGGATATCGGCGACTTTGCCTTTCATCTTTTGCTGTTTCTGCATGGCGAAAATATCCGCCATGGCATCTACTTGCAGGCCATCGAGAATGTCCTCTGGATCAGTAGGCTGAAGAGCGGACATGAGTGCTGCTATGTATCTGAGTGATGTTGGGTTCATGCTGGCGGTGATACCGGATGGAAACTCTACCATGAGCCCAGAATAGCTGCACTCTTCACTGAGGATCTCCGGGTCGATATCTTCCAAACTGAAACCACTGTGGGTGAGCCCATCATCTTCGCTATGCTCAACACTTGGTTTGGCTGACTCTCCCGTCTCAGGGCGAATGTTCTCCAGGGGAAAATAAGGAGCGAAATACTGGCTCGAGAACGCAACGGTGTTATGGATGAGATCTTTGCGATCAGCGAAATCGATGGGAGCACTATAGAATGCCGAATGCCTTGTAGACGCAGACACGTCCCTGTTGTGCAGGCCTGAGTGAAGCGTGTTGGCGGTGTGCTGGTTTTCAATGGTTGTTAACGGCTGAAGGTGATCTGCGTAGAATGCGTGGCGACTTGAGCGAAGAGAACTCTGCGGTCGCAGGATACTATTTTGACCTGAACTCGAGCTAGAAAGGAAAGAGTTTTTATGGCGAAGGTCCCTGGAGCGCCTTGACGTACCACTAGACGACAGAGAGGTCCTGTCGTCTGTGATATCTTTTGTAAGAGTCGGATGAGGAATCGGCGGTGCAGGCTGCGCGGGCGGATCAACAGGATCGGGTACTAGTTCATCAAGTAGACCGTGCAACTTCAGAAACTCGGTCCTGTGCGTTCGCTGGTCTTCCCGTCGAACAAGCTCCTGTTGTAACTTTCGCTCGTGAGAAAAAGCGAACTTTCTTCCAATGACAGCCAGATGAACGCTCGCCTGGATTAAAGCATCCGTTTCTACTGCGTGTTGTGATCGCGCCTTGTGTCTCGAAGCAGATTCTGAGTTTATACAGGAGATCTGCAACTCAGGAATCTGTATATTTGCTCTCCTTGAATAGTGCGATCGCGCCCAATCATTGTAATTGACGTCTATTGAGGCGGTAGAGAAAAGAAAAGCAGCTTCCTCGACATGCAACCACAATCGTACAGACTGTACGAACACGCGCAGGAAAGTGACATCGTAGAATACGATGGCAGAATAAGGGATCAGGGCGTTCTCGTCGTCGTCGAATGAAAAGCCGAAAGCTTTGCCGCCTCTCATCAAAGCTGTCAGGAATTCAGCTGTGCATTCGCCAGTGACAGCACCAACAGCCAGGTCCCAGTTACAGAGATATGTTGGTTCCGAAGGTGGTAATCCGAAAAGACGATGTCCATAGATTGTCAGGCCATCGATAAACATTTGGGTACTGCTTGTGGCACTAATAGGAGTTTCCGCTCCATTATCTGCACTGCCCAAGGAAAGATTGAGAGGGCTGAGAGTTAGATCCAGATCCATGTAGTAATTCGTGAAACGTAGGTCAATGGACAGGGACGCCGAATCAATCTGAACATTCCGATTCGATGAATACAAATTTGCGGGGAGGAAGACCTTGGGGTCATCAGCTCGAATATTGAGAATGACGTCCAGGTCGTTGGACTTCTTGTGAGGAGGTTTAGTCAAACTCTCAGCTTCGGGATTGGCCTCTTTTGCTCGAAGCATGTCCTGATACTCGTCTAAAGTCTTGAAATGCACATCATCCCCAAAGTAGTTGTCTTTAAGCTTGAGGAAGTATCGCACTACAAATCCAAACAGGTGAACAACGGGAGATTGACCGGTTACATTAAGAACAAGCGTGTCTGTATTTGCTGGAGATGTCGTCGCGTTGTAGTGGTATGACCCGTCAACCACGAGGTTCTCCAAATGCCCTATATCTCTTGACGCGAGGAATGTGGCTTGAGTGTTCCAGGGCGGTACACGGAGGCTTATGTCGGCTGTCTCTGCTCGAATGTCAAAAGGTATTGTGTTTTTTGGAGGACGGTATTTGTCTATCGGTATGCAAGTACTTGATTCGAGTAAAGGGCTTCCGATGACTATATAAGTATTGTCATCAAAGTCCGTCGGCTTGTTGACGATGTTCGCATCGTTGACATTGAGGTAGAACTTGACGTTTTGAAGATGAAGGTCCAAGTGGTATTTGAAAGGAGTAAAGGTGAGATAATCAGCTGGTGGACCAGACGCCCAATCATCTACCAGGTCAATGAGAAGGAAGACATGGTCTCTCAACATGAAAAGCTCCAAATCATTGCTAGTAACATCGAAACGCCATTGTCTAAGGCTATTCCACTTTAGTGGGGTTGAGAGATCGCATGATATCCTTTGTGATCCAGATCTCCAGAGGACTTCATGGTTGATACTGCTCGATATCTCTGTACGGGGTAGGTCGAGATTGAGAGTATTTGAGAATCCTCCAACCCCCGCTAGCATATCCATAGAATAGGACACTGTCGAGTTTCCGCCTATTTTTATATCAAGCCAGCCATACTGGCGCTCGAAAGCAAGTGTGTTGTTAGGATCAGATTTCTTGAACAAACTCCGTCCTCTTCGCCTATCCTTATTTGGTCCCGCCTTGACGGGGGGCTCCTTTCCTTTGAATCTCCAATTCTTAGAGTCTTCGCGGACAGGTACTCTGAGAGTGACATCCTCATCAAGTTCGACATACAGCTTGAACTGTGTAGGAACCCTGTCCGCTCCAACTGAAAGCCGTTCAGCGGGCTGGGCATCCTTAGACAAGTACGGAAAAAAGACGCGCTGTAGCTCTGCCCGGTGACGGTCTGCCCATGGCCCATAATTGACAGAACCGCCTTTGATTGAAAGAGTAATACCCCAAGCCGGTGGTTCATCACCATTGATATTCGACGAAAATTCAGAAGCTTTCGGGCTTCGATGAGTTCGTCTCACGACTTTACCCACAGAGTCCCAGTATACCAAAAGCGAAGCCTCAGGCGTGTCCATAATTGTCGTAACGGCACCATACTCAACTGCTGCCCATCTGGCTTTCTCATCTTGGTCATGCTCATCTAGGTACCTCGAGAGTCCTTGCCAATGGTTAGAACCAGGCATTTGTCCTGCCGCAGTGGCTGGTCCATTGCGAGAGTCGATGGAGAAAGACTCAACAGATTTTCTCCAACCTGGCACTAGATTTCTCAACTGCCCTACAACTTTTCGGCGATATCGATGAAAGAATGATGGTTGAGGAATGGGGCTCGAATCTCGAGCAAGCTGCTTTTCTCGCGTAGCTCGATCTGCTAGTTGCTCTTTGAAGTCCTCGTTGTCCTTGATTTCTACGACTGGCTGGTCGAACTTCAGCCTGTACAACTGCCGATAAGGGTCCGTTGTCTGTGTCTCACACGCATCAATTTCCCCTGAGAGCGCCTTGGCCTTGACGATGAGGATAGCCCTGGTGTTCTCGTTTCCCATCACTACTGCCGCCTTTTGGCACTCGAGGTGAATGGGAAACAGCTGCAGCATCAAAGGAAGCTCTGGTTCCGATTCGGTACCCGTCTTATTGTGTCCATTGCCCTCGTCTGAACCAGAGGACTGGAAGGTAGCACCATACGTTGGTTTTGGTCGCTCATTGTCGGTTTTATGATCCGCCTCCTGTCCACGCAAGTCAAGGCTCTCCTTCTCTGACATGCGGTTTTGGCCTAGGCCATTTGGCGACCTTTCAGTCCGCTTGGCTTGCCGACTCCTAAGTTTGGATGACGCACCTCCGGAATCAGTAGGTAACGGAACCGCAGGCGGTTGGACCACCTCTTCTGTCATCCCTGCCAAAACAGCATCGTAGGCAGCGCTACGATTGTAGATGAACCATTCCAGCCCAGACAAGGCAACATTGATTCGACAGGGCAAGCGGGAAGCCTTGTCACTCTTTTCATCATCTCCCTGCTTCGCATCCTCTTCTTTCTTGCGAATTTCAACGTGTCGGACTCGCCAGAGCCAGTACTGCCATGTAATGTGACCATTCTGCACGAGAATAGTCTCATTGTTGCCGTGGTATCGTAAGCCGGTGAAGAAGATTCGGCCGCCTAGGAGCGATATTTGCAAGGCTTGTATATCGATGTGAACGCCGTAGGTTCGCCATGTCCATGCTCGAATTCCCCATGAGACTATCGATGCGAATACTCGGTTAAAGTACAGCAAGAAGAATATGGCGAGAGCTGCGGCCAGAATCATGTATCCGAGGAAGAGCCTAGTGTTACCACCATATCAGTTCCTGACCAAAGATCCTCGAGAGTAACATATTACACACCCACTGAATACAGCCCCTACAAAGGGACTTTGTCCAGCCATGTTGCTTTATCGTAGGCCGCCACCGTCACGCCCAACCCTCCTCTCAACGTCTTCCTCGAAGAACTTCCGTTGAAGTAATGCTCTTCTTCGTTAGAACCGCCATACTAGTGAGATCCAATCCGGTTCGGGCACTTTGCGCAGAGCATTGAGCTCCAGCAGGGACTCTCGGCGGTTGTTGTCAGTATTGCGATTCGGCAAGTCTGGAGATCGTCGCTAGAGCTTCATCAGAGTTGCCGGAACGCGTTGAGCCCAATGCACAAGGATGGGCCAAGATGGTCTAGCGGCACCCCACCCCTGCACGACGCTATTAGCGCACTGTTGCCGTGGACCTTTACTGGGCTTCCCCCCACCACTACGCCTGAACCTTAAGACGTCACCCACTGGAATATTCTTGTTCCAGCCGGGGCCAGGTGGTGTAGCACGCGGGTGTGGGGGAGGGAGCTGACCGCGAATTGCTGGGAGCTCGACTTAACGTTATATGCGTTCGCGCATGGATGTCGTCGTCACCAGCTAGCTTCTGATTGCTGCTGCCTCTCCATCTCGTCCACCACCTCGCGATAATAGCAGTAACCCTGACCTCATCTACCAAGATATGATGTTTTAAGGCATCTCTCTTCTTGTTATAGGCATCGTATGCCATCCATCGTCGCTCTTTCCTTTCATCAATACGAGGTCAGAGCCATGGCTGGGGGCACGGGCCAGAAGTTCGCCTACGCCATCATCGCCGTCGCTGGTGTCGCGTCTCTGGCTGCGACTATTCTATCGTTGGTGTGAGTTCACCCATCTTCGATGCGCCCGATGTGGCTTTTGCTAACTGTTCTTCTCTATAGTTCAATATGGCTCCAAACGTTTGCTCCCCGCTTCTATCACATATCCATATCGAGACGGTACTGATCTCTTTTCTAGCAAGAACTACCGGAAACCGCTACTCCAGCGATATGTCGTGCGGATACTTGTCATGTACGTGGGCCACGCTGTTCGCACAAATCAAGAGCAGAGTGTTGCTAACTGCCCAAAGGGTCCCCATCTACTCCATCGCCTCTTGGGTCAGTCTGGTGTCCTTTACAGCATCGCAGTTTCTCGATCCGATAAGAGACATATATGAGGCTTTCACAATCTACACCTTCTTCCAGCTTCTGATCAACTACCTGAGCGGCGAACGAGCCCTCATTATCAAGACACACGGCCGGGCCCCCGTCAACCATCTCTGGCCCCTAAATCATATCCTTTCTCGAGTCGACATCTCCGACCCCTATACCTTCCTCTCTATTAAAAGGGGCATCTTGCAGTATGCATGGTTGAAACCAATCCTTGGTCTGGCAGCAATCATTATGAAAGCTACGGGAGTCTATCAAGAAGGCTACATCGGTCTCAGCTCGGGATATTTCTGGAGCGGCATCATCTACAACATCAGCGTGACTGTCAGTCTATACTCCCTAGGCCTGTTCTGGGTGTGCATGCACGATGATCTCAAGCCTTTCCGACCGGTTCCCAAATTTCTCTGCATCAAACTCATCATCTTCGCGTCCTACTGGCAGGGCTTCTTCCTTTCCATCCTGGTGTGGCTTGGAGCCATCGGCAACAACACCTTGGAAGGTTATTCTCCAGACAACCTGGCGGCCGCCATCCAAGACGCGCTCATCTGCATTGAGATGCCGATATTTGCAGTTGCACATTGGTATGCCTTCTCATGGCACGATTATGCTGACAACACGGTCTCCGCTGCCAGACTCCCGGTATGGTATGCTGTTCGAGACGCTTTTGGCCCTCGAGACCTCATTGAAGACTCGAGGGAGACATTCCGGGGCGACAAATACAAGTACCGCATTTTCGATTCTGGCGACAAGATCATGGCTCATGAGGAGTCAAAATCAAGGCTAGCCAGGCTCAAGGCTGGCATGCGATACGAGCGTGGTGGAAAGGCCAAGTACTGGATACCAAGCCCGAATGAGATCAATGAGAACACTTCACTTCTACGGAACGGTGAGCCAAGTCGAAGCCGTTCGCGGTCTCGCGCAGGCAATGGCACAACAGCAGATGAGCCATTCCTAGATGCGGATGAGGAGCGCGGATACGAGAACGCGAGGAAGCTTGAGTTTGGGGACTGGAACGTAAGTATCAAGTATACCTCCCAGGCTGAAGTTTGCACTCCCACTAACACGCAACAACAGTACCCCGTCATAACTGCGAACAAACCTGCTAGGTTCTCTTGGACTACACCCCAGCCAAGTTTCGCCCAGCTCCCGCGCCCGACCTCATCAGTATCACCAGCATCTCCTGGACCAAGGGGGCCACCGCCTCCGCGGCCGGAAAGCGCAGAGCTGGTCAAGAGCAAGAAGAAAGGTAAGAGAAAGGAATCGACATCAGCGCAGCATCGCCCGAAGGAGCCACTTCCCCATGAAGAGGAAGCTGGACCATCTGGATTCGGCACTGCAAATGAAGATTACAACACCTTGACAGAAGAATATCTTCAGGCGGCCGAGAACATAGGCTATGATGGCAAGGTGAAAGATCCTGAGAACGAGGGGCCACTGGAGCCCGAGTCAAAGCAACACTACGAGGAGACTCCGTCTTCGGAAGGCTCGTCCCCCTTATTTGCAGTTGGGGACGAGGATGAGTTCCGCAATGTTTGGGGTGGTGACCAGCATGCTGGCCCTGAAGGACGACATATCACATGAAATGGGAAAGCAACGTAAAGGCTTTTTGTCTGGTTTTGATACCCCAATTTTGGCACACATATGTAGCAACATAGCATTTTGGCGCGGCGTCCGTTTCGATGCAGTTGGAATTATATACAAGAATCGCTAGGCGCGTTTGTCCTAAAATCTGTCTCCCGTGGTATCCCTCTATCTGTCTATGAAGATCCCGAACGCCTCGCTTTCTGAGCACCCATATCGCAATTATCTTTCCCCACAGTATGTTCAGTGTCGTACCCGACCTTCTCGGACCGGGCAGACAGTCTAGCCTTGTCCTCTCTCCATTTGCGCCAGTACGACCAAGCGCTTGTAGCTATAAAAGTCAACCCCAGCACAGATAGCAGAGAGGCCAGGACCGGTGTAGCTATATTCCTATCCCCTAGATTAGCATTCACGTCGCTTTCGCCCGATGTTGGCTCTCCGGATGACCCACCCGAGGCGCTCGCGCCGGACCCGTCCTCACTGCCACTCGACTTGCGTGTGCGGCTCCCATTGTTCTCCGTACCGGGACTCGGTGGTGCAGGACCAGTCGCCCAGTCCACGGGCTCGGGGCCGAGGACAAAATCCATCGTGCCACCGTTCTCAAATACATCTGACCATTCGACCCAGTTCTTCGTCCAGGTCTTGCCATTCACCTTCAGGGACTGCACGTAAAACGATGTGTCCGAGCCCCCGGTGCTGGTGATGTGCAATGAGTTGCCGCCGCCAAGAGAGATACTCAGGTCATCAAACCATGGTGAACCGATGAGGAAAGTCGTCTGCCCTGTCATGGGGTACAGGCCAATCATGACCCATAGGACCCAAGATTGCATGGCTCCGGCGTCGCTGTTCCCCGGAAGTCCGCCAGGCGTTGCGCTGTAGTACGCCTTGGCGATAGCGCGGCTGTGGTTCACCGTGAGGTCTTGCCTGTCCACAAAGTTGAACAGGAAGGGGCTGGTGAAACTCGGCTCATTGCCCGGATTGAAGATCATCTTGTCGAAAGCGCCGGAAGGATTGAGGCCCGGTGTGAAAATAGTCTCGAGTCTAGCAGCGAACGTCTCCTCTCCTCCGGAGAGACTGATAAGGGTATCAATGTCGTGGTGGGCGTTGAAGGAGTACTCCCATGGTAATCCTTGGTAATCTGTAGAGTTGTGAGTTCAGGTTACAGGTCATCAAGTAATGAGTTTTTTGTCTAAACTCACAATAATCGGCCCAATAACAGCCGCCACAGCTCAGAGGATCCTGAGCTATGAACCCTGAAGTGTTCCGAGGGACCAAAAACCCTGAAAAGCCAAGAGACGTAGCCTCGGGATTCCAATGATTTCGCCATTGCCTTGATCTGTGAAGATACTTCGCAGCATCGTCAGACTTTCCTAAGCCAGAAGCGACTTGATACAACCCAAAATCATTGACCGAACTATATAGCTTGTCAGCAATGCAACAGTTTCGTACAGACAAAAGACACCTTACTATTCAACAGCTCGGCTCACTGAGCGGGCGTAGGTCGGCGTGATATATCCAAGATTAATCCAATCCGGAAGAGCCCCCCGGCCCTCTTTAGTCGAGGCCGAGGGGTCTCTCGGGTCATTATTATTAGGCGGCTGGACTTCAGCGTCCTTGACCATTGCTTTATAGCCATCTTGCCAGTTTATTCTACCCTGGACGCCCTTCACAAAGGCGTCGGCTAAGACATTATCGGCATTCGAGCCTCCCTGGGTCGCGCCGTTCCAGAAGGACGACCGCCCGTCCGGCATGTACCCGTCATTTCTATATATGTCAATTAAGGAGCGGATATACTCCTCGTATACTACGGGTTGTAATATGTGCAGCAGCGGCGTTGTACAGCGAAACTTTGAGAATGGTAAGCTTAATTGCTCGAGGAGCCGCAGCTGTGCTACTTACTAGGTCCCACAGGGTGAACGTGTCATCGTAGTACGGCTCCGAGGACGTCCACAGCGGGTTCTCTCCTGTCTTGTTTTGCGGCAGGAGCTGCATAAAATACAGAGACGAGTACAGCAACTGCAATTTGCTGGTATCCGTATCGGTAGTGGTGACCTTGGACAACACTTGGTCGTTCCAAGCATCTCTCGCGTTGTCGGTGAGGCTAGCCAACGATGTGCCAGAAGGGATCTGGCTGTTGACATTTTGACAAGCCTGCTTCGTGGAGATGAACGATACACCAACCCTGGACGTCACCGAGGGTGAGTCGAACGTGAATACGGCTCCCAGTCGCGCAGTTGAGTTGAGCTTATTGGTTGTATCGTACTGTACGAGCGTGGTTGATGTCGCGTCTGCTCCGAGAAAGGTCTTATACGACCCTGGCGTATCAAAATACCCACAGAAGTAGACGGTCCACCCTGGTGCACGATTCCACCCCTTGCACACAAGTCAGTATTTCGCAATCAAGTGTCTCTGTATTCGTATCCACATAATTACTTACATTATCATACTTGCCCCAGCCCTCGTATGAAAGCCCAACGCTATCGTCACTGACTGAAATCCCTCCGCCTAGATAGTGCTGCTCCAGGCCCATTCCCCGGAAAGATGGGAGAACATGAGACACATCAACGATGACATTGGCTGACTCGCCAATCTGGGGGAAGCTATGCCTATAGAAACCAGCCCTCTCAGATGCTCCCAACTCAACGGTTATGCCGGAAGCCAGGCTTGACTTGTAGTAGCCAATTTTGGTGATATCAGCAGACGCTCTTGGTTCCCCTGGATAAGCCAGGGGGTTGGCTACATCCCCAAGAGCCGGTAGCTGTGAGACGACACCGTACTTGGGCGCGCCACCCGTACCGCTCTCATGAAGCATACTGAAACCCGTGAAGTTACCACTAGGTTGGTAGCCTGAGTAACTGTCCGACCCGGTATACAGATCTGGCCCTAACTTGACCATGCCGAAAGGATAGCTAACACCAGGGAAGGTGTTGCCTCCATTAATTGTGCCAGTCTGGACTAGTCAGCATGATTCCCCGTGGCGCTACAGCTCATAACACCCACATCGGTGAGGACATAGTCAGCCAGGTCAGCAGCTTGAGCCGCTCCTGCTATCGCTAGGAAAGAGAGGACCAGGGTAGCAGCCATGAGAAGATCCAGGCCCAAACAAAAACCCACGCCGTTGTTCCTAACCCGTCGTGGCAAGCCGGGCGAGACTTATATACCTAATGCGTCCTCAAGAATCCCCGCTCACAACTCCCATTATAGACGGATACGAGTTTGCCAACGGTCTCACGACGTTATCAGGCCGCCAAGGGTAGGGCTTGCGACGGGCTTGTTCGAGTAACCTGGTTATGGGGTGTCAAGGTCTTGGGAGGGTCTTGGCTGTGGTGGCTGGCTCAAGGATGCAACTCGTTCCCTCGTGCCAGAACCATGGGCCGTGACTGGATGGAGATGGTGTATAAGAAAAATAACACTACAACGCAACCAAGATAGCAAACGAGTGGGAACCGCGTGACAAGACAAGACAAGAGAAAAAGCGACAGACACAATCGAAGGTTCGATCACTCCGCATTTACCTATATACCGTTCCCCCATAAGATACGGTCTTTTTCTGTCTTAATGCGGTCTTCCGGCTGAACTGGGCTACATGGCACCCCTTCTTAGTGGCGCCTTATGCCTAAAACGCGGGTCGACTACCCCAATGGATAGGCCATAGCAAAAAGCTGACCTGGGACTACCAAAGCCAGGTTGGGTAGTGGAAGCCGTCAGCTGAAGGGATTCGCAAGCTAGTGACAGGAGTGGTAACAAGCAGATTACAGTTGGGCAGAGCCACCACAGACTATTGTGCCGCCAGTGCGGATCGCCTCATGCTTGCGTAGGGGACTTTCCTGGGCAGCGAGGCGCTGTTCCTGGGCTCGAGCGGCTTAGAGCCGGCGCTAAATCAAGCTAAAAGCGACAACATTGGAAATAGACGTGCCGTTGGCCGGATACGCCAGACCCCTGCCCTAGGAACAAAGGAAGAAAGGGACAGGCCGAGCACGGCATATGATGATGCCACCCTGGATGAACTGTGTGAGTGACCCTTCTCTCGACGCAGCAACTGCTGCTGATGGCCCGGGGCAGGCGACACAGCGTCGTATCGGCCTGTTCCACGGACCATCACGGTGATGGCTCTGCAGTGTGTAGCGGCAGTGCAATAGAGCACGGTCGGCGCACGCCTGACCTTGTCGGCCGTTCGCGTGCTACGCTATATTTGAACATCGTGGGATCCGCGGACCATGGCCGGTGGTTTTCCAAACGGGGTTGCTTGACAGCCATCTCTCAAGACAATCGGTAATAAGACGGCATTGGCCCATGTAAAGGCGCCACGGACATCGGAGGCAAGGGAATGGCATTCCTTATCGCATCCTCACTTTGTCTAGACGCAAGCGAGGAACAGCGCACAAATGCCATCCCTCCCTTACTCGGAGTGTGATCGCTTCTGTGCCTCATCGCGTCGCCTGTCGCGCGCACTAAGTTGTGATGACAGTCTGAATGCCCAGACATCAAGTCAGATCGATAAGATGGCACTTGAGACAACACGTGCAGAGATCTGGGAGTAAAGTGGATGCTGCGGTCCGGCGATTGAGACCTCGGGACGTCAACACGTGTGCGGAGCAGGATATGATGTCGACTGAACGAATTCGGCGTTGGATGTTGGACAAGCAGCCAAGCAGGTGCCTGGCAGGGAAAAGAGGAAGATCGGCGCTGCAAATCAGAATCAAGATGAGATGACGGCTTAACAGCCAACCACATGCACATGCAAGCGCGCAGGCCACCCGCTGATCCCAACAACCCAGCATTTAGCTGCCTGGTCCGCAGGAACACTACGAGGCAGCGAGAATTTGCGCTGGCGATAATCCTGTCAGACAACAGTGGAGATAATGTATTCTCATAATCATACACAAGGCCTTGAAAATGTCCATTTATCCTTCATCGACTTGTTTTGAATTTTTCCGTGTTTTTTTCCAGCCGGAAAGTGAGGCTGTGAATGCAACCAAGTGTCTATCATGTCTCCAGCATGTCGTCCAGGTCCTTAGATCTCCAGGGTCCTGTTATGCCATTCAACGGCTCGTCCATCTGTCGTATGTAGCACAATCAAGCCATACAAGACTTCTTGGTCCCACAAAACCACACCTCGTGGAACAATAACACAGAACGAACACGATAGATCATTTCTGGGCTCAGATTTGGTCATTCTGGAAGTTGCGCTAAGCGTCAGTGATATAGTGCCTGATGCAGCCACATGGGTAGAAACGGAGACTGACCAAGTTATGGTCACACTGGTTCCGACTTGTCTTCATCCAAATGAATTCTTTTGGCGGTTCTCAGGATAGTTAAGCTCCGATCGACCCAGCGTCGTGGGTGACGGGGTTTGTGCCTTGCCCCGCCTGCAATATGCGGGACATTGCCCCAAATTTGCCCGAGACAATGCTCCGTCCCTTTCGTGGGGCTCATCGCGTGGCATATCCTCATGACTGAGAATTCCCACTGCGCAGACAACCTGGGACCGGCATAACCCTCCATTTTTGACTCGCAATATTGTTCCGTCATTAGACTTCTAACATATAGTGCCCCAAAATAAACAGTTTCTGAGGAGAGGACTCGTACCCGTGTAGTCTGGACTGTTTTTAGGACTAAACATCAATGGGGGTTACATGTGTAGCCTAAATAACTATTAGTTCTGATTTCTCCCTTTTTCTACGAACCGGGAATGCTTATTGCATCTTGTTCCCTCCAATATGTGTTCCTTTCTTAATGATGATTTACCAGAGCTGCGAGGATAGGCGAGGTATCAACCATAGATGAATTTTCGTGTAACATGCCTTTTCTTGACACCATAATTGTAACACGGGACCCACCCAATCCCCTGATCAAGACTTCGTCTCAGAACCAACGAAATTGAGTCTACTTAATAGCATTTATGCCTCAACCACTAGACCTTCGTTCTCTTCTTACCATTTACTTCTAGTACTTCTTGTCTTAGTTATTTTCCTTCTGGGCAATGGCTTAATCAGTGACTGTTTTAACAACAAACTCATTTCGCATATTCAGAGTCATTTTTTGAGCATATAGCTCTTCCTATAGATTCGCATCTGTTCTACATTGAATTGTGGTTTATAGCTATATAGGTCGTCTTCAAACTCATTAGATGAGTTATTTCTCACATAAAAATCAGATAGACACTGTTTTGACTAGACATCACAGAGAAAAATCTCAGCAAATGCTATATGAATTATTTTGCTTGCCTCTCGCCGGCCGAATGGGCCGTGCAAGTATTTCTAACATCGGAATACCGTAAATCTTTGGAGAACATGCAGGTTAGACGTTCCAATCATTACACTAAGCGGTCGATCTCTATGTATGAAATGAGAGCGCAGGGCCAAGACTTGATAAAAAGGAGATAGACTCGATCTCAAGTGTAGATTAGCTTATCGAAAGTGGAATCAGATGTACTTATTTTCGTGATGACGCTCAGTCTGATAGTGTATATACGCATCGTCGGACCTCTATATAGGGACTTTGTTAAAATCAAGGCTGTTCAAGGCCACGCTAGCCTTGTAGTATCAGACCTTTTACTACGTAATAGAGTGAGCCCAATGCATTGCATGCATGCCTGCTACTAAGACATCTTGACAGCAACCGAGCTGTGACAATGGCCTACATATGTGTCACTTGAAAACTACAAGGCTGAACTGCGTCATGTAACACTCATCGGTCCGCACATGGGACACAAACAGGTTAAGCCACTCTCTCAGCGTTATGGCTGAGACTGGTGCAACATTGACCAAGCCCAAACGCACTTAAGCCACCATTCACTTATTAGCCTGAATGGTGGTAGAAATCTGCCTTGCGATGTTTGATGGGAAGCGGCATAAGATATGGGAGGAATTGCAAGAACTTTAATGTAGCCTCGTGCTCCGTGTTCAAGTATATAGATGTTTGTTGTTCCTACATAAGCTAGCTTGCACAATACATTTTCTCCCTATGCTTCAATTTGGACACAATGGCCACGACCAAGAAGGAAGACTCCATCATCTCAAAGAGGAAAGTCTACGCTCTTACAGCGTTGATTCTTCCAACGACTACGAGCATTATTCTGGCTGTACTTCCAACATTTTACCAAGGTTTCAACCCTCCTCTGATCTCATGGATCATAAAAAATCGAGGAACCGTGCAGATAATAGTGCAAATGATATCTACTGCCCTTGGAGCCCTTCAACTATACGCCATCAGTAGCGTCCTGAACTTCCGGGTCAACCTCCAAGTGATGTCTAGCTATATGTCGCTCGATAAGCTTAAATTATACAATTCTGCTATCTCAGAGACTTTAGATCTCGATCTACCTACATCTAGCATCGCTATACTGCTTGTTTACCTAGTTCTAGCCAAGTTATCCACCGCCTTGTGGGCAGGGGCCCTCACCCCGATTGTCACAGTATCACAACTCAAAGGCGGGATCCAAATTCCGGCTTACAGCATATCTACTAAGCATCTATGGGGAGAGTTATGTGTACCTGGAGGCCCATGCGATCAAGCTTTGATGAGGAACAGTTCCGATCTAGGAACATTTACATACCTTCCATGGAAGTGTAAGGGTAAACCATCTGGCAATAGTCCTATACTTTGCTAATAAATTGTATAGACAAACCCGGACTTCTTCTCGAATCGGTCAAGCAGGCATCGAGTCAAAAATCATCAACGTCGCGGTCGATCAAGTCAGACAATACTGGATTTGCGTTCAACGGTCGGTCGTTCGGGGTAGCTTCAACGATTGGCCTGGTAAATGTACAGATACCTTCCCGATACTCCTCAACGTCCGATAAGGTTTCCTTGATTCAGCACTTTTCGTACTTTGAGCCCGGGTACATATTTGATATCACATGCGACTATAACCAGACGAACGATCTCAAATTTCACTCAGTGGCATCCTGGGCTGAAGGATCTTTCCCCTGGCAAGCCGTCGGCTTCATCGCTAATGGTTCTTTACCTAATGGCAATTGGACAGGGTTTCCAACATGGGGTGTGAGCGACAACTCCACTCTCGTAGCTATCAGCGCTGTCGCTGCTGAAGGCAAATACATGTATGGCTTTGCAGCTGGAAGTCATTATGCAAGTTTGAATATGGTCCAGTGTGAAGTTCTTTTCAATCCGGCAATATTTAAGGTCGCCGTGGACATGATCTCTAAAGACATCACGGTCACAGAGGCGACTATGGAGGAGACTGGACTGCCTTGGGGAGCTTCCGCTCTCAACATCGATCCATCCTATGCACTTGCCGTTAACACCTTCTTTGGTCCCAGCTTTTTATCAGCTACGCTCACCTCTGGATATACTAGCGTAGGAAAAGCTTTCAATGATAATACCGGAAGCCTTCTAGCCCGGCGCAATAATTCTGATCTGTATCCTGCTACCGTACTGCGAGCAGTTGGAGATGGCTTGGAGATCCTCATTGATCTCACCTTGGGCAGCCTAGGTGCAGCGCAGATGATGCTAAACAACGATACGCAACGTACGGAGGTGCATGTTACGGCGAGTATTTTACGCATTGGTGAGAGAATATATGTCTATTCGGCGCTAGGTATCAGTGTTACCATCACCCTTGGCATTGCAGCCATGGCGCTTTGGACACATTCTTGGCACGGCCTGCCCATGATCAACGTGTTGGACTTTAAGTCTGCCATTCTGGGGATAGGCAGGGAAGAGACCGCTGTGCAAATCGTTGAAAACTGGGATGGCAATGCTCAGGACCGCACGGTCGGTCAGTTGAAAGTCACAATGGATACTGGGCGAAAGAAACTCATATTAACGGCTTAATCTCCAACTTCATGCCTTAAACAGTCAGGAGAATAATGTAGTGGGATATCGGATTAACGATATTGATTGACACGAGATTACATGTCTTACTGCTGATTAGCACAGGCAGGGGTCTTGAATCTATATTCCAGGATACACTTATGGTGGTCTAGACACTAATGATCTGAGTTCTGGGTTTTCACAAGCATGGCTTAGAGCTATATTGCCTGTCCCCATGTGTGCACTAACGATTGATATATCTATATACAAGGCGGACTTCAAGACTGTATATACCTCCCCAAAATTGACAGGCGAGTTTCAGACTTTCATCTACCAAACAGGACTTATGTAGCCTATTTCAAAAGCGTGATGACTTTGAATCCTTGAAATTCTCACTTAGACCACACACATGGTCAATCCTGAATCTCCCAGACTCTTAGATGTAGGCTGCATTGACTATTTAATAGCATTGTGTGCCTTAGTGTTCGCCAAGTGCATGCAGATATATCAATGACAATTGTTTTCGATGCAGATATGCTTTAGAACCCTTTTTCCAAAGTCTCAGTGAAAGAGGTGAAATCTAACAAGTTGACATGAAGTTATATTTGCAGACTTGAAAGAGTTTTCTTCGTGTATTTCTTTCAGAGCAACATTGATGTGGAGATTCTATTGAAAGAAGGCACATTCATTGAATCAGGGATAAGAAGTCATGTTGTGTCAAAAGCGAGAAAAATATCTTATCAGTTTTCTCTTAAAGTCTTCATACAATAGCAACGCCTTAATTGTACACAAGTCTCCTTGTTATTCAAGCTTGCATGGGCTAGTGAAAGCGGTGAGGTGAGCGGTGAAGGTGAAGCCCGTGTAAGAGGAAGCACTGGCGAATGAGAAGGGCAGTGTACCTTACCTAATCCGACCAGGATCTCGACCTCTGACCCCACTAGCCCCCGCCACCTCAAATGTCGACCAATGAAAAGCAAGCCGTGAAAAATGTCACCGCCATCGCCTACCCACCAAGAAGACGAGGCTCACCTCCTTCTGTTTTTGGCCGACATTTTCTGCCACTCACTCAACTTTCTCAACTCTCACCAACACCGTGAAGATGGGGCGCCGGCCAAATGCTGTGGTGTTGCAGTACTTCGAGCGAGGCCAGAAGCTGGCTGATAACTCGAACAGGTGCGTTTCATTGTTGTGTCGCTACGCGCGTGAATGGGGCAAAACTGACCGATTTTACTGCCAGGTACTCGCACACCTGCAAGCTATGCGGGGAGGTCTTCCCCAAGGGTCGCATTGACAGCCTCACAAACCACTTGACAAAGAAGTGTGTCGCAATTAGCGAGGCTGATCGAATCAATGCCTGTCTTGCCCTCAATGGCATCAGCCATGCCAGCCACCGGAACAAAAATCATGTCCAGCCTAACGGTCCTCCCGTCGACCTTCCTCTGATCCAGCAACAGCAGCAGCAGCAACAGCAGCGCGACTGGACTGCCCTCGAAACTCTTGCCGAAGTCTCAAGACAGGCATTCAACGACGAGAAACACGATGACAATGGACAGGTGGTAAATGGTGTGCCGCAGACGCCGCCACCTGCAGGCGCAGGACCTCATGCCTCCGAGCGTTTCGAACTCCAGGAGCAGTATACCCTTGATAACCCGCCGTCTGCATATAGCAATGGTGTGCCTCAAGAGAAGCGAAGTGAGTCGTCCGTGTGACTTATAATATCTTACCATGTGGTTACTTCCAGCTAACACTGATAATAGCGCCTCAGAAATCTTCTCCACCACCCGAGAACGTGCTCAGTGCCGAGGAGCAATTGCAGGCTCTGGTCCAGTCTACAACCTCTGCCACCGAGCAACCGAATCTCTCAGTTGCCGCTGCAGCCACGGCGCGACTCAACCCTTCTCTGCTCGATCCCCAGCTTCTTGGTGAAGACCTGGCTCGTGCACTAGAGCAACCATTGCTGCAGGCACCTCCGTTGCCCGCCGAGGCCACCCCAGCGGCTATCAACAATCCTGCCCAACCTTGGGGCGAGATCACATATATGACACAGACTCTGCAACCAGTCACTTTACCGGATGACGTTGCTACAAGCGCGACTGTTCTGAATAAAGGAGGCTTTAGACTCGACAGCCCAAACGGCGCTAAAGCAAGACACTCTCGCGCCAGATTTGATGCGACACGACGTAAGGAGGTCCAAGAAGTTCGAAAACTGGGTGCTTGTATTCGATGTCGAATTCTTCGCAAGAACTGCTCTGTCGGACACCCCTGTGATACTTGCCGAAAGGTCTTATCGCCTAGAATTTGGCGGTCTGGCTGCGTGCGTACCAAGTTCACCGAACAACTGGACATCTATTCTGCTGGCGTGCAAATTGTTCTTGCGCAGCACAGAATCAACAACTTCAAAGCCACACTGAATCTAGTCAACAATGGTGTTGTTATCGAAGCCTACCTATTCCCAGAAACTGAGAAATGTGTTCGCGCCGAGGTCGTCCAGGGCACTGGATTGAAAAACCCAGATGCCGACCCGCTAGGTGCAGATGTCAACAATTGGGCCAATATGCCAGTCGTCATGCTTGATAACGATAAGGAAGATGTACCGGCCAAACTAGAGGCTTTCATGAAAGACATGCTACATGAGTTCGTTCATAGGGAGACGTCTCATTTCATGCGTGTTACGCTGGAATCAGCTCTCGAGATTATTCAAGAGTCAAATGACGAATTGTTGAAGAAGGCGCTTGAACTCTGGGGCTTAGTTGAAGTCTTGGACAGGGAGCGGGCGTGGAATATCCTGGTTAAGCCGACCGCAGTCGATGAGGAGCCCATGTGGATCAAAGAAGACACGGACCAAGAAACCTACACGACCATCTGCTTACAGCTGACTGCAGCTGCCGAGCGTAAAGCAGCAGCTACTAGCAAGAGTCTGCTCACTGGCATGCAACGCGTTCTGCAGGACAGCAAGACGAAGGTCGACTTCAGCATGTTCTTCACCACTATGATCCTCCTCAATTGCGTAGAGAAGACAACTTGGGCTTTCAAGGCATGGGAGCAGGATAGTCTCCGCGCCATGTGGCCTCTTGAGAAGCCGCCCAGCTCTTTCACTCAGCAAGGCTACGTCGTGGCCGATCTTCTGAGGATGCTGCTTGGCATTCGCAAGGCTCTACCCCGTACAGCTTGCCGTGAGTCTGACGGCATTCTCATTACAGAGGAGCAAGACCCAGTCATGCAATCCTACTTTCAAAGCATGAACTTGAGCAGTATGTTAATCTCTTTCTTAACAATACTTCGATCGCTAACGCGTTGTTTCTTTAGTGGCTGAAGTGCAGAACAAGCAGCAGAACCCTGCGTTCTCACCGACAGATTCTCGCTCTTTCGACCTCCTGTTCTGCTCTACCTTGCTGCTCCCAGAGCAACCTGCTTAATTCTGAGATGATCACGTTCTTCACTGCCTGGACTGGCAGACTATTTAGTCTGGTCAAGAAACTTGATTGATGTGGAAATTGGGGCGTTCAGGGCCTGAGATTATTCCATTAGACGATTTGACACGACGGCGATGACGGCCCAACAAAAAATGAAATTTTAATGTACGACTAAGGATGATTGAACAGGAGTCGAGGATTCGCCCAGAGAAACATCGCTGCCGACGAGGTCTGGTAGGGCTTTACGACTGCGGATGTCTATCGGACTTAGCTACGAAGGGAGGACAAGGAAGTCCTGCCTGAACTTATAGATTAATATACCCCACGGCTCTTTCGGCGTTGGCGGTCGGTAATAATTGACATTGTCTTCTTAAAAATCAATAGTGAGGTTAGGCAGTATTGCACTCTGGTTTGTGATGTGATTTCTAGATGAAAATGATCAACCTACAGTATCTCATGCGCCACCGAGTCTTTGGACTCTCAAATGCGTCATGAACTATCAAGAGGCAGCGAAGTAACTGACATGATGAACAAAATCGACGATGGTCTTCGGGGTAGGCATACATCAAAGTGTACTAGAAGGTAGCGATCATACTGCAGATGGACCCTGGACAAGGTAATAAAACACTACGGTCAGTATCCTGGCCATGAAGAAGCCTCTGTTGCACTAAAATTGCAGTGAAGATTCCAAACAAGCCATCGTTTCACTTAGGCACATTGTGTCGTTGGATAGCCCAACAGACGGGCTAGACTACCTCTTGACGAAAACATACCAAATCAAATGGGAACCCATGTATAACCGGGACTAAAATTCACATTCGATCACAGGATATCTTGTAGATATATACACATAAGCGTCATCGTCGGGAAAGACTAGGAAGTTGTTTCCCTCCTCGAGTCACCCTGAGCCCGCTTCGGCTTCCTGAAGCAGGCAAACTCGTTCTTGCTCGACTCCCGCAGCCGTTTCAACACGCTTCGCATCTCGGGCAATTCATTCTGCAGCTTTGCCCTCGCCTCGTTGTCCGTCCGGCCATCAAGCTCTTGATAGATCTGGCTTTGAAGCTCAGATGCCCGTTCCGTCATGTACTGGCTCAACGTCTGCGCCACGAACTCGACATCAAGTGTTGCTTGCATCAACGCAGACAGGTTGTACTTGGGACGGGTCTTGAAGGCCTCAAGCAGCTCGCGCGAGGTCTGTTCCAATAGGTACGAGAGAACTTGACTTGTGAGAGAATTGGCTGTAGTCGATACCTGCGTGTGGACGAGCACAAGGGTGAGTAGAGCTTCGTACACGTACGGCTTCACTTCTCGCGGCTTCTCAGTTGGCGTAGCAGGGGCCCAATCTGCAGCTGTTACGCCGTCACGCACAATTTTGCGCAGTGCCTCGATGGATGGTCTGGTATATGACTGAAAGAGTCGGGCATCTATTTGTCCTAAGACATCACGGATTGTTTTCGTTTCGTCGGTAAGTTTAACAGAGAAAGCATTCTCGAATTGGGTGTTGAGGCCTGGGACGACCTCCGCTCGGAGGGATTGAAGGTTACTTAAAGTCAAGAGCATACGGACATTCTAGGACCATCATTAGCTTTGCTTTTATCCCAGGTTGCGGCTTGACTTACTCTGTCGCCTGCATTTACAGTACCGCCGCCCATGCTCGGCGCGCGGTCTGATGCTCCATTGACGATCACGTATCCATCAACCTCCGTTGTCCAATCATCGTCTGCCTTCTTGATAGATCTTTCTGCATTCTCCACCATACCGCTTAGCGATTTATACAAGGTCGTAACGTACTGACTGCGGACCATCTGTAAAAGCTTCGTAGGGGGTGGCAGGACGATGTCACCAGCTCCTGGCTTTGACATCGCCTCCGAGATATATAGTATCTTCTGCATACCAGCTAGAAGGGATCCTTCAAAAGCCGAGAAACTTGCAGGCATTTTCGTCAAGTCTCGCCGATCTGGAGACCGACTCCAGTCTTCCACATACTTGATGTTTTCAGCGTCTTTGTTCCAGGCAGCGCAAAGTGCTGTTACGCATCTTTCTCTGGCCACTCCTACCAAAGACTTCAGCCGCTCAACCTCCGCAGCATCACCTCGGCCTACAGGAGAGATGCTAGCCATGTCTGATGCTCCAGATCCAACAAGAGCCAGCATTTTGGAAAGATACTGAACTCCGCTAATAGAATTTGACCAGGGAGGCCAGAAAGCAAATTTTTCAAAAGCTTCTCCCCTCTTTGGAGACGGAGGAGGTAGGTTATTTATGTCGAAGTTGAAACGAGGATCTCTCAAGGCATTTGGTGTAAGGGAGCCATTGATTGAGGAGGACATCGGCGTGCTGGGTGACGTTGGTGGTAATGGCGAGAAGAGGAGAGAGATATCTTCCGGCGGAGGACCGGCAAAAAACATGTATACATGCTCCCGTACCATGTCGACCAACTCCACAGTGCCCTTTTGCAGGTCAACGACGCCCTGCTGGGAGAGCCTGTGGTGATTCTTTGACTCGCCGTTGTAGCCCATTGGCAAGGTTCTTTGGGTCTTGCCATCGAGAAAGCCCTGGACGGTCTGCCAAAACTCGACAACTTCGCCAATGATGCCCTTTGATGACAACAAACTAGAGAGAAAGGATACCATCTTCTCCCACAGCTCTACTATATCAGGGGTGTCGAACGACGCGAGTTTGCTTTCCATGCTCTGCCGTCCCAAAAACTTGAGATGCGATGCTATAAGTTGCGGTCCCGGTGACGAGCCATTAGCTAATCGTCGACGCAAGACCTCGATCTCGATCTTCGATCGGTCTGCAGTAGATTGTATCTTGCCCTTGAGATAATCATAGCGGCTCAGCAGCCAGACCCAGATAGGATTGTCCTCAACACCCAATTCTAGGAGCAGACTGATGAGTTCCATGTGCTGGTCTTGCGGCTGGCCAGGGGTATCCGAGTTCGACACGTTGTGGAGAGATATCAGCTTCCTCCAGATATCTCGCTTAAAAGCTTGAATTTGCTCATCGACATCATGCCACATCCGCGCTGCCAAAACGATTTGGTAGAGTTGCGCATCGGTTGGTTGAGCTGAGCCAAGTTCTTGTGCGATACCCCGTGCCTCATCAGCCCATCTCCTTGCTTTGGTGTACTCTTCCACTAGGCTCTCATGATCTTTCCGCTTGATGCTATCGGAAATAGCAGCGCTGGTTTCGACGTATTCCTTATACCGCTCGAGGGAGGACGCAACTACTCTCAGATTCTCCTCCTTTTCTCTGCCACCCAATGCGGGACCCCAGACATCTTCAGCTTTTGCCAAGACATCAAGCAGAGGCACTTTGATGCCCATCACGCCATACTCGCTTTCCTTGATCAGCGCGTTCTTCTTACGAGGGTCCGCGGCAGGCGCAAGTGGACTCGTCATGCCCATGCCTCCGCTGCTGCTGCGAAAGCTATTTCTACTAGCATGCCGCGAGTGACCTCGCTGTCGAGTAGGTGTCGGATCTGCACCTCGGTACTTCATCTCCTTGTAGACATTATCAATGGTGGCTTTTGCACGAACGAAGCGCTCGAAGTTGGACTCCACGAGCACTTTCAGAGAGGCGGACTTCTGATCGATAGATTGTGACAGCACATCGAGACCTTGAAGCAAAGAGCGAGTATCCGCAGTTGAATGCATCTGCGACAGGAATAGGGCGGGCGAGAATGTAGTAGAGGAGAGCAGGAACCGATTGCCTATACGACCATGTAAGCGTGCTGCCTTTCATGTGCTAGGAGATACTCACGGAGCTTGGGATCATCTTGCAACGGAAGACCAAGCTGCTTCAACGTCCGCACCACACTGTCTGTGGTGCCCAGCGGATCCGGCTCATCTTTCTGAACAATATTTCCGACTCCATTCGCTGACTTCTCCTGACCAGGAATCACGCTACTCCGGTTGCTGACTGCACGTTCAAGCGCCTGATATCTCGACTTGCGGCGATTCAGTTTTGACTTGGTATCCTCCTCGTCGGACGCGTCGCTATTGTTCTTCTCGGCGGGCCATTCCACCGGGTACGGGTTCGAGACTTGATAGTACTCGAGCACCGTTCTCTCTAAGTCGGCCATATTAATAGACCGCGCGGCCCCTGGCCGCAACGTTGATTAAGCTTCGTATCTCCAGCGGGGCAGAGCTTTGATATATGATGCTCGTCTGTTGTGAGAACTGCTAACACTGTCTCTCGGTGCTGTTGAGTGTTTCATGTGGGGGTTGACAATGACTGAATGCACGGAGCTTGGAGCTCGGAGTCTGGATGGCTGGTGCAGGCCTGTGCATTTAACTGAAAGATGGCTAAATACACAGGCTCGGATTATTAAAAGACAACAAAGGCTTGCGGCGGTCTTGCATCGGCTGCGATCGGTCGGCCGAGGAGACCCCTGTCAGGTAGCTCGGAACAGGCTTTCTATCTCTTCCTTAGCACCGCTTAGAAGCCGCCTGCCGTCTCCAAAGTGCAACCAACAGAGACTACACTGCACTACGGGACTGACAACTTTTTTGTTATCGCGACGAACCGCCGGCAGTCGAAGCTTCTCTTTTCTCCCACGTCCCCAATCTCCTCTCCACCATCATTACACCGCTCACTTGCTGACGCCCTCGCTCCTCCCACGATGCTGGCCATTCGATCAGTCGCTGCCCCTGCGCGGCGCCAATTCCTCGCTGGGGCTCCCCGCGCAACCGTCACCTTGTCCTTGCATGTGAGCACTTCCAAATAGACACCTCCAAAATCGTCAATTGGCCGTCGCGTGCTAATTGCAGACCTTTTCTACAGAACCAGAGATACTACTCAGCGAAGCACGACAAGGTTGCAAAGTTTACCGGAGTGAAGGACGCCAGTGTAAGCCTGTTCGCTGTTTTGCCGCGGGAACTGCGTCTATGTTGACGTAGCCGGAAAAAATCACTCAAACAGAGAGTTGCATCAACACAGCTACAAAATGCTGACGACATGCGATATAGGGCAACTACCCCGTCAGTCTGATCGAGGGTGACGGTATCGGACCCGAGATTTCACAGGCCGTCAAGGACATCTTCGCTGCCGCAAAGGTTTGCTGCAGCCCTTCCCTGCGCCCGAGAAGGCTCTGCTACACATACTAACCTGTCCAGGCGCCAATTGCCTGGGAGCCTGTCGATGTCACCCCTATCCTGAAGGATGGCAAGACCGCCATTCCCGACGCCGCTATCGAGAGCATCCAGAGGAATAAGGTGGCCCTAAAGGGTCCCCTGGCCGTACGTATAGACCTGGAGGTGGCAAGGCACATCTTGGGGCTAACAAGAGGCTATAGACCCCCATTGGCAAGGGCCATGTCTCCCTAAACCTGACTCTACGAAGGACATTCAACCTCTTTGCAAACCTGCGACCCTGCCGATCAGTAGCCGGCTTCAAGACACCTTACGACAATGTTGACACTGTTCTGATCCGAGAAAACACCGAGGGAGAGTACTCCGGTATCGAGCACGTGGTTGTGGACGGTGTCGTGCAGAGCATCAAGCTCATCACAAAGGAGGCCAGCGAGCGTGTGCTGAGATTCGCCTTCCAACAGGCTGAGGAGATTGGCCGTAAGAAGGTCCGCGTGGTACACAAGGCCACCATCATGAAGATGAGCGACGGTCTCTTCCTCACAGTTGGCAAAGAGGTTGCCAAGGACTTCCCCGGAATCGAGTTCGATGCCGAGCTGCTCGACAACACCTGCCTGAAGATGGTCACCGATCCCCTCCCCTACAACGACAAGGTCCTGGTTATGCCCAACTTGTACGGTGACATTCTGTCCGACATGTGCGCCGGTCTAATCGGTGGTCTTGGTCTGACTCCCTCCGGCAACATCGGCGACGAGTGCTCCATTTTCGAGGCCGTCCATGGTTCCGCCCCAGATATCGCTGGCAAGGGCCTGGCTAACCCCACCGCTCTGCTGCTCAGCTCCATGATGATGCTGAGGCACATGGGTCTAGGCGAGTATGCCGACAGAATTGAGAAGGCTGCGTTCGATACCCTCGCGGAAGGAAAGGCCCTCACGGGTGACTTGGGCGGAAAGGCGAAGACTCACGAGTACGCTGCTGCCATTATCGGAAAGTTGTAGATACAGATACCCTGTTATCCTAGTGCATATTGGGGGATTTCCTGGGGAAAGGGGCTGTAGTAGACTGTAACACAATAGAAATTTCTTGTTCATGACTGCCAAACGGTCTACCAGATTGTGCCTACCATTATCGAGGAGTTTGAGGTGCACCTTAATTCCTGACTGTGATTCTTAGCTTCGCTCTCGCATAGCTGCTAGAGGATCGGATGCCTGTTGCTTCAGGGGTCACAATTACGTTGTGGCGTTGAGCACGCGACCAAGATTCACAGTTTGGGCATGAACGCAGCAAATGCAAAAACATCAATTGCTTATCTTGGCTCAATAGCTGAGAACCAAAGCATTCACCTCGTGCTCAGTCCTGTCCGTTTCTATGGCTGATGAAGTTTGATAGTCTTGCAAGAATCGCGTCGCCGTGTATCGGCCATTGCCAGTAGCACTCAACGAATGCAGCTGTGGAGGCGTCGTTATGGCAAGTAGAAGCGTCTTTACCCTCCTTCTGCCATGTAGACAATTAAAGCAAGGTAAGCAACATAGCAGGGAAGAGTCAAGTCTCTTGTGATGCGTGTTACTCCAGAAGCAGAAACTTCATCCGACTAGCTTGAGCGCAGAAAAAGTAAGGCATTGCTGATACATGCTTCACTAGTTCTTCTTCTTTCCGGTATGGCTTACCTTGTACTAACTGTGACAATGGGGTGACTTGATCAAGACCCTTGCCGACTCACGATGTTCGCTTTAGTGAAAGGCCATGCGATACAGTCGTTCATATTGCTGTCCTATGACCGAAGCTTTGGTCTTCCTCATAAGGCGTCAGATACCATACTGCGCTCGGCCATGCGTTGGTCGTCAAGAAAGCCACCCCCAACATTCGTATTCTCTACCCAGTGAGTAGACCCTTGCCACTCAGCCAGCATTCATCGGTGGTCGAGAATCAAGATCTCCCAGCCATGGCGGCGCCCCCCATGCCGCTCTTGCAGAGCGGCACTTCAGTCTGGAAAGAGGAACTCCACGCGTGATGCCACTTACCATCCTCTTTGTCGAGAGACTAGCAGGACTGCAGCGACTCTCCGAGCCTGCATGAAGAAATTTTGGCCTGTCACTGGCGGTCTGGCCAATCTTGTGATCAGCCTTTCTGCAGGTCTTGTTCAATGCGAAGCGAGAAGGAGGATGAGGTGAAGCTCTCATCCTTCTCCGTAGTAGTCCAGGCCGGCTGCGGCTCTGACAGGGCTGGCACTCAAACGAAAATCATTCGGTGACCAGTTGGGAAGGGGCAATCGCTTATCGCTGCAGATGTCCACAAACGCATTTCCCCACGAGAATCTCCCCCCTCCGCATGCAGAGCAACTTCACGAATCCCTGATTTCCCTTACTCAAATCGCCCAATTGATGAGCTCAGGCACTTGCCTTGAAGCCTCTACCATTGCTTCAGTTCTGTTGGAGGGTAATCGCACATTGCAAGCTGTGTGAGGTGTGGTTGCACAGCAGAAATGCCACACGAGGTTTTCTGGCCTTCAGGCAACCCCCCACGTTTGACTTATGCACTTGCTAATTAGGTGGATGAGCCTCTTCGATGCTAGGTGCGTGGGCAATTGTTCAGTCAAAAACTGCCCTTCTTTAGGACATCAGGATCACCAACTGGGAGCAACCGCTCTATCAGTTCGGCACGGCAACGCGGCCCCGATTGCGGAAGCAGACAGGTAGCGAAGGTCGTCTTCGGGCTTTCGGTCTCTCTCGGGGGAGAATACACTATGATGATGAGCATGAGAGAGATCCATCTAGAGAGCTAAAATAGCCTGTGTCGCCTTCAGTCCAGTTTATTCAGGGATCGGCTAGGCCACTGGAGCGCCCACCCACCCAGAATGCCACACGCCTGAAGAGGCGGTAAAAGGGCAACTCGACATCATAGCTCGCTACGATTCACTTTCGACCTCCGCACCGATACCCTGCGCGAGAGACTAACGATCCGCTTCAGCCGGCCGCCCCCTTTTATCGGATGCGGCGGGTTGAGGGGGCAGTCGAGAGAGTTCAAGGTCGGGAGTCGGTCGATCTGGGATCTCCCAACGGAGATTTCCTCCAGCAGCCAGCGTGGTGGAATGAATGTTCCCTCCTTATCCCAACATCCCACGCTGATCGACACATTCCGGTAGTCTTTAGTACAGCAAACAAGCTTTGCCTTGCAAGGACGGACAACGACCAGCTGGGATTGGAGCTTGGGGCAAGGCCACGCGTGTGCCCTCCCCTTCTAGAAAACCCTAATACCATGCAAGACGAACCGTTGCAACCTATAATAGTGATGAAACGCAGGCTAAGAATGCCTGAGCACGACGCCTATTGGTCCGCTGTAAGTGACATATGTCGCCAGCAGCGTTGGGAATCTGGCATCACGACGAGTACTGTATTATAGGAGACTTCCGACTACTCCTGTGGTACCACATCTTTCCCAGTGTGCTTTGCTGATGTAATATTGCCGTCCTCATGGCGGTATTTTTGGTACATTCTCCGTTGGTCTACCTTCGTTGACATTATCGACGATACCTAAGGCACCTTAGTGCAAGCAGCCACTTCCGAGGCTCTCGTGGAGTCAATGTCCATCAAGTACAGCCGATCGACCTGAGACTGAGTCGTGAAGGCACCGCATTTTCCCCGTCCAAGTCGCTCTTTACGATGGCCGTTGTCAGCGATTGGCCAATCCCCCCCGCCTTGGAGTTGCCCTGATCGGCCAAGTGCAGGGTGGGCCAAATTCGCAGCGCAAGATTCTCCCACTTACATGCAATGCAATAGAATTGTGGCAGACGGCCTAGTAATTCGCCGGTGAGGCTGGCCTTCATTACCACCCAAGTCCCGACGTTTCCCAATAGCTTACTGCATAGTAGTGCGGTGTCCGGCACGAGGTTCCTTACCAAGTCTGGACTAATGCCGTGGATGGGGCCGATGTGTCGGTGGAAGGAAATCGCTCACTCATTACAATATTACAATTACCTTGCACCAAATACGCGGACGATACCATAACGTTACCCGTGCGACACTTTGCGAGCCATGGGTACGTCGGAGTTCTATGACGATGCTGCAGGTCGAGAAAGTATCCTTCCCGCCGGCAAATCACCGACATCCTTCTCCGTGTCTGAATACCCTGAAATCTATATATGCCCTCTCTGTCCCCCCGGGTTCTTTCCCCCGGCTTCGTAGACAAGCTTTTGAATACCTCTCCACTCTTACTTGCGCCTCATCAACATCGTAGCTTTGCCTACTCACGCACTTTGTGCTTCTACAAGACCAACTGTCCTCTATCTGTCTTCATCGACATTCCTCTACCCACCTTCACCATGCCTTCCGCTCCCGCTGGTCAGGACATCAAGTCCATCCTCGAGTCTCGCCCTCTCAAGTTCAAACTCTCCACTGGCGGTGCCAAGTACGAGTGCCACATTCACTCTGACCGTCATGCATAGTGAGTAAAACAAAGCCAATGGTTTTCGAAGAGATGTAGAATTCTAACCCTTGTTCCCAGTGAGCGTGTCAAGGCTACTCGCACCGGCTCATCTGCATCAATCTCATCCGCCTCTACCGCGTCTTCCACCTCATCCAAATAAATGGACAGGGAACACTTCAACTGACTTGAGACGATGACAAGTCATTGTTTGTGAGGATTACGCTACGTGATGACACGATACCAATTTCCATCGATATGGAGTTTTTTTTGTTGCATTGGTGTTCAGTGAAATATAAAAGGGCTTACTTATTTCTTCACGGAGTTCTCGGTGCCGACTTACACGCGAATTTCGGTGTGCGTTGACTGGTTGGCTGGTTGGTCAGGGAGAGTGGTTCTTGGTGGTGGGTGGGCGCCACAGCCGGGCATCCCTGCGCTGTCTGCAGGCGATCGTTCCCAGGGTGCAGCTCGCTGTTTCGGTAGCCGATGCGGCGCTCTTGCGAGCTCGGCCTGTTACGGCGTCTTCTCCCAACACAGCCATTTCTCTATTGCCGTTTATTACCACACCACATACTCAAAATCATGCGCACCTGTCTTTCATCCTACTGGAGATTATATTCTTTCGGAAATATTGCGGATCTGATGTTGCCCCCTCGCTCGCACTACGCAGTAGGTAGCCCGGCGTCCTCGAGGAGCTAGAGAGTCGGCGTGGATGATCCAATGTGGATTTTCTAGCACTACAATAGGAATATTACATCAGCTCTTCTGCAGTCACTATTATCACCTGTTTCTACGCCTTCTGTCGTTATGAGTAATTACCCTTCCCGTGATACCGACTTTGGCCACCACCAAGATGACTGCGGCTCCATTGAGCATACTACTTTGCTTCGCCATATCACGTCTTCTAGAAATCAGGAGGCACTTGCATGGCGCGCCTCACCACCGCCGGCATTCGGATTAGCATCGGGAAAGCCCTCGTTGCTCATTGTCAATAACATCCACCAACCCCTCGCCTTTGTCGGGGTCAACTGCCGATGTCTCCTTGCATCCATGTGCGAATTGAGATTTTTTGATCTTGAATGCTCACTTTTAGCTCCTGTAGAACTGGGACGGCTTTTACGATGACCTCGAGTTAAATCAAATTTGAAGCTAATTCTCATTCCAAATCCAGCCTAAGTGAACGAAAGGTTTGTTATAGTCTCTGCAAATTAACTCAAACCGTGGGGAGTTTCCAGACTTCTCGGTGCAAGAGAAGAGAGCTTCACATCTGGAAATAGGTTGCCGTAAGTGATGTCGCCAGCGTGGATTGACAATTTTTCGAAATCGAAACCTTCTCTTATACCATTTACTTTTGATAAAAAATATTCGGCTCATACTGTTTACTTCTATCAGTCAGGCAATATAGTAAAAGCCTTTCATTACCAAAATGGCTCTTATACATTCTAGCAGACGTTAGGGATGAGTTAAATTAGGGTGTCGAATAACATAGAGCAAATATACCCTCAATAAAGTGAACAAAAGGGAGTCTCCATGGCACTGCCCCATTACTATTCTTTTTCTTGCTCCTTCCGCCTTCATGCATTTCCCCCTGCAAGAGATGTCCTCATAATCTTGAGCTTTTCGATCTACCACAGTCTGAGACCAGTCATGCCTGGGCTGAGGATAGCAAGTTAATGCTTGGACAACTCGAATGCTTGCATGCTGAGACTGAAACAGACATTATTACATCAACCTGCAATGCTGCATTACCCGACACCACTCTAGAAGTGCTATTACAATCACTTGTTCTTGAATAAATTACATTCCAGCCTGCGTTCTCCTCAGCAGATACCAAATCGTAGGTTGCGAATGCAGTTCAGCCGCAGGTTTTGCTCGCACGACACATGCACATTGTACAGGCCCTTGTCTACGTAAGTGAGAGTTAGAGACCGCAATTGGAAGTCTGACGCAATAAGCCCACCCAATGCAGTTGTTGGTGGATTGATTACGAGTAAGCGAGTAAGGTGGACGGACGGGATGGACCATGAGGCACGGAAGCTGGGCGAAAAAGTGACTTGCCGGAGAATGAGCACGTAGTACTTGCATTCTGCAGCAGGAGTAGCAGTCAATCGAGGTATCTTGGCCTTATCGTTATCGCTTCTATAGCGTGAGCCAACACCGCCTTCTCGAGGACGGGTTGAGGGGGAGGGGCTCACCCATTTGATGGTACAACACCTAAACTCATTAAGCTTTAGGTTCTAGTACTAGGTTGCCGCTCAGAAACTACGCCTACATCCACGCGGCCCTTGGACCGACAAGGCTGTTTCTACCTCCCTTGGATCTATCCTCCCGGCGACAGGCTCTTCTTCCCTTCAACACACCTTCATTTGTGTGGTAGAGCACTTGTCGCAAGATGCCGGTTCCCATCGCTGCCAAAGGTACGTGCGCGCGCTTCCTTCTGTTTTATGACAATCTGTCTGCCTTATGCTGCACTGCACTAGTCGGTCGGGTCCCTGCCGCTGCTCATCCATCGCGGGGTTGTGGTTCGTTGCGAATCAGATGGCTTGCCTGAGGTCCGGTGGCGAAGGACTACGACACCCTGTGAAGTTGCCCCCGTGTACCGTTCACCAGACCAAATACCTATCGTTTGACGACTGTTTACTGTTCCTCCTCCTTTCCTACTCAAACTCATCACGTTGGCGGGCATCTTGAACTGCAACGCTTGCCTTACTTCCCATTCTATCCCATATCTTGATTAGGCTTATCTACAAGGATGCCGGCTAATCAAGCTATCATCGCTTCAGCCGGCGTTATCGCCATCTCGGTCGCCGTGGCTGCTGCCATAGCTGTCTACGAGTCTCCAGAGCTGCGTCGCATGGCCGACGACCTCCGGCGGCGTATCGCTATCGCTCTGCATTCACTTGGCGACGGTGTCAATCCTCCTAGCCGTGAGCCACTGTTCAATCGACCGGAAGATGCGGAGGGCTTCCTACAATCACGAGGCGTCGTTGCCACGGGCGATCAGGGTGTAGATGCCGATGATGAAACTCGCCGGAGACAACGCGAGGAGCTCATGTATTGGAATGCATTGAAGGAGACGCAAGAGCTGGAGAAGCTCGCTGCCGAGAAGGAGGCTTCACGCCCACAACCCTCTCGACGGGGATCCACATTCGATGACTTTCTGCAGCAAGACAAGTCTGCTGAGAAGGGGACGTACGTCTTTAACACTGGCGCAGAGATTCGACACGACGATGAGGGTCTCGTCCGACGCCGTGGTGCAGAGGGCATCCGGGGATTGAACTCGTCTATCTACGCCAACCCGTTTGCTGATGAGCATGGCATCGATATCGACGAGCATCCTGTTCTTGAGCCTAGCCGTATCTCCCCCGAGAAGGACGAAATTATGTCCGACACTACCGATATCTACAATGCTACCGAGAAAGACTTGCCCTCGATACCCCCGTCGCATACTCTATCCCCATCACCTCCGGCTTTGATCAGCATTGAGGAAGCCCAATCACAGAACGATCCCCTTCTGGAGCGTGAGCTTGGAGAGGACGAGTACATGACCGCAGGCCAAGAACATCAGCACGAGGCGTATGCTTCCATTCAAGCTTGGGCACAGAACTCCAATCCGGGCTTCTATTCGCCACTACCCGTTTCTCCCGCTGGCCCCTTGTCTGAGCCAGAGATCATCTCTGACGGTCAACTCACGCCGACTGATTCGGCTTCGCTTGCTGGCTCTGGTGAAGACATTGCCAATGACGCTGCTTCTTCGCATGCCGGTGACGAGAGACGGTACTACGATGTCATGAGCGAGGACGAGGATGGTATGGCAACCCCTGCGAGCTGGACAGAGGTCGGTAGCGTTGTTAGCGAGAGCGACAATGGTGCTATTCGTGCATGAGCATATGCAATTCGGGACATAATGGATATATACCACTTCAGGTCAACTGTAAGGCGTTCAACAGGTTTCTTTGGCTCATCGTATAGGGCAAGGCATGTCTCTAGTATCTAGAGAGGGAACCAATTCGATGGCTCGCAATAGAATTTCGTGCCGGCGAAAGATTTCTTGTCATTGATATTTCGGATTTCAAAATAGCATTGCTTAACCATATTCATCGTCATTATCAAGTCTGAGTGCCCTCGTCGACCGTTGAGCTCTCCTTTTTATCACCGTCTTTGGTTGTAGGGCCTTTCTCTTCCTCCTTTACCTTCTCAACGTAGTCACCCCATAGCTGCTCCACGGGTCGCCCTAACAGCTCAGTCCAGAACCCCTTTTCTTCATACCGCTGCGTCCTTAGCTTCTCATTCAACCTCCTGACTGTGCCACTCCCGAACCGATCCTCGAGATACTCTAGGAAGTATGCCGTGTGCTGATAGCCCCCGTCCCACTTGCCGCTCGTCTCCCGCCGCCAATGCGGCGGCGACAGGTCGCAGTTCAGCCTCACCCAGTCCGCAATGCCCTCGATGAGCCCGCCCGGACACGTCCCTTTGCCATTGTACTGATAGCAATGGACGAGCTCGTGCGTCAGCACGCCGGTGATCTCGTCCGTGGCGCGCTTGGCGCCGCCGGGCTGGCCGTCCCGTGGGTTGATGCCCGCGATGTAGCCGAGGCTGAAGTGAATTTCCTTGTGGTCGTTGTCCAGCTCCGAGCCCGTCGTGTACGCCACGCCGCCCATGTCGCGCAGCACGACGGTCACGGAGCGCGTGGGCGGCGCGTGCGTCGTGGGCTCCGAGGGCCGGGCGTACAGCAGCCGCTGCACGTTGTGGACGGCGTCCTTGAGCACCTGTGAGGCGTTCACCGCCGAGAGGAAGCGCGCTGCGCCGGGGTGGTCGAGGCTGCGGATCTCCAGGCGCAGCTTGGGCTGTGGGAATTTCTCCTCTGGCTCGTCATCCCGGGGCTTGGTCCTCTCAGACTCGGAGATGGCGGTCCTGTCCGGCAGTGGTATGGGTGTCTGAGTCGCAGCCGGAGGGGTTGACTCTGCCCGCGATGTGCCCGGCATGAAGATCAGTATGGGATTCGGCACTGGAGTGGTTTGTGGACGAATTGCCATGGAGAAACAGAAATCAGGAGGCTCGTGTCTGCCTGTATCCGGAGCCTTTTATGCTGTGGTAGGACAGGTGCTCAATCTTCCAATCAGGTGCTGAAAGTCTCCCCTTGAAGCCCAATTTTCAAGTCAGCATAGATCACCAATTCAACATTGAAGACCGAGCCCGGAACGAGGTGCGACTGTTGAAAGGGGTTTCTACCTAATTGCTATGTTGAACGAAACAAGGGACACATTGATGTATGGAAGTGAAGCTGGATGCTAATGTAAGCTACCGCCCCCGCCTCCCGTCTCCTTAGTGAGGCTACCGTGGAGTGTCTTAGCTTGTGGAGGGGCAGCCGCATTGCATTATGTAGGGGCCCTGGAGAGGGGACCACAGGGGAACGGCCCACTCGATACTACTGCTCGTTGCTCCGTGCACCACCTGCATGTAGGTAGACGTGTGTATGATAGGTGTGTGGCGCCAATATTTCCATCCACCACCACCGATATTGACAAAGAGAGTTTATCACACAACCTGCGCCATTTGCTGCGATCCGAAACCGTTGCATACCGCTTGGGCTCACAGTCGCATTACTACAAGGTTTCTAGAATTGATTAAATCATACGCGTTCTCCCGTACGTCCGGGCTCCGCTCTATCAGGAGCGCGCCGATCCGCTTCCATCCCCCGACGTCAACAAACTGAACATTAAGCTAACAATGCGTGTCCATCAGCCGCCCGAGCCTCCCCTCACCAGCGCCGAGTCGTCCGCCGACGAGGACATGGCCGACAAGATCACCGATGTCCAGGTAAACGACCTGCTGCGGGTCCTGCGCGCCGAAGTCCCCATCGACACCAAGGTTGCGCAAGTGACAGCCATCAAGTCCGGCATCAAGCAGCACAATGTCCCCGACAACTGCGTCGCGCCGCTGTTCGAGGCCCTGCGCTCCGCCTCGGCCTCGCAGCATGCCGTGCTTGTCAACGCTGGCTTCACCGCCCTCAACCACCTGCTGACGCGCCTGTCGCGCCAGGAGCCCAAGTTCATCGCCAAGGAAGCCGCCCGCACGCTGCCGCTGATCGTCGAGAAGATGGGCGACCCCAAGGAGAAGTTCAGGACCCTCGCGCTGCAGTGTATGGTCACCATCTGGCTGATCGCGCCGGCCGACGCCGAGCGATTCATCCGCAACACTGCTATGGTGGGTAAGAATCCCAGAGCAAAGGAGCTCAGCCTACAGTGGCTTCTTCAGGTATGCGCGGTCTCAATCCAACCTTGGGCGTTTGGGCAGGCGTTAACGTGATGGTAGATGCACCAAGAGAATGGGCTCCAATTCCGAACCTACGTTCCTACTCTGATGGAACTTCTCGAGGATGCGGACGGCATGGTTCGCGACGCGGCAAAGAGCACAGTCATTGAGCTCTTCAGGTATGAAACCCTGTTTCCTTTGTGCGCACGGAACTGATCTGTCTTTAGAAATGCTCCAAATGCTGCAAAGTCAGACCTGAAGAGGCAATTAAAGAACTTCAAGGTCAGGCCAGCTATTGAGCAAGCGATTGTCAAGGAATTGGTGCCTACATCCGCGGTTTCAGCAGTGGAAACAGAGGCCATAAATGATGCGCCACCTCCGCCGCGCCCAAATCTTGCCGCCAGTCTATCATCCCTATCTGCCGAGCGACCGATCACTCCAATGTCGGAGGCTCGTCTAGATTCAGTCGAGCCATCGTACGTGAACACCCAACGAGAGCTCGACGACATATTTCGAGAAATGCAGCCTCACTTCGAAGGAAGGGAAACCGAGCACAACTGGCTGAAGCGAGAAGAGAGCATAACCAAGCTACGACGCCTCATGGCTGGCAACGCTGCGAGTGATTTTCCAGACCAGTTTCTTGCTAGCCTGCGCGCAATGCTCGACGGCATCATCAAGGGAATTGTGTCTTTGAGAACCAGTCTCACCAAGGAGGGTAGCAGTCTTGTCCAAGATATTGCAAACATGTACGGCCCCGCCATGGATCCAATGGTTGAGATCCTAATGCAGACGTTCATCAAACTATCTGCATCCACGAAGAAGATCACTTCGCAAACGGCGAACGCCACCATCGACACGATCATTGGCAAGGTGACCTACAACGCTCGAATTATGGCACATGTCTGGGGCGCCTGTCAAGACAAGAACGTTCAGCCTAGACTGTATGCTAGCGGATGGCTGAAGACTTTGCTCATCAAGGAAGCTCATCATAAAAGCCATGTCGAGCATACTGGAGGCTTGGACGTGATCGAGAAATGTATCAAGAAGGGGCTTTCCGATTCCAATCCAGGTGTAAGGGAGAAGATGAGGTCTACATATTGGACATTTGCAGGTATTTGGCCTGCAAAAGCACAGGCGTAAGTGTATACCCCTGAAAGGAATCATTTTGAGATGCGGAGACTAATGGATATACAGTATCATGAATGGGTTAGACGCAACAGCACAAAAACTGCTGCAAAACGATCCCAACAATCCCAACTCACCAAAGAAGCCGGAGCCTGCTGCAAGACCTGGTCTTGGTTTGTCAAAGAGCACAATGGGAGGCAAGCCGTCGCTAAGAGAGGCCATGCTGGCACAAAAGAAGGCCGCAATGACAACCAGAAATCTTCCAGCCCGACCAGAATCGGCGATGGCTCATTTCTCTCCAGTGAGGAAAACTTCCAACTCTTCCACCACGTCGTCTACATCTACTGCTGCGGCCCCTGCGGTGCGGTCAAAGCAGGAATCAACACTTGCCGTGGGCTCGAGCGGCCTTTCTGTCGCTCCAGTCAGGCCGGCCAGGAGGCGGCCGGACATAGCACCACGGCCAGCAACAGCCGGGCCATACTCTGTTCGATCTCACGATCAACCTTCAGCGGAGAATACCAGTCCCCCAACTACAAGGACGAAAGCGGTAACCCCGAAGGTGAACGCGATGGGAGCATCACCAAAGCGGACCGTGCCCCGAACGCGGCCAGGCCATGTTGCCACCATGAGCGAGTCGAGCGTACTTACACCCACGAAGAACGCAGTAGCTCAGAAACCGACGGCTTCGCCGAGTGGTAGTCCTGCGAGACCTAGGCTGGCACCTGCGCCAGTTCTTACCTCAAGTAGCCCTTCTAAAGCACATGAAGACTTTACATTGGTGGTGCCTCCTATAGCAACGCTAAAGGCATCACCGCCTAAGGAAGCAGCCACGCCTCCCCGAGTACTGGAGCCGGTCTCTGACACACCAGGCAGTGAAGCACCTACACCATCAAGATCGCTCAGGGTCTACGAAGACCCCTTCACTCATGATCAGCCCACTCCCAAACCAGTCTTTGTGGTCCCGGTACTAGAGGACAAGCCCGTTAATGCAGATGCTGCCAATCTAGTGAAGCAGGAAGACGACATCAATGCTGGTAGAGGTCCGGTGTTCTCACCGGAGAAGGCAAAGCAAAACTCTCGCTTGTTAGACAGCGGCATCGCCAAGGTCAAGGCCAAGTCCCTTGATGTCCACGGCTTCAGGAAGCTGCAAGGCATCCTACGAGACAACAAGGCATCGTTCACAGACGAGAAGTTTGAGTCACTATTGCTCGGTCTCTTCGAGTACCTGGAGGCGCCGCTCTCCGATTTTGCGCCCGAGAAGGTGCAGGATGTCAAAGCTCAGATCCTGGCAACCATCAAGCTGCTGCTCAAGAAGGAGCGCGAGAACTTCCAGCCGCACGTTTCGCGAGGGCTGGAATCACTGCTAGCCACTCGTTCCGGCTACGATGCGCGCACGCACATCGTCTCCGGCCTCGAGCTGCTGGCCGACGAGCTCGTCACTCTCGGCGATGCGCAGGAGATTGCCGCGGTGCTGACCAAGCGGCTGAGCGGCATGGACATGGATACCTCCGGGTCCCGGTCCCTCAGCATGGGGCTCCACGTCCTAAAGGAGATGATCGACTCTAGGACCGCGTTCGTCCCGACGGACGGCGAGCTCACGAACCTCGCCGGTCTGTGCGGCCGGTGTTTGGAGTCCAGCGAGTCGGGTGTCCGCATGGACGCGGTGCAGCTGTGCGTTGCGCTCCATGCTCGTGTCGGAGACGCCCGCTTCTGGGACTACTTGAAGGGCGTCAAGGAGGACCCGAAGAGCCTCATTACGTACTACATTGTCAAGCGGCAGAGGGAGACGGCCACGGCCTAGAGCGTGAGGCTAACAATTTCATGTACCGCAAAACGGCAGGTCCGGTCTCTAGGGCAAAGCATCATCAATGGCGTGTCAGAGGAGTTGGCATAGGAAATGATTAGACGGTCAGGTGTTTCCCATCAGGATCAGCGTTGTCGTCGTCGTCGTCGTCATGCCCCCTCAGCCGGAGGGCTTCGCGATCAATGCTTCTCTTCCTACCTACTTGTATTGTAATCATGGTTAATATTCCTTCTTGTATTAGCCCATTGCCATATATCATGCACGATAATTGAGCGTTATATAAGCCGGCAATTGGCTGAGGATCAAAGTCGCCGCGCGCCGGCCCCCCATCATTCTCATGTTGATTGCTTGTGAGATGAAAAATGCGTAATGACGACAACGCAGTTGTCTCTGATGATCAACACTCGAGCTTTTCAGGTTGGTCTCATGCCACGTACGCGGTTGCTGGGCTGGTGAGGTGAAACGGCTGCTGGTAGTCGAAGTGGGCATGCCCTCGGCAGTTGACTGTGGCTTCAAAACCTGTTTCGGAGATTTGGCCAGCGCGACTGGCCGCATGGCACAAGCTTTGCTCACCTCATAGCTCGCGGTCGTGTGCAGTAGATTAGATCAGAGTAGAAGAGAGAGAGAGTATGGGTTCCATGGGGCCCCTATCCGACGCCGCGCAGCGCAGTGCCATTACACATGGCCGACTATATTCGGGTGTTACAACCTTCGGGCTTGATTGTGTGACCATGGTGATGCACGCGCCTCTATCCATGTAAACTAACATTTCTGTCTGGGTGAAGTATGTAATGTGTACATTATTGCCGCAGAAAGACGTGGAGGCACCTGGGGACATGCGTCAACCGCGTAGCCAGGCTACTTTTCTCGAATATCATGGAAACGGGCATCACAGGACGGCCAGCATCAACACGGTGAACGCTGGATTAGGTATCACGGATGATCGCCCCCTGACAGGTGGCTCAGGGTCTTTTGGGGGTCCTACAGGCCATGGTCTCTCCCCTGCCCTGGGTTACAACGCCCGCTGTGGCGCGCAGAGCTGCCCATAATCGACAGCTAGTGTAGAACAGAACAGCCTAGACTAGCGCCGTTTGCTTGCGACGGTGGGGCGTGGAGAATGGCGCAATTTGGCGAAGATCGTTTGGTCGCAGGGCCCAGACAGTTGAAACACCTGCTATTCACGAGCGGGTTACTCCATTGCGCGTCGATAGCAAGGGGGGGAAACGCGCTAAATTAAGGTACGGAACGACGCTTCCAAGAAAAGGGAAGAGGGACGCCTCCAGGCACGCGATGCTCATATCCAGGGGCCGAGCCGTCCGACACGAAAAGACTGGAGGTGTGTGTGAGACACATTCAGACTGCCAGAATACCTGAGGCATGTAGCAAAAAAAAAAAAAATTTGTACCTGTCACTAGCCAAGCTCCTATATTTCTCGAGTGCTTGTGATCTCTCTTGGGCTAGAAGGACCCACGGACGGCATTTCTGAAGATACTACGTAGGCGTGTCTTAATGAAATGGGGTACCATTGGCGAACAGACATCGCGGCGCATGTCAAAAGCACCCAGAAGCATGCGCCGGTAAAGCTCATGCCCGGTAATTGGCTCCATCGATCGAGAACATTTGTTTTTGCTGTGCCAATGCTCCGATGCGGAGCTGTCATTCTACAGCACACTTAGTATGGCTCAAGCTCCATATGATCCTCCAGGTGTACGGGACACAAAGCCACTCTCAAGGCAATTCAGATGTGACCGAGCGAGACTCGGTCGAGAACCAGACCTTACCGTCAAGTTGCGCGGAAATGAGAGGAGGATTTTGTCCGTCTGTGAATGTCTGAGAGGCGACGTTTTGCCGCCCAGCGCGCGCCGGGCTGAGAAGTGATGCATGGTGTTGGGATTCGCTGTCTTCGATGTCTACTGCATAGTACTTCATGCAAGGCACCCAAAGGCGGCTTGTCTCCCACCGCACCGTAGGGCCTGGAGCCAGGAAGGTGGAAGAGGTATTTTCAGCTGTGTCTCCCAGTTCTGGGACACGGAGATCGCCCGCGGGCTAGCAGCCATGCTGCAGCTGCAAGTCCAGGGGAGGACATCAAATCGTGTGCAGATGTTGGTAGCAGGTTGCAGCCTGCTGACAATAATCGCACAACCGGGGGGAACGCCCGCGATTGAAATCCTTGGATGATTTACCTGAGTCTGTCTGGGACTTCTTCGCGGATTTTGAAACGACAGTAGGATCTGTAGACGCGGCCTCTTCGTCTTTTCCGACTCAGAAGACATGGGAGGCAGTCAGCCTGCCGCAGGAAGTACCACTCACCGACTAAGAATAGATGGATGTGTACTGTTTGTATTTGGGATCACGGTTGTCATTACGTCGAATGTGGGTGGGATTTCAGCCTGTCAGTGTTTGCGAAAGCGAATTTGATCAAGGAGTAGCAATGTAAAACTTGAAGGCCAGATAGCTAGCTCGTGTGTCGGTGTCGGTGCCGATGCTGTCTTCAAGCGGCGATAATCCAATGCCCGTGTCTTCAAGAGCAGACCGAAGATCGTCTTCAAGGGTAGCCTGGCGCAGATTGTGGACTGTGGAAGGATGGGGGATGGATAGCATATCAGGCTAATCCCGCCAAGGGACGTGTCGGTTTGGTGGCGCTCCCCCGTGGACCACTTTATATTTGAAACACTTAGCTTAGCCCAGTGGGGCACATTGGCTCCGCCGTGCTGCTGCCAGTTGGCCTTGGAGCTACTGCATAGTAGAATAGAGGTTCGTTCCAGGTTAAGAGCCATACTCCCATACCAGCAACCATAAGCCGTGGCTCACAATGGACTGGTGGGAATGAGGAGGCTGTCGTCAGAGACACTGGCTAGACAGAGACAGATCCACCATCGGCTCTTGTGAGGAACAGAGAGATTGGTGTCAGAGCAAGCTTCCAACGGGGGGGCTTCTCCGGCGGTGGGAGAAATCTATCAATATGGAGAAGCCTCACATCATGTCCGACCTCCCTGTGACCCATCTTCCAGGTGCCTTGGTGATGTGAAGCGTGAAAATAAGCAGTAGCGTGTGCGAGGCTGTATCCATTCAACATGCATCGACTGTAGTAGGGGGTTTGTCATTTATTGGCTGATGGCTTTTGTGTCTGGTGATGTTTCTATTCTTGCCAGCCTTTAGAGCACGTTTGCCGATATCTCTGGCAATGGCCAAGCGTCTCTTGTGACTGGTGTAAGGCTTGCTTGCGTCTGACATACATCGAGAGGGTTTCTTACCTGCAACCACAAACCACATGGCTGTGCGTTGATGCTTTGCGCGCCCACCGAGTCGCCGAAGCCCTCCCTTCCTGTGAGGTCGTCAAGGCTCTCTGGGTGTTCCTGCACTAATGAGCAAGATGGTGGGCAGCCATGCCAATCTGGGATGTGCGACACCCATCACACCTGGACTAGTTGGCTGTGATAGCCACTCAGAGAATCGCACTGGCATTGCATTGTGATTTGTTCGACTGGAGGTTTCCCAAAGCAACGAGAGGCTGCGATGTGATGACTGCGCTGTGGATCAGCAACAGAACAAAGCAGATGCTGTCGCACTTGTTCCTTGTCCTGACGGTTCCTGAAGGTACCCGACAATGACGATGACAAGGAGTCGAGGATCGGGGCCGCTTGTTGCTCCTCTGCCGCCGCTGCTTTGATGTAAGCAAAGAGAGGCAGATCTCTGCATTGCTTGTACGCACCATCTGTATTTTCTCGAGTATTGGAACAAGGCTCCCAACTCCAGTTAAAGCTGGAAAGAATCGGCCTTGGTCGTGCTTGCACTTTCAGCAAGAATGTCTACATAGCAGGCAGGAGGATTTGGGTACTCATGGTCAGTACCTTCGTTCCCTTCGTTCTTGCCCTTGGAGACAAGAAAGAATGGAAAGGAGACAAGGGAGCCAAGCGGAGCCCCCCCCCCCCCCCTGTCTTCAGATTTGGATTTGGCAGCCACCGAGGGGCAGTCGAGGATGCTACCTTCCTCCGGTCTAGCAGGGATGTCATGTCTTAGATGATTCAAGTGCAGACAGACTGGGAGACTGAGAGACTGCGGACTGGGGACATCAGCACAGCGCGGCAATGGGGCAAACGCCAGGTCATTTGTGTTCTCGAGGCATTTCATACCGGCCATAGTACACAGCACTGCTCCAATGCATATTCACGAAGGAACACCGAGTGGCTAAAGATGGACCTTTTTACCTGCCATGATCCTCTTGATCCAACTGTTGTCTAGGCTTCAATCCGGGCCGGCTTTGCACATAGAGAAAGATAGAGCGAAAACCCAGGTTGACAGACTCGTCGTACTGCAACCTTGATTAAGCCTGACACTCTTTAGAAACTCGTCCGATCGTGTATTATGTCGAGTCGAGGTCACCTCACCAATGGATTCCATCGAGACTTTCAGGTTGTCTCTAGACAGATGCTCATCTACCACAAAAACACATCAGTGACGCCTTGCTCCATTCATAAATGGCCGGCACACCATCAACAACTTACTTTTTTTTACTCTACCTAATGTGCTGCAGGGACGGTTTCTCCTCGCAATTTGTGATGTGTCCCTGGCAGCTACGAGTACAGTGGCCTATGCTAAACTGGAAGTCCCACTGGAAACCAACGGTACCGCCTTTTGTAGTAGTCTGACTCTCCCGTTTCGACGCGCTGAAACCGTAGGTACATTTAGAATACCTAAGCTGTCTTCTAATTCTACGCCAACTTCCCATCCTGTGCAGTGTCGTTCACATTGAGCAACCGACATTATCGTCTCTACAATTTCTTAGAGTCTGCTGTGCTACGGAACTACAGTGAGCATGCCGTATGTTGCTGGACGTGCGTGATACGAGGTGCGAAGTGCTGAGCGGTGCCCCCGGCCAACTAACATTACCAAGTGGCCACTTGGTGATTGTGCAGTGCATGCGCCTAAAGTTAGGTGCAAGTTCCTAGGTAGGTACTTTGCCTGTCTACCCTAGACTACCTAAGGTATCTAGATACCCCTAGTTGGTTGGACCTTGCCGTTTAAGTGCAGCCATCACTAGGGGCAAGTTAAGGTACCCATACCCATTCCCGGGGCCCACGCCGTCATTTTCGCAGCCAGCCAGCGGGAGAGGAGACGGTGCAGGACGGTGCCAGACGGTGCGAAAGAGACAGCCGTCACTGCGACATCCATTCCCATTACCGATTACCCCCAACCCAATCCCTCCGCCCTCCACGCTTAACTGTAGATTCTCTCCTCCTTGTCGTCGTCGAGTATCGTACGCTCCGCCGCCCGCCACAGCGCTCTCGGCTGTCGTCTACTCTCACAATCTCGCGACAGGAGCCGCCATCGAGATATTTAATTCCGCCCATTCCTCCCTACGCACCGGTTCGTTTTGGATCGTAGGAAGGTGATTTCCGGACGGACGACGAGAGCCAACGAGGCTACCCCCTTGCGATCCCGCTCGACGACAGCCATCGTCATCTACCGCACCTGCCCGGCATTTGCCTCACTACGTTGAGTGTTGTCAACCTCAACTCCACACTGCTTACACAGTCGCTTGAATCACACTGCTCAATGTCAGCGTAGCCGTGCTATTACGAATCTCTCCCTGTCTGGCTCTCGTCTCGTTGATGAGGGTCACAGCTCGGCCACCCACTCTCTAGGCCTTTGTCTGCCCAACACATCGTGCTGAAAGACCCTCCAGGAAAAATAGCAATCATGGCTGCCATAATGGATGACTATCTGGATAGTCCCATGGATAGTGAGGATGTCTTTCCTTGCAAAGGATGTGGAGAGGTAACTGCGTCTCATTATCACCATATCGGCTTTGTCTGGACAACTTGTACTGACTATGTCTGATTATCTAGATCTTGGAGGAAGGCAAAGCTTTTGAACTTGGTATGCCCTCTTCCCAAAATCCATCCTTGATTGCCTCACAAATGTCCTTGCCAATGTGTTGCCCTTTTGTCCCATTCTACCCCACGGCGCGCAAATGAAGGCACACGCGCCCTCACCCTCAACCCTACCCTCGCCCGCAACACCAGACCAAGCACTTAGCACCCGCTAATTCGTTACCCTACCTACAGCTGGAAATCGATGGCATCTCAACTGCTTCCGATGTAACACTTGCGGCACCCTTCTCGACTCTGATGCAAACCTCCTCCTCCTCGGTGACGGCTCCCTGATCTGCAACAATTGTACCTATAGCTGTAGTGCTTGTGGGAACAAAATCGAAGATCTCGCCATCCTCACAGGCGATCAGGCCTTCTGTGCAACCTGCTTTAGGTGTCGAAACTGCAAGAGAAAGATTGAGAATCTACGATATGCAAGAACATCGCAGGGCATTTTCTGCATGAGCTGTCACGAATCCCTCATGGCAAGGCGACGCAAAAAGTCAAAGGCTGCTGCACAAGCGAAGGCAAGAGAGAAAGACTCGTCGCCCATGCTTGTTGACAAGTCGCTACCTGCTCTTCCTCCCAATGCAATACCTCCTAATGCATTCACTACCGAACAGCCCACCCCTGATTCAGACACACCAACCGAGCTGTCCCCTCGGCCGCGTCCGGCATATCCCCGCAACGACTCCTCGAGAAGCAGCTCCAGGCCAGCCCGATCACCTGAGCGGCCGGTAGAGTCTGCTTCCAAATCGGAGGCTGGCCTAGGTCTGCCTCCATCTAGCTACCGAAACAATCGGAACAGCTCTATCATTGTGGCACCTTCCGATCTTAGCAGTACTGATGGTGATAGCTTCTTCATTCCTGTGGCCCTAGACCCTAGTCCCGCGGCAACAATGTCGCCGAGGTCGACATCCGAAACTGTCACAGATGCAGGCAAGCAAAACAAGGAGAAAGATTACTTCAGCATGTCGAAGTCTAGTTCTACCTCAACGGATAGAAGAAGCACTTCTCAAGCATCCACTCCACATATTGCTTTCCAAGAGAAAGGACGACAGCCTTCGTCCGAATATGAGAGTCTCACCGGAAGAGAGCCAACACGTAAGCTATCTAAGTCATCGAGGGCCGACAAAAACCAGGCAAGAGCTTCACCTCTTGTAGGAGATGACAAGCCCCAGAGGGCATCACCTGCGAAGCCTGACGACTTTAAGCTACAAGACGCTCCAAAGAGCAAGAAGCTTATTAGCTCAAGGAGCAACTCTCAGTCCAGCAACTTGCTGGTAGACAGCACCCCCAAGGCGAGCAATAATGTGTTACGAAAAGATAGGGACAGGGACCGGGATGTAACGCCAACTCCTTCAAAGTCGGAGTCTCCCCCGGTCCTCGGGGTTGGAGACAAGACGGGCTCACCGAGAACGTCCCAAGACTCTCGTTCCAAGGACGACGAGGATGTGCGGCCCTCCATCGATTCAGTGAGCTCCTCAAGACCTGAGGCGGTCCCGCCGAGGGCGATTGCGAGGAAGGAGCTGCCTACTTCAGCCGGTTCGCGCAATGGTAAGACCTCTTCATCATCTTTGTTAGAGGAAAGGTTAGACTAATGATAGCGCAGTCAATGGCAAGCCCATCTCAGGCCCAGTGAAGAAGTCAGCATCTGACGAGTTGGTTCCTCCTCCTCGACCTGCTGTAGAGCATAAAATTAGCGACACATACATGCAACCGAGAGCTCCTCCTCAGCCCCCATCCCATGTGGCTGGAAAAGAGTCCATTAGCAGCGCCAATGATGCGACACCATCGCCGAAACTGTCCCCCAAGCTACCTAGGTGGAGTGCGACAGGGGACTTCAGCATGGACGAAGATATGGCACGTATACTCGGCACCGATGAAGGATCCTCATCAATTCTACGCCGTGTGTCCAATGCCGTTAGACACGGCCGAACTGCCAGCACTGAGTCGAGCAATCATCATCATCAAAGCCGAGGTGGGCATACCAGAAGTGTAAGCGAGACCACTCGCGCAACTGCATCGCCCCGTTGGCCGAAGACCCCTATTGCTGAGCACCCGAGCGCTCAGGATATTAGTAGTCCCATTTCCATGTCTGGTGCTGCTCAGGACGACCCAGCCTTACTCAAGCGTCAACTTCGAAACTCTGAACAACGGGTAGCGGAGCTAGAACGCCAATTTGGTACCGAGAAAGACCTCCAGAATCTTAACGAGAGACTGGTAGAGAAGCGTAAGACTGTGTCGGTTCTTGACACCCAAACAGAGATCATGATTCGCCAGTTGGAAGTTCTCGCAGGCTATGTGGAGAGGGCGAAAGACACCAAACGGCCGATAGACCCGCGAGATCTGGAAGACTCTGCTATCAAAGAGTTTGTGCAGAAACTGGAAAAGGTCAAGCAGACCATGGCGACAACCATCGAGCAATTGCATGCTGAACGAGATGACCTGATGGAGGAGAAGAACCAGGCGATTGCTGACAGAGACCGAGCGCTTCTGGAGTTCGAGCAGCTGGCATCTAAGAATGCTCAGCTTACGGACATGAACAACGATCTTACACATCAGATCCAGGAGAGATTCAAGTCTCAGATCAATTCAGATATCAAGTCGCCTAATGGGCTTGGAATCTATCAAGTACACAAGGGGACGTCGAATACCTCAATTCACAACCTTGACACCTCAAGCATTCAGACCGGTGCCACGCTAGTGAGCACTGATGCTGATGAGCCCATCCTTGAACAGGGGCCAACCGTTGTCAACATTCGCAAGGGCCAAGTTCGGAAGTTCAACTGGAAGAAGGGTTCAAAGGCAGTGGCTCAAAACGTGGCCAAGGGCATGAACCGTGCAGTTGTGGCTTTCCAGCAACAGAATGAACGTGAGCGCGGTCTACACCCAGGCAGCTTGAACGGTGATAGCATTGGCCTTCCATACAACATGACGGTAACTCAAGTTGAGTCACCTGTCTCGCATGGTCCGAACGGTCAGAACCGCATTCCCAGTGAGCAACGGCAGTTTGGTGGCTTCTTTGGCAAGAAAGGCAACATGCCAAAGTCTGTATCGATGGCAAATGTCTCCACACCGACTATTGCCGAAGCTCCCACGACCCTGTTTGGGTCGGATCTTGTCGAGCGAGCCGACTACGAGCGACGCCAGATTCCTTCTGTTGTAACTCGCTGCATTGAAGAGGTTGAGCTTCGAGGCATGGACATCGAGGGCATCTACCGAAAAACGGGAGGCAATTCTCAGGTCAAGATGATCCAAGAAGGATTCGACAAGAATGAGGACTTCGACATTTCCGATCCTTCAATAGACATCACAGCTGTGACCAGCGTTCTGAAGCAGTATTTCCGCAAGCTGCCGATACCATTGTTAACGTTTGAAGTCTACGACCGGATTCTGGAATCAAACAGTAAGCCTTTCAAAGTTCCCATGTTCCATTCTCTTAACCGAAATATTCTAACTCTGATCAGCGATTACTGAGACCACCGATCGGTGCGCCCACCTGCGAAAGACAGTCAATATGTTACCCCAGAAACACCGTGACTGCTTGGAATTCCTCATGTTCCATCTCGCCCGTGTGGCTAGTCGGGAACGAGAGAACTTGGTATGTCCCTTATACAGAGTTTATGTTGTGTCGTCCAAGTACTGATTCGAGCCTAGATGTCTCCAAAAAATCTTGCTGTGGTCTTTGCCCCTACCATCATGAGAGATCATAGTCTTGAGAAAGAGATGACAGATATGCACGCAAAGAATATTGCAGTGCAATTCGTCGTTGAACATAGCCATGAGATCTTCTCCGAAGAGTAGGAGAAAAGTTCAGCGGCCCATGGATGGGCCTTGAGTCCAAGTCATTCCAGATGTACATAACAATACACCATCACCGATTCCCACAAGCGACAAGGGCGTTCGTCAGAGACACATTGCAGGCAAATTTGATTGCGGTTTCGATTCGTTCTCTCTTTTAAGGCGTCGCCATTTGATTTTGAGCACTAGCCTTGGACCGGTTACCCCTGGCCATCAAATACCTCGGATGTTTCTGCTTTATGTTTTCTCCGCTTTCAGATGACGGCTCTCGATTTTCTGTTAGGAAATTTAATGATATCCATTCATGTGTGTGCTTTGGCGCGAAAATGTACGAATTTGGGGCGGCCATTGGAATCAGGGAAGAAGAGGAATTTAGTCTTCTTTTTAGTCGCGATTTGTTTCCTAGAAGCTGTTTCTTCCAGGTACACTCCTGTCGTTGCTCGATTTTTCATCAAGAAATTTTAGGGACGAGGGGACAAGACCTCAGGGAGATGATGAAACATCGCCACCACCGAGAAGGACGTGGGAACGGAAGCTTCTTAGAGCAGGCATGTCCCACTGTGAAGTTTTGTGTGTCATAGCAGTCTTAGAGAGGTCAACAATCCTTGGTGACGCCAAGCTGCAGAGAACGATAAAAATCCCATCCATCAGGTGAAGTGAAAATAGTGCGTTTGACACGACAGGTTCCACGAGGTGATTAAATCTGCGTACGCATAAATTCTTGAGATCCTGGGCATAACCTATTTATTTCCCCCCAAAGACTTCGAGTAGACACTCAATCATTGTGCCGAATCACTGGCCCACCAGTCTCTTCACCTTGTCCAGCAAGACACCGCTCTCCCGACCCAACTTCCGCTGTCGACCATTGCGGGTGCCCGCGCGTGCCTTGGCCATGGCCCTGCGATAGCGGTCTCTCTCGGCGACCTTGCGGTTCCGCTCGTCTTCTCGCCGCTTCGCCTCAGCGGCGCGGGCCTCGGCCTCCTGCTTGCGCTGCTCTGCCTGCTCCAGCGCCTTGTCGTAGTAGCCCGGCCGCCTGGGGTCCCGCCGCTGTCTCCGTGCGCCCCCGCCGTTCCGCTGGCGGTGTGTCCGGCCGTCTTCCTGCTCTCCGTCCTCTCCGTCCTGTGCGTCTGGGTCTGCGCCCCGCTCGAGCCGGCGCTGCTCCCGCTCGTCCAGCATGGCCTGTCGCTCCGGGTGGATCTGGGCCTCTGGCTCGGCATCCTCCTGCTCGCCCCTGTCCTCGTCCTCGTTCCCGGCTGTGTCTTTCGCCTTCTTCTCCTGCTCCTCGGCGGCCTTGACCTTGGCAAAGGCCTTCTTGACCTTGGCCTTGTGGATCAGGTCCTTCTTGATCTTGGTGACCTTGCGGCGCCAGGGCCCGTCGGGCAGGTTCTCTGGGCCGACGCGGAAGCCGTGGCGGGGCTTCTTGGTGTCGGGCGCGGCGGCTGCTGCGTCACCGTCTTCGTCACGAGGTCGCTTGGTGGACATGGTTGACCGATTTGGACTGGATGTCTTTCTTGCGGATGCAGGGTGGCCGGTATTGTCGAGTAGTGTAAGGCCGTTCTGTCTGAGGGTAAGTGGTGAATTGGTGGTTGGTCTAGTGTTGCCGTCCTGACTTTTTTTTTCTGGCGATAAGTGTTATCGCGATAAGGGATAGTTAGGCGACGTGTTGGTAGGTAAGTAGGTGAAGGCTGTCTGCAGCGGGCCGAGACTCGGCAATTACAAAGAGCCAGGATCCAGGATCAAAGGGCGATACTGGGATAACAAAATCAAGAAGCAATAACGTCACAAGAACCTGCAGGATCTGGCCCGTCCTTTCGCCAGCCGTGAATTGCTTAGTATTCCTTCATATTTGTCAGTTCATGAAGCGCTCATTGCGACAAATTACCGGCTTAACAGCTTCCGCCTTGTTGAAGGAATAGTTGGCCCACTTTCGGGCCAGCTTTATCTCCTATGCAACGATACTAGGTTTCATAGGGTTCATGGAGATCGTTTAATACCAAAGATATCTTTGCTTTTCTTCTAATCTTCAAGTAGATTCGTGCTGGACCTGGTGATGCGAGGCTTGATGCTTGATCATCCTCCGTAAGGCGAAATAAGGCGAAGCATGAGATAAGATGTCCAAACACATAGCCACTGCTATTGGCTCTACATTCAAGAAAGAAAGCCAACTATGCATTGTCTCTATTCCTCCGCCAATGAAGCCGCCTAATCATGCTCATGTCCTGCATGTAACCACACGTGTTATCTGGCAGGCCAATCTCCGAGGTTTACTCACCCCTTCTCCTTGGCTCTCCTACCCCTCATCCTGGATAGGTGGCTGTCAAAAACAACAGCTGAGTAGCCAGGTAGTTGGTTGAGCCTCAATTCTCAGGGAGTTTGCGCTCACCCACTCAGGCTCCGAGTGCCTTCGGGCGGCTGTGGTGACCGCATCGGCAAGTCTTGCCGTGCTCGATATGTCAAACGCAAATGGAATCGACACAGGCATTAACCCATGAAAAGTCATTATTTATCAGAATGTCCACATTCTGGTTATTGTAATTCCTCCTGACACCACGAGCCTCACTTTCCACTATCAAGCATCTCTAGCTGGCCGGCTCAAGAGCGATTCAAGTAAACAAAGACGTCTGGCGCTATTCTAATATAAAGGCTATCGCCATGGATGGCTATATACTAGTTCCAGTCAAACAATACCAAATCAGATCCGAAACCCTTCAAGACTGGCTACAAAAGACATTCTCTGATCCGAACATCACAGTAACCGTAAGCGCAATGCTCGGGGTGGCGCGATGACAGCTGATATCTAACTAACACTTATGTTATAGGTGTCAGGGGAGAACCTCATTTGTAAAGTGCCACGAGAATTTACAGAGGTGAAGCTCTCATGCCCCTGTTGTTCCCTCACTCCCAGAAGAATCTTATTCTCATTATTCTCAATTTTGAGACTTTCTACTGATAAAGTATCAATAAATAGGAAGAAGGAATCACAATCAGGAGGATGCAAAAAAGATCTAGAAAGTCCAAGAAACCCTAGTCTAGCTACCGTTCAGACCGGTGGGCCTTTGGAGCTTTATGGGCTTCTTCAATTAAAAGGGATACTCGTATTTGAAGGCATTGAGTACTTCTGTATATTACGGGTACCGTGCGGTTAGCCTCTGTCACATGGCGTACATTCATTTGTCCACTTGCAACCCTTTCTCGTTTAGGCTCTTCGTTGGGCGTTTTCAGATAGTTAGGCTTATAGCACAGCCCAGATAAGACAGCACTTTGTCCAACAGTCAGGCTCCGTACAACTCGGTAATTGATTAGCTGCGTTTCACTGGCGATACGCTTGTTCCACGTTGTTTCTGCTGCGCTCTGCGCCCTCATGCTCGGCGATTGTGGTCCAATCCACAGCCAGGTCAGGACGCCCGATTGTTGTTACTTGTCGCGGCGGAGTCGTTTTTACGAAGCTATGGGATACGCGTTGTGAATTCGTCATTTTTCTTCTTTGCGGGATTTCTATCAATCATTTATGGTTATTGAATGTAATATTCTCTGCTCGCGTTGCCGCGAATCCTCGATTTCATCGAGGCATTTTACACATCGGGCGTGGGCGCACTCTCCACAATTCCGTCTACCGGAGGCTTGATTTCACCGCCTCAGTCTCGTGTGAACAAAATAGCGGCTCGCCACAGATCACTGACTTCTAATAATTGGAATAGGGACAGAACAGTTTTGTTTTTTCTTCTTCAAAGAAGACGTCACGCAGTTGGGTAAGAGGACTACTTACTAATTATGGCAAGCGGCCGTATGCTTCCTAGACACATGGCTCTGGATTGGGATGATCAGTTTCGTACAAGCTGTATGGATTCAAAAATATACCCCTGTAACCTATTAGGAGCTCGCTATTCGACATCTACACTTCAGACTTTTTACGGAAAGTTGGACGCGGCTGAAAATCGACTATTCGACGATGAAGACGAGACTGTTCTCCACTTTTTAGAGCAATACGATGGTTCTCGAGGTAAGTGTCAACTCATATCAGTCCGAAAGCGCACACTAAGACTTTGTAGTACTGCCACCGCGAACCATCCAATCTTTCACAGAATTGGAAAGACATTTGCAACAGAATCGCAAGGATCCCAAATTTCGTCATGTGTTAGTAATGAACCGCCCAACAAAAAATTTGATTTCTGAAAATGCTCATTCAATGCCCCTGCCAGATCAATAGAAGCCGACTCGTCAATGGACAGTTTCAACTGCTCTGCTGACATGTTCAAGCTCTTGTGTTCTTTTCATCAAGTACCACCTGGTTTTCTAAATAATATATTTTCATTTGGGGCTACACTGCACCCGTTAGATTATGGACTGGCTGCATTCTCTAATGAAGATACCATACTTCAAAGGGAGTCGAATCTCCTGCCAGTTCCCAGCCTTGGAAGATCGGGTCGGGAAATACGTCACTCGTACTTGCTACGCTCAGTCGAAGAGTCAGATTCGGTAAGCGGCTGGGGCTGGGGAATTAGACAAGTGGCAATATATCATTCTTTCGACCTTGTCACGGGCCACACTACGTGGTTCACGGTCAAAGGTAATCCTCTTATCAAAGATCGAATCAACGAATACGTGTCAAAAAATTCCATCTTCCAACGGGGCTCAACGCCTACTCTACCTGAGTCGTTCGCGGCGACACTGGATATTCACAGTATGATTTTTGACTGGTGTGATGAGAGTTGGAGATGGTTCATCAACGATGTTGAAAAGGCTGCTCGCAAAATAATCGACAAAGCCAAGACAATCACAATCAATGATGATCCGAAACTCAATCAAATTCCGGATGGTATTAAGCAGAACGTCTTCCGCAGAAGCAGCACTATGAATTCCAAATCGGTTTCGCGCAGTAACACCCTGGTTGAGAGCATTCATCAAGGAGTACAAGGTGTTCGTCGCTTCATAACTTGGGCCAAATCTCGCAAAGAAGACTCCGTCGATGAAAAGACAGCAGGTGGTGCAACTTCGCCAAAGCAGAGTACTCCACCATCTACGTCTAATCCGTTGACAACCGGCGAGGAGAAATTGCTGGAGAGACTCGCAATCCTTGACATGTTTTCATTTGAAGAAATGCAAAGGCTTCAAGAAGTCGCTGAAAAGATTCAACACGGTCTTCTTGTGATCAAACTTGACTTGAACGTCTTGGGGCAGATTGCAAATTACTACCGACGCCTCTCACGAGCAAAGAATATAGCCTCCTTGAATGTGATCCAAAAAGAATGTCAAAATGACTTTCTATTGTTCGACCAGAAAGCTGAGGCTATCAAAATGAGTCTCAACATCCGGAAGGAACAGTTGCAATCGCTCTTGCAACTCGTGGGGGATGGAAGGACACTAGTAAGCAGGCCATATAAAGTATATGATTTTACATTCAGGCCTGACAAGTCTAGTATGATGGAATCTTGCAGTATCGCAGCGTGCAAATCAGCAAAATTTACGCCCAAAGCGCGCACGAATCATCGCGAAAGATGGAGACAATCGCCCGGAAAACAGAGCAGGAGACTCTTTCTATGCACATAATTACCTTCGTCACCCTTATATTTCTGCCAGGGACATTCATTGCTGTACGATCGCTAAGATCTCCCTTGGTGAGTAAGGTAGGAATTCTAACTTCGAACACACAGACATTCTTCCAAAGCGGAATCATTGCGTGGAACGATGCAGGCGTGAAAGGCGCATCCTGGCTTTTCAGGGAGGATGCATTTGCACTTTTCGCCGAGATTAGTTTCGGGATAACAGCTGTTACCATTACAATTTGGCTGTTGGTAGTCCGTTGCCTCCGTAGGCGCTCTCAAGAACGACTTGAGGCTCAACAAAACAGCGACATGAGCGGTGCGAACATGGTTTAAAAAAAGTTTTTGTATCTTGTTCATTTATCTTTGATTTTGGTATGACGTGAACAAGTTTGGGGGTTGGAGATGAAGCATCGTGAGCCTAGTCAGAGTAGTGGGCTTTGAGTTTGTGGAAACAGCTACTGCAAACTACCTATAATTAGACAGTCTTTGACACTTCGCCTTGAGTCACTTGAAGGTGCATTGTTTCGAAGGTTCAAGGTTGACATCAGCTTTCAGAAGCTTAGGAGACAAGGCATTGTTCTTTCGAGTCTTGCGAATGTAATTCGTCGTAAGCAATCAAGTAAGTGTAGAAACCCACAGCAGTTGTGAATGCCTGATGGAACGCCTCGAGTTGTCTGCACGCACTGCGGATACTGAGATCGAGGTGGATGCTCAAAGGTGGCGGTGGCGGTGTACCTATCCGGATGTGGCCATGCGAACCATGGCACTCTCTGTATGCAGGTCGCAAATCATGACGGTCGCCTTCCCCATGGGCGAAGCTTGTCAGATCGAACCCCGCCCAACCATGGCATAATAAGAAATCTCCTGTTCATCCTTTTCTCTGTTGTGTAGGCAAAGGAAGCCATCACTCTGGGTCCTCTGTGTCGACTTGAAAGTTGG